AAACGCCATCGCGTTACCCCGGAGTGAACACCAACTTTGAGATGCAGGTACATCCAGCTGACAAGTCCCAAATAGGACAAAACGCGCATCCTAGATTTCACTGTTAGCCACTACCCATCTTTGCTTAAAAACCTTGTGACTTAAGATAATATCGAGTCGATCCGCACAGTATGTACATATGCCAACAAGAGACTGAACAATCGCAGTCCTAAAACATCAATGGGAAGATACAAGTAAAACAACACCAAGTGAATTTAAATAATACAGATATTTATATATAATCAGAGACCTGAAACCTAGACTGAAATGACTTTCATTGCAGAAACATATAAGAATTCTAGAGTTATTCCAACATGATTTTTAGAGATATATACAAAAATAAAGTGCTTGATTTCACTACATTTGACTTGATTAGTTATACATTAATAGAAATATTCTGCATAGTTAAACAGTCAATAACAATAAACATGCATTGCAAATCCAAGAATATGAAGGAGTTAATGACGAGACTATAATTTCTGAACGAACCAATCAGATATAAGATAATAGGTCTCGAATTTCGGCGTGAAATTCACATTCGAATTCAGTTCGTGATGAAAACATTAAATCTAATTCCTAACTCTAACCATCAACTGTAAATGATAATTCTTATTGTTCAAACTGCTTTACAACCCTCATTTGGTCCTAGTTATTAGGTGGACACACTCAAGATCACTTCAGCGTCGCTCAAAAGGTCGTCCATAAATTATAGTCTCACTGAATTTATATTACAAGCTATTTCCCTTTCAATGTATATTAATCAAATTACATAGCATTCAAGTTGTCATTATATGAAGTGTTAAAATTGATTGAAATACCTTACTTAAATCAAAATCCATTAGTGAAAAGTTGATACACAGCACAACTTGATAAACTCCGCCTGTAGCTCTTCTACAGTTACTGCCGGTCCCAAGCCCGGGTAAAGGAGGAGGGTTGGGCATGGGGTTAGCGTCCCCATCCCGTAGAAAACTAACTCGCTAAAAAAACGCTTACCAGAAAAAATAATTCAAACCATTTTAACTCTGCCCTGAGAGTTAGAAGGTCTTCATTTAGAAGAATTATGACGCTTCATGGTGAAAGCCGAGTTCCTTCGGAAGCCACGAGGCCGATGCCCCTTCTAACAACCACAGCAAAAATTTTTATAGGTACATGGAACGTTCGAACAATGTGGGAAACCGGGAAGACCAACCAAATAGCAACGGAAATGAGGAGATACAACTTAGCAGTACTGGGAATCAGCGAAACCCACTGGACCCAAGCTGGACAGAAAAGGCTAGCTACGGGAGAGATGCTGCTATACTCCGGTCACGAAGAGGAAAATGCTCCACACACTCAGGGAGTTGCTCTAATGCTGTCCAAAGTAGCGCGAAATGCACTTGTAGGATGGGAATCCCACGGATCCAGAATCATCAAAGCATCATTCAAAACAAAGAAGGAGGGAATCTTAATGAATATTATCCAATGTTATGCACCCACCAATGATAGCAACGACGACATTAAAGATCAATTCTACGAGCGGCTGCAGTCAATCATAGAGAAATGTTCAAGAAAGGACCTCACCATTCTGATGGGAGATCTAAATGCCAAGGTCGGAATAGAAAACACTGGATATGAAGATATTATGGGACGACATGGACTGGGAGAGAGGAACGAAAATGGAGAAAGATTTGCAAATTTGTGTGCATTCAACAAATTAGTCATAGGAGGCACAATATTTCCACACAAACGTATACACAAGGCTACATGGATCTCACCGGACCACACTACAGAGAACCAGATAGACCATATTTGCATCAACAAAAAGTTCCGAAGGACAATGGAAGATGTGAGAACCAGGAGAGGAGCTGAAGTAGCTTCAGATCACCACCTAGTTGTAGCCAATTTAAAACTGAAGCTAAAAATGAACTGGACAAGTGGACAAACAGCATTACAAAGGTTCAATACAGCCTTCCTTCGAGATACTGACAAACTCAATGAATTCAAGATAGCTCTCAACAACAGGTTCCAAGCCTTTCAAGATCTACTGAAGGAAGAAGAAACTACCATGGAGGACAACTGGAAAGGCATCAAAGAAACATTGACTTCAACGTGTCAAGAGGTTCTGGGCCTAAAGAAACACCATCATAAGGAATGGATCTCTATAGAAACACTGGACAAGATCAAAGAAAGGAAGAACAAGGAGACAGCAATTAACAACAGCCGAACACGAGCAGAGAAAGTCCAAGCACAAGCTGAATACATAGAAGCAAACAAGCAAGTGAAGAGGAGCATTAGAGCCGACAGGAAGAAATACGTGGAAGAATTAGCAACGACGGCAGAAAAAGCTGCTAGAGAAGGAAATATGAAACAGCTCTACGATACAACGAAGAAACTATCAGGGAAATACAGTAAACCAGAGAGGCCGGTCAAAGACAAAGAAGGCAAGCCAATCACTGAAATTCAACAACAGCGAAACAGATGGGTAGAATACTTCGAGGAACTCCTGAATAGGCCGGCTCCAATGAATCCACCGAACATCGAAGCAGCACACACAGATCTTCCTATAGATGTCAATCCACCAACTACGGAAGAAATTAGAATGGCCGTCAGACAAATCAAGAACGGGAAAGTAGCAGGACCCGACAACATACCAGCTGAAGCACTGAAATCAGACGTCGAAGTAACCACAAGCATGCTTTACCCTCTATTCAAAAAGATTTGGGAGGAGGAACAAGTGCCAATGGACTGGAAAGAAGGACACCTCATCAAGATTCCAAAGAAAGGAGATCTGAGCAAATGTGAAAACTACAGAGGCATTACACTACTGTCAATACCAGGGAAAGTCTTCAACAGAGTGTTGCTGAACCGGATGAAGGATGCAGTAGATGCGCAACTTCGAGATCAACAAGCTGGATTCCGAAAGGATCGGTCGTGCACAGACCAAATTGCAACACTACGGATCATCGTCGAACAATCAGTTGAGTGGAACTCGTCACTATACATCAACTTCATTGATTATGAAAAGGCATTCGACAGTGTAGATAGGAGGACATTATGGAAACTTCTTCGACACTACGGAGTTCCTGAGAAGATTGTCAATATTATCCGGAACTCATACGACGGACTACAGTGCAAAGTAGTGCATGGAGGACAGCTGACAGATGCATTTCAAGTAAGGACCGGAGTCAGACAAGGCTGTTTACTCTCTCCCTTCCTCATTCTTCTGGTGGTCGACTGGATTATGAAGACCTCGACATCTGAAGGAAAACACGGAATACAATGGACAGCTCAGAACCAATTAGACGATCTGGACTTCGCAGATGACCTAGCCCTCCTATCACGTACACACGAACAGATCCAGATGAAAACAGCCAGTGTAGCAGCAGTCTCTGCATCAGTAGGCCTCAGTATACACAAAGGGAAAACCAAGGTCCTCACATTCAAAGCGGAGAACAGCAATCCAATCACACTTGATGGCGAAACTCTGGAAGATGTAGAATCCTTCACATATCTGGGAAGCATCGTCGATAGACAAGGAGGATCCGATGCAGACGTAAAGGCGAGGATTGGCAAAGCAAAGGCCGCATTCCTACAATTGAAGAACATATGGAACTCAAAACAACTTTCAACCAATATCAAAGTGAGAATCTTCAATACGAACGTCAAGGCAATTCTACTGTATGGAGCTGAAACTTGGAGAACTACAACAACCACAATCAAGAAAGTACAAGTATTTATAAATAGCTGTCTACGCAAGATACTCAACATCCATTCGCCGGATACCATCAGCAATAGCCTTCTGTGGGAGAGAACAAACCAACTTCCAGCTGAAGAGGAAATTATGAAAAGACGATGGAAATGGATAGGACATACATTACGCAAATCGTCAAACTGCATCACGAGGCAAGCTCTAACTTGGAATCCTGAAGGGAAGCGGAAAAGAGGAAGGCCAAAGAACACATTACGTCGGATAATAGAAGCAGATATGAAAGGGATGAATTACAACTGGACGGAGCTGGAAAGGATTGCCCAGGACAGGGTTGGATGGAGAATGCTGGTGAGCGACCTATGCTCCTTCACGAGGAGTAACAGGTGTAAGTAAGTAAGTAAGTAATATAAGAAAAGAGGATAGGAATTATAAGATAAAGTGGCTTATTAGAAAGTCTTTATTTTCTGTGACACTGATTTTCTAATAGTATGACGGAACAAAGTAGGATTTTCTTGACATTCCTGAAGTTCTAAATGGAGCTTTGAACACTGAAGTTAAAATACGACAGAAGTAAAACAATTATCACTAATTTCATTAAATGATTGTTGAGCTGTGTTGTAAAGTTAATAAATTTAAGTTTATACAATTGAATGCCGACTCAGTGGTTTTAATGATGAACTATTCCTTTCGAGAACTGAAGATGCTAGGTTCGATCTCCATCATAAATTCATGGATGCTCACATCTGAAGAATTCCAATACCTTTTGATTTTCAATGGTACCCCTATTGATATCACTGCGTGAAGAATGAAACCTATAAATATTCTTGTCAATTAATTTTATTTGGTTAATAAATCATAGATCATGTTTGATCCCACTATAATTCACCATTTTAATTCTCACATTAAAAATTGATAAACATGAAGTTCAAACTTTTTACTACTGAACCTCTTCTTTAATGGTTAGAAACAGCTCAGTGATATTATTCTTTCCTTTTTGTACATTTTTCGGAAAAACGTACATATGCAACAGTTTTCTATAATTGATAAATAATTAAAAGAAAGAACAAATCGTTAAGTGATTAAGTGCTCGCGCGCGAAACCAGTAAGTCCTGGGTTCAAATCTCGCAGGGGGCGAGGTCGTAGATGCACACTGCTGAGGAGTCCCATACTGGGACGAAACGGCCGTTCAATGCTTCCAGGTTTTTCATGGTGGTCTAGCTCCAATTGATTCATGATTTCAACCAGTGAAATGAAAAATTCTTAATCATCTTACCTTCTCAGAGTTGATAGATCATTATTACTAGCAGCAAATAATAATGTAGTAACTGCATCTGTTCGATAAGAATCACGTGGTTTCCGTGGATCAATTTTTTTATCATAATGTAAATGACTTTCATAATGATGAAGGATAAATCTATGAACAAGTTCCTAATTGTATGAAAAGTGTTTCCAGGATGATCATAAACATGTAAAACAAAAAGAGAGAGAGAAAGTGAAAAACAATCAATTACTATTATAGTGAACAGAACACAAGTGAGGACAATCGAATTATATTTAGCACAAAATTACAGAGTTACTTGCTAAAATAGAAAAAAACCATACTATAATACATAATTTGCAAAATGTTCAATAATTGTCGCGAACTTCGTTGTTCTTGCATTTCCATACTGATTGCTTTCTATTCCCGTTCTTAATTTCTTGATCTTCTCCATCTTCTGCCGCCAGACATTACATTCCTGACCCGCGTCATATACTACTTATATCAATATAAGTAGCACGCACCATACTATGATATAGTTACTTCATATTATTGACATTATGCAAATTTGTGATTGATAGGCAATCAATTTATACTGTTTTGTAAATCCTCTGAAAAGTGGATTTACACTCTGTAAGTGGTCCAATGTAGAACGATATTTAGACATGTAAAAATAAAATCATTTATTTATTGATTCATATAGTTGGGTGTAAGCCATAGTTTTCAGATGAGTTGATGATATGACATGACTAAGTTATTGTATGTAATGTTACAGTTCTATGGAATAATATGTACTTCGATTGTGTAGTGCTAGTTACATTATTAAGCCCATATAAATTATTCTAGCTTCTGAAGAAGCCAATCTATTCATTTGTTTTGAGTTACATTTTGACCTTGTTAATTATTCACTCAATAACCATGACTGTTTTTATGTAAGCGTATGTGTATGCATTTTTTATCTTACTCATCAAATGCCTGTAACTTATTTTCTTTTGGCTATAAATATAAATCCACGATTGATTAAATCGAGTTGGCTCACATAACTTCTCCACTGAGCGCCATTTCGCTTCGCTCTTCCTTCTTTGTTTCATCTCCCTGATTACTTTTTCAAATCAATGTGTGCATGAAATATACATATTCGAAATCCAGTTCCGTATTCGCCTTATTTAATTCCGCTATTCATCAACGTGAGTTATATCAATCATAATATAAGAGGATAGCCAACATTCATACGATCCAGTGACAGTCAGATATCGGGTCACTAAAATTTATCTCTAATATAAATCATGTGTCAAATTATTTATTTATTTATTTAAACACATAAACATAGGTACAAGAAAGCACCAAATAGATTTGTGTGATGGCTAGGATACAACCCAAGTTCCCAAACCGAAGCGGGTGGTCTTCTTAGAGGGCCACAGCCGGAGCCTTTGACCTAAAGGTCTGATTCACAAGACAGTGGAACAACATAAGGAGATTCAGTCCCATGGCGGCCAGTGACCAACAGTTGGTTCATACAACACTTGTTTCCTTAGGATCCTGGAGCTCTTGTGCACCATTGATTTGGAATCAGGTTTTTCCATATCCCCTAAGTGAACATTTCGTATCCACCAACCCTGTTAAAGCGCCGGACATTCGCTTTTCGTCCTTTCACTTTCGTGAACAATGTTAATGCCACGAGAAGGCAGTTACTAGAACTTCCCCGGAAGTGATTATATGCACGTGGCCATGTGAGAGCATTTCGAGAGGAAGAGCTGACACTCTCCACTCTTGACTGTTCCAGGGCATTAGGGGGTATGCATCAAAGAGATATAATCGAAATCTTTTATTATTAAAAAAACTACCAAATGAACTAATAAGTTAATGAGCTCTACTTATAGAATTAATCCAATTAACGTAATTATAACGCGTTTAGACGAATCTCATAGAAACTGTGAATATTTCCAGTCATCTCAAACATTAATTAAGTCATGAAAATCTTCCAGAAGACAAGACGTCCTATATAATTCAATTAAATAAATTAATTCACTGATAGACTGGATGTTAAAAAACAAATAATTAAATTTATTTAAAAAGTTAATAAAGTGAAAACTAAATAAATCTAAATAAAAAAATATATGAAATCAGAATATCAATAGTTGAGATCATCAGTCGATTGAAGCTAGATCACCATGGAAAACCTGAAAGAACTAAACGGCCGTTTCGCACTATTGTGGGACTCCTCAGAAGCAATGCGCATCCACGACCCCGACTCACGAGATTCCAACCCAGAACTTATCAGTCTCCCACTAGACCACTGAACTGGCTTTCATCAAACGGTGTTAATGTCTAACTTCAACTAACCCACAAAATTGAGCAACACATCCACCATTTTCATTTGTGAGTTACTATCCTACAACTGACCCGGTTGAAGTTCACTGGTCACTGCTTCTAATTAGAACTCCAGGATATACATCTTGAGGCCAGTTAGTAGTGAGCGTATGTTGAGTAGTATCAGAAGGGGCTTTGTGGAGATTGTAGTAATTTCAGTGGTTGAGATCATGAGTCAATTGAAGCAATTGAAGTCAATTGTAATCAGAATAGTAAAGTAAGTAGAATGCTAATTGCTGATTTGTCATACAAGAGATTGATTGCTATCTGAATAGCTCAATAGCAAATTTATAAATTATGACGGTAAATAATGAAGATTTATATTCTAATGAAAGCATCACTTCTTCAAAATAATGAAATCTAGCTAACCTGGAAACTAAATCTAAGGTTTCCTTCCTACTACTTCCAACCGCATAACAGCTGATAATTATAATACTTGGACTAACTACATACTCACGTACTTACCTAATTACTTACGTCTGTTACTCCTAATGAAGCATAGGCCGACGACCACCATTCTCCAATCCACTCCGTCCTGGGCCTTCCTTTCTCGTTCTATCCAATTTTTGTTCATGTTTCTCATGTATGTCTACATTCCTTGGTGTAATGTGTACTTTGGTCTTCCTCTTCTACTTTGGCCTTGAAGATTCTAGGTGATGGCTTGCCTTCTGACGCAGTCGAGTGCTTTCCTCAATGTGTGTCCTATCCACTTCCAGCGCTTCGTCCTGATTTCTTCCTCCACTGGAATCTGACCAACGAATCCGAAGTATTTTGCGTAGACAACTGTTAATATACACTTGTATCTTCTGGATGATGGCTTCCGTAGTTCTCCAAGTCTCCATCTCATACAGTAGAACTGTGTTGACATTTGTATTGAAAATTCTAACTTTGGTGTTGGTTGACAGTTGTTTTGAGTTCGAGATGTTCTTCAGTTGTAGATATGCTGCTCTTGCTTTGCCGATCCATACCTTCACATCTTCAGCAGACACACCGTGTTCATCAATGATGCTGCCCAAATATGAAAAGGTTTTTACATCCTCAAAAACCTCTCCGTCAAGTGTGATTTTATTGTTGCATATTGTGTTGTATAGGAGAATCTTGCCTTTCCGTTTATGTATGTTGAGACGTACTGCTGCTGAGACTGCTGCTACACTGGTCGTCTTTTCCTGCATTTGTTGTTGCATGTGCGATAGAAGAGTCATATCATCTACGAAGTGTAGATCGTCAATCTGCATCCTATCTGTTTACTGTATCCCATGCTTCTTCTCAGATGTTGACGTCTTTAGTTGATTCATCAGGAGACTGGATTATTTCTACTCTTACTACTATTGATGTATTTGGAAAATTACATCATTTAATTTCATGAAAGCTAATTATATCTATGCTATATTTTAATTTACTTCATTGAAGAATGACTTGGTAACAGTTTTACAATTAAGTTTGGAACATGATAACAATCTTTACTAGAAATTATTTTCAATTTTGAGAATGTTTAATTTTTATTCAGATACCGAAACTAATCTCTTTCAGTGTTATTTATTTCTAAGCTAATTAGACAACAAATTGACTCCAACAATCCCAATTCTGTTTACGAATATATCAATGGATGAAGATCAATTGTATACTTGTAGCTTTTAAATATTGAGCAAATACGATTGAATGATTATGTAAATGAAGCTACAGTAATCGGGTTTTATAAGTATTTAAATATACTTTCAGTTTTGCTAGTTCACTTTAACATTCATTCTAAACAGACTGCGTTCTAATATATAGTGCATTTAGAAATTGATCTTTTAAAGGAAGACAGAGATGTTTCAGGATGTTACCATACACAGAATACTCTAAAACATTAATTAAATGTTTTTATGAATTTAGTTGGTCCGCTACATCATTCACTAGTTATGTTAACAGTATTGATGAGACTATAATTTATGGATGACATTTGAACGATGCCGGACTGACCTTGAGAGTCTCTACCTAATGGTGCACATGGGCTCCAGTACCCTGCGGGAACAAATGGCGTATGAACCAATTGTTGGTCACCGGCTACCATGGGACTGCATCTCCTTACGATGCTCCACTGCCTTGTGGGTTAGACCTTCAGGTCGAAGGCTCGGGGAGTGGCCCCCTAAGAAAACCACCTCTTTCGGCTTGGGCACCCGGGCAGTATCACATCCCTCACACATATCGAATGAGATTTGTGTGGCGCATATGTATTTGGTGCCTCCTTGTACCGATATCTACTAGGACTAAATAAGGGATATAAAGCAGTTTGAACAATAACGATTATGATTTATAGTTGATGCCTAAGATTAGGAATTAGATTGAGCGTTTTCATCACGAAACGACATCAGCTAAAATGCCAAGATGCTATTTTTCCAAATGGGTTGTTGAATTTCACACCAAAACCTAAAACCTGTTATCTTATACCTAATTGGTTCATCCATAAATTATAGTCTCACCGTCTATAACATATATTATTCAATACTTGAAACTGATTCTTACAACGCTTTCTTCAATTTCACCATAAAGGAAATGATATAAGCTATTCATAGAGTAGGTTTTTCAGAGAAGAAATTAGTTTTGGTTTAGAAAAATGATTGGAAAAATAACTAAAAGTACACTTAAAGCAAAATGTAAACAAAAACAATGAAAATTCAAATAAGGAAACTTAGCAACAATCAATCTGAATCTTTCAATCATTATAAATTCATAAAGCATATAATAAATGGTATATACGTGTATCTGATGAAAGTAGACTGATTGGCAGAAACTTTGAAGTTTCTCAAGATGATCAATGAACTTCTATTCATATCAAATTTGATAAAATAATAACATAGAAAACTTTGTAAAGATTATCTAGTTTATAGGTTTTATAAATAGACTGATTTTAACTTAAGAATTGATGAAAAAATGGGATTGATTGGCTAGGTGTTTCATACTAATATACAATTCAATAGAGCACAATTATGACTTCATATGAGATAGAAACTAGGATTTTTAAATATCAGAGATGACAATGGATCTTGATAACGTTATTAAAAGCTTTTTGTGTCTGAACCTCTCGAATTCGGTATGCTACTACTGAGTATAAGCTATTATGAAGCCCTATACTAAAATGAAATGGATGATTTCCAATATATATCCGCGGTATATATCACAAATTTGCCAACGTTCTATTTATCAAACGCATAGAACCGAGGTAGTATTTTTTTAAATTTTTCATCCTCTTCAAACAAGACTCCAATCTGATTTCATCATCACTTCTGACTTTTTAAAAGTTATAATGATGATTAAGTGAAACTATAATTTATGAATGACTTTTGAACGATGCCAGATTGACCATGAGGGTCTCTATCTACTTACTATGGCTAAATCAGGGTTATAAAGTAGTTTGAACAATAACGATTATGATTTACAGTTGATGGTTAGAGTTAGGAATTAGATCGAATGTTTTCATTACGAACTGATATCAACTATAATATTAAGACTCTATTTAACCAAATGGGTAAATGAATTTTGCGCTAAAATCTAAGACCCCGTTATCTTATATCTGATTGGTTCGTTCAGAAATTATAGTCTCCCCGATGATTATTGTATTATACTGAAAGTGAAAAGTTAATTTAAAACTTTATTTTTTTTTAAATACAAAGACCATTTGGTTTCGAATTCCACATTTATCAATTATTTCAGTGTAAAACTGTGATGTTTGAATGAACTAAGTGATACCTTTGTATTTGTTGAATACTTGAATTCGAATTTTAAATACAGTACATTCATTTGTGGTTATCTAGCAGTTCTTGATCCGATTGCGTTATTTCTGGGATTCCTAGTTCATACTATAATTCAAATACTCCTGAATATTGAATTGAGGTCACTAACTTCATGCCCAACTCTCCTCCTTTATCCGGGCTTGAGACCGGTAGTAGCCCCCAAAGGGACTCCAGGCGGAGGAAGACCAAAGAACATATTACGCCGAGAAATGGAACAAGAATTGGATGGAACTAGAAAAGAAGGCCCAGGACAGAGTGGGTTGGAAAATGCTGATCTACGGCCTATGCTCCATTAGGAGTAACAGGAGTAAGTAACTCGTGAATATTACAAAAACATTATTCTAGCTGAACTAATAAACCTACACTCTAAGATTACAAACTAGTATCTTTACAATGTACTTGTTTACAAAATAAAAAAGGGAAATCTAAGTAGTTGTTCTATTCTATACTAGTCAATATGAATTTGCTTTTGTTTATTTATTATACAACTACATTTTGTACAATATGAACTGTCCAAAAATACTGACTAATTTGAACTTTTAACTCAACTATACAAACAAACAAACAAACAATAAAATCAATTTTATCCATAACAATAAAATGAATCAATAATTCATGGAATGTCCAATAAGGTTTCATTGATAATTACAAGAAATAGTAAATCTATTGAAACCATATTAAAAATCGATTTGAAATGTTCTGGAAATTGTGAATTCAGTCAATAGATATATCATTATGGGTAATATGTTATTCCATTTACAAATAATCAATATTTCCATAATATTAATGGATGTAATATGATTAAACAAATAAACAGAAGATAGATCTTTAAACTAATCGAAAATTAGAGAGGGGTTATATGATGATGAAGAAGATTTGTAGTTCAGGTAGATGATTTTGATGTAATTTTTCTCTCTGAGCTGGATTGTTTTGTCGTGGAGATTTCATCGTTCTTCTGAACGACATCATCAGCATAAACTTCAGGTAGAAGTGAAGTGTTCGAAGAACAATGAAAGCTCCACGATCAAACCATCCAGCTCAGAGAACAAAACTCCATCAAAAAGAGGGGGTTTGTGAATATTATAGTAATTTTAATAGTTGAATTCATGAGTAGATTGAAGCTAGACCACTATGGTAAACCTGGAAGCATTGGATGGCTGTTTCATCCTATTATGAGACTCTTCATCAGACGTTCAATGCTCGCGCGCGAGACTGGTATGTCCTGGATTCGAACCTCGCGAAGCAGGAACGTGGATGAGAAGTGCTGAAGAGTCTCATACTAAGATGGAATCTTTAAAAAGAAATAATATTACCCATTGGGTCCTCAATCATTTAGAGACGAAAGTACTGAAATCATAGGTCTAATCTAAATATTCTCAGTTTCATCTGATATACACTCATGAGTGTACTTTGATGAGAACTTACATACTAATATGAAACAGTTATAATGCGATTATTGTTTTTATAAAAGTTTTCTAACATATTAGTTCACGTTGAAAGGAAGCGTTTTAGAAAACACTGAATAAACTTGAAATATGATAGAATTATCATCATAGTGAAAAAGGAATCTATCAATCTATTTCTACATATAACTCTGGCTTCAAACTGTGAGTAGCTGAACATTTCATAGAGTAACATAGATCAAGGGTGATAAACTCACTGAATGCTTAACTCTACTTTGTAAATGATCTTGAAAAAATATGGGAAAAACATAATATGCATTGTGTCATAAACGAAGTAATCGAACTTCAATTGTCTCCTCCTAAGACATACTTTAAGAGGCTCTTACATGTAATAAACCTTCAATCATCAACCTACACAACTAGCGCGAGTGGAGTAGGTGAACCGATATACATATACCGGATTATCTAATGAAAAGAACAGCATCCTTCGTAATGGTTTGAACTAAAATCATCTTCCAAAGGTATATGTAGAAACTTCTAGAAGTAATTTTCATCTTTTTCTCAGTTTTACTATTTGGTCAGTTGCTCAAATAATAATCCCCCTAATAAGTACAGCGAATAACCGGAATTTTTAAAAAAAAGAACATGAAAATCTAACTAAAACGAAATTAACGTTCAATAAGTGAATAGCACTGACTTGACAGAATTGTATACCTCTCGCCGAATTCCCATGTCTATCAATCGGTGGTGACCAAACAGCTAAACCAAGTAAATTAGGCACGACTACCATGATTATACCGGATACACCAGATTTACATGGCAAACCAACCTTTTTGAGTAAATGTAGAATGTTTATATATGTATATATGTAAAAGAAAGCAATGAATGATTAGAGAAATGTGGTAAGCATAAAACGATACTGTAAGGTTATGTATTTACGTATATTGTACAAAATGCATCAATATAAACTCGTCAGTATGGAGATTGTTGACGTTTCGTTGAACAACTATTAAAAATCAAGAAGTATTGTCCAGCTATGGTATGGAATTAACGTTTCCATAACCTCTTCAGTGACTGAACCAATGTCCTTCAAGTTTTGTGATAGTTATTTAAACATTAGCTCCCTTACATTATTAACAATAGTTAATTGTAGCTACAGACAATCAGTAACTTTAAATTATAAAATAAGTTTTGGGTGAAATTATAATTTACGGACAACCTTTGAGCAACGCTAAAGTGATCTTGAAAAAAACTCACCAACTTACTAAAGTCTAAAGAGGGTTATAAATTAGTGTGAGAAATCAGAATCGGAATTTAGAGTAAGAAGTTTGGGTTAAGAATTACAATTAGAGTTTTTGTCATGAACTGACGTCAGCTATAATGCTAAAACGCTATTTAACCATCTGGATGAATGAATTTTGTTCCGAAACCCAAGACGTGTTACCTTAAATCTGATTGGTTCGTCCATAAATTATTGTCTTGCCGAATTCTCTTTTTAACAAGATCATTAAAGTCATACTACAGATTAATTTTGTTCTAAGTACATCTTTCATAGATTTCATGATTGATGAAGGTTCCTGCGTTTGTCGAATAACCGTCAATGACAATAATCACTGTTATTCTTGTCTAAGATAACTTAGCTTATTTATACTATAGAGATTTTTTCACAGACAGTTGAACAGTTTCGAAATGTTTTTTCCTTTATAAACTGAAACGGTTAAAGAATCACTGAAGGTCAGTAAATGTGGTTCAGTATCACTTGCTATCACAGGTTAATTAAGGTATAAAATGTAAGCCATTTGAATGTAACTTATAGATTTTAGAGGAATCATGCTGCTAGAGAAACCTGAAATTCGTGGGTTCAAAACTCATATTTAAAGTGTACATTGTTAAGTAGTCAAAAATTAATAAAAAATACAGGACAATATGCTATGTTTGAAGAGCTTTCGAGTTCACCTAGTCTGAGAACGGAACAAAGACTCTGTGACCAAAGACCAATAAGGTAGCTATTCTGATGCGTCCCAGCTCTGCTAACTAGAAAATAAGTCGAAGTTCGAACGGGGGAATATATTCCGCAAGCAACCAGAAGCACGAGCCATAACAACAGGCACAAACCAAACGTATATATACAGTATAAAACTGTCCTTGGGATGCGTTACAAAATAGTATACTAAAAGATACAACGGACCAATAGTATTTAAGATTCTCCCAAGTTGGAAATATGACGTGAAGGTGAAAAGAGCGCGTTTGGCGCGAAAACAAAACTAAGATATTTATCAAATGAGTTCTGAGGATCTAACATCCTCAACACAATGTATGTTCGGCCCTTCAGTTGGTGTTATTCCATTACGAATAACCAGTTTATCTATAATACAATTAAGTTAATAATAATGGTGGTCTAGCATCAATCGGTTCATGATTTCAATCAAAACCTTAGCGATTTCCGCAACCACTAAACTGATAATTACCATGTGCTCACTAGTGACTAGCTTTGTGAGAAAATTCTCGGAGTTCTGGTGAGAAGCCGTGACCAGTGGAGCTAATCCATGTCGGGTAGAAACAGGTGTCTACCTCAGTACAATCGAAGATGGTCGAGTAATTTCGTGGATTGATTGAGGTTAGACATTGACACCGCTAGATGCCGGCTCAGTGGTCCAGTAGACTAAGCGTTTGCGCGTGAGACTGAGGGCCCTGGGTTCGAATCCCGCGAGCGCGGTAGTAGATGCCCACTGCTGAGGAGTCCCATGATAGAGCGAAACGGCCGTCCAGTCCCTCCAGGTTTTCAATGGTGGTCTAACATCAATCGGTTCATGATCTCAATCAAAAAATCAACAACCTCCACAACCCCTAAACTAACAAAAATAGTTCTTTAACTTAAAAATCTGATTTGCTTCCAGTTTCTTTAATTAAAAATGATAATTATCCCAGTAAATTTAAACTCAAACGATGATACAACAATTTACCTTAAATGCAAATTGTCCTGAATAATCATACATTCCACATGAATGCATAACAGATAGAGTATCACGTGCTGCAGCTGCACTTACTACAGTTTCATTTGTTAATGGATTAATACCACCATTTGCTAATGTTCCAGCCATAATACCAGCTGATTCACAAGTGACTTCAATTGAACATATTTGAAAATAAAAATCCATTAATTCACGTAATTCAAAAGTTGGCGGGAAACATTTATTTTCCCTCATATAATATGCAATAGCAAAATTACGATCAGCTGTTTCACGTTCTGATAAAAATCTAAAAATAATTTAATAAATAAAATAATTAAACACAAAAAAGATCATAAATAATACTCAAATTCATATATCAATGATTCAAAAGTATGAAAATGGTTCAAACAAATAGAATAGATCACCATAGAAAACTTGAAAGCACTGAACGGCTGTTTCATTCTAGACTGGGACTTCTCAGCAAAAGTTGAGTGCTCGAGCGTGAGACTGATAGGTCCTGGGTTCGCGAGATGAGATCGTGGATGCAAACTGCTGCGAAGTCCTATACTAAGATGAAACGTCCGTTCAGTGCTTCCAGGTTTTCTATGGTGGTCTAGCTTCAATTGATTCATGATCTCAACTATGGAGATAGAATGTTGTTTTTTGGAAATTATATCATATAGGAATTCAAAATGGTTTATAGTACAACAACTGTCCGACAATCAATTTCGATTATGGTTAATTTTGGTTAATCCCATTTTTATTAACTTACTTAACAGATAATGTTATTTGAACAGTGATAATTCGCATATTTCTTTGTACTATTATGATCACTATCTTCTCTGTATAAACGAGTACTCTTGATCACATGACAACCTACCTACATATCTCTCTCTATTTTAAAGATGCGACAGCTTTAATATCAATCATTCTCTTTCCCACAAATCCCATTATTAGCCTTTGCTTTGACTAACTGTGTCTTGACTCCATTTGACTATCAATTCTCTTCTCTACTCCAAACGCCCTCGATGGGCTTATAACTTTGTGATTCATGCTATCCGTTAATAAACTATAATCGCCCATTCCTTATTGCCTTTTGATTTCAAACACCATTGGGAATTTATACAATAACGGTTATCATGGTGACTGATTAATGAAGCTAAACCACTACAATAGAATACATGTGAAATACTCGTGTAAAACTAACCAGTACATAATGTTAACTTGAATATATCTACATGCCAAATAAAATTCTAATTGTCAGGATAAATTAAGAGAACTTACAGTGAAAAACAGTATTAATGTAATTACAGATCGAATCAAATGTTCGATCAACGATTATATAATAAAATATAGATTGATTTCAATCCAGTAAGAACTAATAAGCAATAATGAGTGACAACTAAATTATCCACGTATTTGGAAGCATGTTCATATTTAATAATCATAATAATAATTGAATAAAGCAAATTTAAATTACGAAAATCCAATGGAAAAAGGTGTCTGCGTTTTTTTCTGGTTAGCGTTTTTTTTAGCGAGTTAGTTTTCTACGGGATGGGGTCGCTAACCTCATGCCAAACCCTTCTCCTTGACCAGAGCTTGGGACCGGTAGTAACTCTAGAAGAGCTACAGGTGGAGTTTGAAGGGTGCCTGCACATTAATCAAATTCAGTTAACCACTTATCAAGATGACTATTGATTTATTAGACCTGAAACTGACCAAGAAAGAACAGTAATTGAGCGTAATATTCTTACACATAAAACTCAAGGTTCTTTATTGCTAAACAGCTATTACTTATGCTATTTAAAGGATGTTGAGTCTGAAATACTTTGTTAAACAATAAATAACCTAATAAATTATTGAAAACAACTAATCAGACATGTTACTCTGACACGTTTGAAATGGATGGAGTTTTCCACAGTTCTGATCATACATTTGATAACCCAGTTCACAAGTAGGAAGGAGTAAATTCCTAAAAATTTGACTGATGCAAACTGCATCATAGAAGTAAGTGAATAGGTAAATAACAACGATGTTATCAAACTTAAGCAATTTATCTATAACCCTCAGTGTTACCGTCAAAACTGTGGAAAACATTTTCCTGTATTGAACGTTTTTCGAAGTGCTTAGAATAATCTATGAATTAAGATTTTTCTATTTTAAGCGTTCTGAGTTCGACTTCATTCAAGAGATCGATACTTAAACAGTAAACTATGAAAAATAGCTGATTATTATTAAATTTGACCCCCCGTTACACTAGACTGGATGAAACCAAGCTGTGAAAGATAAAACATTGAACCAATGATTCTTAATAGCTTGTAGATGAAGAAAACGTACTCAACGCTACTCAATAGTAGTACAGTATCATAACTAAAATATTTGATGTTAAATTCTATAAATAAGCAATGAGTACAGCTAACAGTGCTTAATTCAAATGATAACGTTCAAATATTTTTCCTGACTGTAAGTACAATATACAGTTAGCTTTGATTTTCAATGGTAAAATGATAATAAGCGCTACCATATGAATGTGACTGAAACCAAAATCTTTCAAAAACAAATAATCAAGGTTGTGGTTACAGGTAGTCGATAGAAAACCATAGACTTAGGTTTCATGCTATTTGGTACCCATCACTAAGGTGAAGTTGTAATCTTGAAGGAACTAATAGTCTTTGGCAGATTCGATCCCGTGCCACCTAACTTAAAGACGTTAGCACTGAATTGTTCGGGTCACTACTGGCCTATTACAGAACTGAAATATGTTTACACTTACTTAATCCTGTCAACTACCATCAACCACCACCTTACGTATCAACCTGGTGTACACAATACCGAATCACTCAGACTAGTGACTGAAGTGGAACTTGATAAATAGAATCTGATGAGTACTAAAATGTGGTTCACATACAAGATATTGGTCGCTACTGAATGATCAATTGATTAGTCGATGAAAATGAACAGATTTTTAGGAAGCGGTGAGATCGGACCATGAAACAGGTAAGGAGTTGTATTGATTAGATCGTTTAGACTGTCCATCTGATACCAATGACCTTCGGCTAACCAATGAGATAACAGACGAGAGTAATAATAAATTATAATTGATCAAGAATACAATATACCACACTCCGTCATCCAGTAGGCAGCATAAAGAACAACTGAGTAAGCAGATAGCTTATACAGTTCAAAGTTAGGAATATCGAGTAAAATTCTGGCCTTACATCAAGAGAATTAAGAAGATACAATCTAGACATAACTGAGTCATAAGTGAAACACAATTGAATAATAGGTCTGTGATAAATTAACACTAACTCTAAAAAAGCGAAGCTGTGAAGCTATAATTTATTGACGACCTTTGAGCAACGCCAGACTGACCTTCAGGGTCTCTACCTACTTACTAGGGCTAAATGAGGGTTATAAAGTAGTTTGAACAATAAGGATTATCATTTACAGTTGATGATTAAGGTTAAGAATTAGATTGAGCGTTTTCATCACAAACTGACATCAGCCAAAATGCCAAGACGCTATTTGGCCAAATGGGTGGTTGAATTTCACGCCAAAACCCAAAACCTCTTATCGTAAATCTGATTGGTTTATCAATAAATTATAGTCTCGCCCGTTACTTATTAATTATCTAATAAGAATATAAATAATAACATGAGATAGGACCGTTCAGAGAAATCACTTTCATCTCATATTTATCCTGACATATCATCAACTGATCGTAAAGGAAGAATTAAACTAAATAACTTCCAATAAATAACGTTGAAAAGAATATCCAAAACTAGGTAATTCTGTGGATAATTATGTGAATCTCACGAACGGACATCATATGACAGTTTCGTTCCTGTTCCAAATTCTTTGTCAGTGTGAATAACAATAACAACGGTCGATTCTCCTCAGTAACATGAATAAACTATTCAGCTGTAAAGTTGAAATTTCACTCCTCTGTATATCTACTTTAATACATCTCAGATAGCCCATACCATTAATCTATTCTCATCAATGAATTACTGACTGATTTATCCACAAATTACTTGACTTTTCATCAATCAACATATCTTGAAGGTTTCCATAGAAACATTTTTCAAAGCTGATCCATCACTAGCAAACACAGAATTATTATTATTATTATCTATTCAACTATAGAAATAAAAAGTAATACAAAAATGTCAAACTTACACAGCATTATTAAATCCCATTGGTAATCCACCAGCCATTTGACTAAATTTATTTTCAACATATTTAAAACGTTCTGAAGGATTTAAATTTGGTTGTAGTATACTACAAATAGCTAATGCTCCGGAATTTATTAAGGGATTATGTGGTTTATCTAGTTAATAAATAAACATTTTAAATAAATATTCATTATCAGAATGAGTTTTGTGAAGATTTTAGGAAATTTCACAGGTTGAAATCATGAGTCAGTTGAAGCTAGACCACCATTGAAAACCTGGAAGCACTGAACGGCCGTTTCGTCCTAGTATTGGACTCCTCAGCAGTGCGCATCCACTGAAGACAATGGTGTTCGGTGGCGCAACTTCGTGGATTGGTTGAAGTTAGACATTAACACCGTTGGATGCCGGCTCAGTGGTCTAATGGTTAAGTGCTTGAGCGCGAAGCCAGTAGATCCTGGGTTCGAATCCCGCGGGGTGCGGGATCGTGGATGCGCACTGCTGAGGAGTCCCATACTAGGACGTAACAGCCGTCCAGTGCTTCCAGGTTTCCAATGGTGGTCTAGCTTCAACTGACTCATGATTTCAACCTGTGGAATATTCATTAGACAATAATTTTCAATAAACCATAAAATAAATTCATTTAATGTTGTTTTTACTTGTATCTTTCCATTGTTATTTAGGACTGTAATTGATCAGTCTCTTGTTGGCATATATCCATCCTGTTCGGACTGCCTCGATATTGCCTTAGATCACAAGCTTTATAAGCAAAGATGGATAGTTGCACAAGTAGATGGCTATCAGGACTCAGTAGTTAAGTGGATACCACGATGGTGTTTGAAGCGGATGGTACTGGGTTCGAGTCTCAGATCCAACACCAACTCTGAGATGTAGGTACATCCAGCTAATGAGTCCCAAACAGGACGAAATGCGCATCCTCGATTCCACTGCTAACCACTATCCATCTTTGCTTATAAACTATAAAATATGTGCCGATATACTCATAATTAAGATAACTCATGTGAAATTAGTTAGTAGAGAATGTTAAATAAATTAGTTATCAAAGACTTTTATGGTTATTCACAACGCTTAATGTTTTTCAGAGGATAGATTTTTTAACAGTCCTTCTTATCATAAATTGACATTATTTAGAAGACTTGGGAAAACAAATGGATTGTTTCATCATAAATTAGAACTAACTCGTTAACACCGTGTATCCACGAACAAACCTCTAAAAAGGAACTTGAAGTTTGATTATGGACATAATGCCTTCAAACCTCTATTTTATTTTTTTACAACATAATAGTTTATTTTTAAAGAACAGATAAAATATAGCTAGCAGTAATATTTAAGGTTAGCACTTTGTTATATTCGAGAATCGTTAGCTTAATACACAACTATCTTACAGTGTTAATATCTATACCACGACTTAAACTCATCACTATACATCAACTTCATTGATTATGAAAAGGCATTCGACAGTGTAGATAGGAGGACATTATGGAAACTTCTTCGACACTACGGAGTTCCTGAGAAGATTGTCAATATTATCCGGAACTCATACGACGGACTACAGTGCAAAGTAGTGCATGGAGGACAGCTGACAGATGCATTCCAAGTAAGGACCGGAGTCAGACAAGGCTGTTTACTCTCTCCCTTCCTCTTTCTTCTGGTGGTCGACTGGATTATGAAGACCTCGACATCTGAAGGAAAACACGGAATACAATGGACAGCTCAGAACCAATTAGACGATCTGGACTTCGCAGATGACCTAGCCCTCCTATCACGTACACACGAACAGATCCAGATGAAAACAGCCAGTGTAGCAGCAGTCTCTGCATCAGTAGGCCTCAGTATACACAAAGGGAAAACCAAGGTCCTCACATTCAAAGCGGAGAACAGCAATCCAATCACACTTGATGGCGAAACTCTGGAAGATGTAGAATCCTTCACATATCTGGGAAGCATCGTCGATAGACAAGGAGGTTCAGATGCAGACGTAAAGGCGAGGATTGGCAAAGCAAAGGCCGCATTCCTACAATTGAAGAACATATGGAACTCAAAACAACTGTCAACCAATATCAAAGTAAGAATCTTCAATACGAAAATCAAGAAAGTTCTACTGTATGGAGCTGAAACTTGGAGAACTACAACAACCACAATCAAGAAAGTACAAGTATTTATAAATAACTGTCTACGCAAGATACTCAACATCCATTGGCCGGATACCATCAGCAATAGCCTTCTGTGGGAGAGAACAAACCAACTTCCAGCTGAAGAAGAAATTAGGAAAAGATGATGGAAATGGATAGGACATACATTACGCAAATCGTCAAACTGCATCACGAGGCAAGCCCTAACTTGGAATCCTGAAGGGAAACGGAAAAGAGGAAGGTCAAAAAACACAATACGTCGGATAATAGAAGCAGATATGAAAACGATGAATTACAACTGGACGGAGCTAGAAAGGATTTCCCAGGACAGGGTTGGATGGAGAATGCTGGTGAGCGGCCTATGCTCCTTCACGAGGAGTAATAGGCGTAAGTAAGTAAGTAAGTAACTTAAACATTATCCACCGTATCTACTGAGTTCAGAAAGTTATTAAATTGAATAAAGAGTCTGAATTTCTTTTCCTTTTTTCAATATGACCATAAATTGACTTTTCTGACCAGACTATAATTTATGAACGAATCAATCACGTATAAGAGAACAGATCTCGGATTTTGGCAGGAAATTCACTTATCCATTTGGCTAAACAAAGTCTTGTCATTATAGTTAATGTGAGTTCGTAATGGAAACCTGAAGTCTAATTCTTAACCCTTAATCATCAATTGTAAATGCTAATTTGAATTCCCCATACAGTTTCATTATCCTAATTTGATCCCGGTTGTTAAGTAGACAGATAGGATGCAGTTGGATGATCTACACTTCGTAGATGATCTGGCTCTCCTATCACAAACGCAACAACAAATGCAGGAAAAGACGACCAGTGTAGCAGCAGTCTCAGCAGCAGTACGTCTCAACATACACAAACGGAAAGGCAAGATTCTCCTATACAACACAGCATGCACCAATCCAACCACACTTGACAGAGAGGTTTTTGAAGATGTAAAAACCTTTACATAACTGGCCAGTATCATTGATGAACACGGTGGATCTGATGCAGATGTGAAGGTGTGGATCGGTAAAGCAAGAGCATTATATTTACAACTTAAAAACATCTCGGACTCAAAACAACTGTCTGTCAACCAACACCAAAGTTAGAATTTTCAATACAAATGTCAAGACAGTTCTACTGCGTGAGGCGGAAACCTCGAGAACTACAAAAGCCATCATCCAAAAGATACAGGTGTTTATTAACAGTTGTCTACGCAAAATAATTCGGATCCGTTGGTCGGACACTATTAGCAATAACCAACTGTGGGAAAGAACAAACCAGATCCCAGCGGAGGAAGAAACCAGAAAGAAGCGCTGGAAGTGGATAGAACACACATTTAGGAAAGCACTCGACTGCGTCACAAGACAAGCGCTCACATGGAATCCTCAAAGCCAAAGGAAAAGTGGAAGACCAAAGAACACATTACTCGGCGAAATGGAGACAGATATGAAGAAAAATGAACAAGAATTGGATGGAAGTAGAGAGGAAGGCCCACGACATAGTGGGTTGGAGAATGCTGGTCGACGGCCCATGCTCTATTAGGAGTAACAGGTGTAAATAAGTACGTATTAAGTGAACACTTTCAAAGTATGTTTAGTATCGCTCAATGATCGTTCATAAATTATAAATCTTAACATTTTTCTTTTTTATTTGAGTTATCATATTAATGAAATAAATAGATTCTGTCTATAAAAAATATTTTATTGATAAATTTCTCAATAAATAGATTCTGTCTATAAAAAATATTTTATTGATAAATTTCTCAATAATAAATTATATCCCAATCTATGAAAAGACAAAATACGATTGGTTAGTTTTAAGAGGATTATAAAATATGATTGGTTAATATCATTAATATAGATTTCTAGTATTTCTGTTAAAAAAAATTAAGTAACCGTTACAAAATTATAAATGGATAAAAAAAACGGGAAAAATTTTTATTGATTTTCATCCAGGTAGAAAAATTTACTGGAAATGAAATCATTATTTGAAAGGAAAAGATTAATTAGAAGGTGATATAATATTTTAGTATCATAAAAGGTTTTATGGAGATTGTAGTAATTTCAGTAGTGGAGATCATGAGTCCATTGAAGCTAATGATGAAAAATGGTGGATCTGACCCACAATTTTGTAGATTGGTTGAAGTTAAACATTAACACCGTCGGATGCCGGTTGGTTTAGTAGTTTATTAAGTTGAGTGTTCGCATGCGAGACTGAAGGCCATGGGTTCGAATGCCGCGAGCGAGATCGTGAATGTCCACTGCTGAGGAGTCACACAATAAAACAAAATGGCCGTCCAGTGTTTCCAGGTTTTCCATGATGATCTAGCTTCAATAGACTCATGATCTCAACTATTGATATTTATTTTTAAAAAATTAATAAAATTATTTTATTTATTTGAATTTAAACAAAAAGAAAAAAATATGGTAATTTTCACAGTTTATATCAACTTACCCACATACGCTTGTTACTCCTTGTGAGGGAGCATAGGCCACCCACCAACATTCTCCATCCAACCCTATCCTGGACAATGTTTTTCAGCTCTTTTGAGTTGTTATTCATCTTTTCATATCTGTTTCTAATTCCCAACGTATTGTGTTTTTTGACCTTCCTCTTTTCCGTTTCCCTTCAGGATTACAAGTTAGGGATTGCCTCGTGATGCAGTTTGACGATTTGCGTAATGTATGTTCTATCCATTTCCATCGTCTTTTGCTAAATTCCGCATCAGATGGAAGCTAGTTTGTTCTCTCCCACAGAAGGCTGTTCCTGATTGTATCCGATCAATGGGTGTTGAGTATCTTGCGTAGACAGTTATTTATAAATACTTGTACCATCTTTATGATGGTTGTTGTAGTTCTCCAAGTTTCAGCTCCGTACAGTAGAACTTTCTTGATTTTCGTATTGAATATTCTGACCTTGATATTGGTTGAAAGTTGTTTTGAGTTCCATATGTTCTTCAATTGTTGGAACGCGGCTCTTGCTTTGCTAATCCTCGCATTCACGTCTGCATCCGATCCTCTTTGTTCATCGATGATGCTTCTCAGGTACGTGAAAGATTCCAAATCTTCCGAAGTTTCGCCACCAGTTGTGATTGGGTTGGTGTTCACCGTGTTGTATTTGAGGATCTTGCTTTTTCTTTTGTGTATGTTGAGGCCTATTGATGCATAGGCTTCTGTTATACTAGTTCTCATCATCTACATTTGTTCGTGTGTATGGGATAAGAGGGCTAGGTCATCAAGGATTGATCTTAATTAAACGACAATCAAAAGTTCAACAGTACCAGATAGTTATTTGGTCATAATATCAAACCTTCTATATGTACGATCTCGAAAAAGATACTGTTCAAAGTTTTTAGATCTCATACTGAGCGCTTACTATTTAAAATGATGAATCAATATTCAATAGTCAATATTCTTGACTTCAATCAATTCACGATATGCTACCCAATTATCTTTTTTTTCAAAGTCATCAATGAATATTTGTCTCATATCTAACATAATTGAACTCCATTATTTATAGAAAAAAAATTACAAAAAGTAAAAACAACTAAACATAATTTGATGAAAACTTATAGATAAATAATTAGATTGACTTTATTGATTGAGATCATGAAGCGATTGATGTTAGACCACCATTGAAAACCTGAAAGCACTGGACTGCCGTTTCGTCCTATTGTGGGACTCCTCAGCAGCGGGCATCCACGACCTCGCTCGCGGGATCCGAACCCAGGGCCTTCAGTCTCGCATGCGACCGCTCAACCTATTAAACTACTGAACCAACCGACATCCAACGGTGTTAATGTCTAACCCCAACCAATCCACGAAATTTTGTCACCATCTTCCATTTCACTGGGGTAGATACCTATCTCTATCCGACACAGATTAGCTCCACTGGTCACGCCTTCTCACTAGACCTCCTAGAATTCCCTCACAAAGCTTTATTGTTTTCGATTATTAAAGAGTAATACGTCTGAGGTTGCATTATTTCCTCAAAATTAGTAACAAATATTTTGTATAGTTACTAAATGGTTTCTATCGTAAATATCAAGAGATAGTTTAGTGTAAATAGTAGTAATAAAAATGTGATGAAAAAGAGTTAAAACCTTTGAAAACGATGGAAAAGATTTGTAACTCAATTCGATAATTCGATGCTATTGATTTCCTTGAGTGTAATGGTTTCACCTTAAAGTATGTACTGATAAATATATATTGTCCAAAATAACGATGAAAATTTGTTGATTCATTTATTTCTAATTTAGATAATTCAGTACAATGTGATGTGTGCTACTTATATCCATAAAAGTAGTATATAAAAATAGTCAGGAATAGAATGTATTTCAGTAGAAGATCGAGAAGGAAAGAATGGGAACAGAAAGTATGCAGTAACAATGAAGTTTAAGACGATTGATTAACCTATTTCAAATGAAATATTTACTTTGTGGTTCTCAGATTTTACTAAGCTATGCCGTAATTTTGTGTTCAAATACATTCGATTGCACCCCATTTATGTTCTCCTTCACTACAACAACATTAGATTATTTAACAAATGGTTCTAAAACCTAACTTGAATTATTAACTTACTTTTATGATTTAAAGAAATTTGATTGAATGGTAATCCTGATGGTTCATAGCCAACATATTGATGAACATGTTGTGGACCTAAATCGGTCAAAGCTAATGCATATGTAATTGGTTTACTACTAGATTGTATTGTAAATGGGATAGTGCTGTCACCCATGGATAAGCTAATGAAATTTGGGGGGGGGAGAAGAAATAAACACAAACGAGTATCAATATTGAATATATATACAACAATCTTGAATAAACTTGTTATTTAGATGCTGGTGTTTCTTAAAAGATTCCATTTAATAATTGTTTTAGTGAACAAACAGACATTAATAGAAGAGAATAGGTTAAAATTAATGAAAAGTTGTTACATCAAAGCAAGAGATTCCCCAACAATGATCGTTTACAATCACTTAAACATTGATTCGTTTGATAATAGTCCATTGCTCACTTTTGATCACCTCAGTTAATTCATGATTTAGTGTGTGATCTTTATAAGCGTTACTGTGGTTATTTAGATTTAGTTAACATTATCAATAAAATGGTTTTATAGTGAAATTATTTTCGGAACTTTGTCTAGAAGATAATCACAACAAAACACATAATTACTACTTATATCAGTGACTTTGTAGAAAATTTGGCTTTTTACAAATTTTATTGGCTATAGTTGAAGAACGTATAGAACTCAAAACAACTGTCAAGTAATGTTGAAGTTAGAATCTTCAATAGGAACGTCAGGACAGTTCTACTGTACGGAACTGGAACTTGACGAACTATCACAACCATGATCAAAAATGTACCTTGAGCTATTTACTTAACAACATCAATTCTAAATTTCTCAATGGAAACTGGATCATCAATGAGGGGTAGACAGTTTGGCGTTATTTTATATTATATAATGTCCTTCAAATCCAAATGTAAAAGTATTTATAAATAATTGTCTACACAAGATACTCAATGTCCGTTGGTCGGATGCCATGAGCAACATCCTTCTATAGGAGAGAACAAACCAGCTGAAGAGGAAATGAGAAGTCGTTGGAAGCGGATAGCACATACGTTGAGAGAATCACCAAACTAAATCACGAGGCAAGCCCTAACTTAGAATCCTGAATGGAAGCAGGAAAAGAGGAAGGTCAAAGAACACATTACGTCGGAAATTGAAGCAAGCATGAAAAGGATAAGTAGCAACCGGGAAGGATTGCCCATGACAGAGTTCGATGGAGAATGTTGGTGGGCAATCTATTGTCATCGACGAGGGCTAACAGACGTAAATAAGTAATTGGCAAATTAAAGAAAGATGTTTGAATGAAACGGGATACAATGGACATCTAGGATGCAGTCGGACGATCCAGACTTCGCGGATGATCCGGCCTTTCTATCACAAACGCAACAACAAATGCAGGAATAGACGACCAGTGTAGCAGCAGTCTCAGCAGCAGTAGGTCTCATCATACACACAAAAAAAGCAAGATTCTCCGATACAACACAACATGCACCAATCCAACCACACTTGACAGAGAGGTTTTGGTGAATGCAAAAACCTTTACGTATCAGGACAGCATCATTGATGAACACGGTGGATCTGATGCAGATGTGCAGGTGTGGATCGGTAAAGCAAGAGCATTATATTTACAACTTAAAAACATCTCGGACTCAAAACAACTGTCAACCAACACCAAGGTCAGGATTTTCAATACAAATGTCAAGACAGTTCTACTGCATGAGGCGGAAACCTCGAGAACTACGAAAGCCATCATCCAGAAGATACAGGTGTTTATTAACAGTTGTCTACGTGAAATACGTCGGATTCGTTGGGCAGATTCCAGTGGAGGAAAAAACCAGAAAGAAGCGCTGGAAGTGGATAGGACACACATTGAGGAAAGCACTCGACTGCGTCACAAGACAAGCCGTCACCTAGAATCTTCAAGGCCAAAGGAGAAGAGGAAGACGAAAGGACACACTACCTCGGGAAATGGAGATGGACATGAGAAAAATGAACAAGAATTGGATGGGACTAGAAAAGAAGGCCCGGGACAGAGTGGGTTGGAGAACGCTGGTCGGCGGCCTTTGCTCCATCGGGAGTAACAGGTGTAAGTAAGTAGGTAAGTAAGTTTGAATGAACATACAGTAATTGTTTATTAAGAATTCAACGGATCATATAAGTTTCTTCTAACATCCTGAAGTAAGCTATTTATTCATCATCAAAGAGCAGTGGCTTATTGTTAGGTAGAGTTTAAACAAGTTACAAATCTGAATTCATTGTATCTAAATCCATTAAGCAACTCTCTACCAAGTTTTTGCACTAAGTTAATATTATTGATATTAGATACATAACCCTGAATCGAATCTCTGCCTAGAGATACTCATGACATATATATATATATATATTTTTCATATTCTTAACAAGGCCACCAAAGTTATGTTTTCATGACATTTTGTAAATTTTATTAGGCTACTTTTAAAAAAGGTTGAAGTTTATTTTTGGGAATCATACTATTCAGTAAAATAAATTCGCTGATGCATCCAGCGAATACAACCAATGAGTTATAGCTAAACATATGTTCAAGTGATCAAATCCTACATAAACATCAGAAAAGAAAAACGAAGTAAAACAAAGAGTAATTATCAATCCATATCATTAACTGCTAGGTTATATGTTAGTTTGATCATCTTCATAGCCTTCATCTAATCTACTCCTATACAAGCGAATATAACGCTACAAAAGATTCAATGTCTTGACTAACGTACTCAATAAAGTTTTACAACCTTATTAATTACCCTATCATCTCTACTTATATATTCAATTAACTAAATGAAAACTACAATCATCTAAAATATTAGAAACCCATGATTATCATCCAACTTCAAAGATAATACGAATGTATTTTATGTATTAAAACCGATTAAACTTAGAATCTAATTGAAAGTAATTCACTTATATAATTGATAGTATTCTTTCGATAACCTTTCTTCGAAACAAGTATAAACTATTGAAAGGCGCCATTTAATTACCTTTGAAAAAAACGAATTACCATATTATTAGAATTAGAATTCATTTGTACGTTTAAAAAAGATAAATATTACTATAAATAGTAGTATAAATATAGATATGACTTATTCTAGTTTAAAACTATAGTTTATTGTATTATTCAATTGAAAAGAGAAAAGTAATTTTACTAGTTGTGTAAGGCATGTAGTTTATCGAATTCATTGGATTGTTTTTATGATATTACAATTGATTAATCACTGAGTGATGATCAATGTCATGTGTGTCAAGTCCTTCTTAGTGCAGATTGAATCCTATCGACCAAGTTGCAATGTGGCCACTAGTCTAGGTGACTCGACATTGCGTGCACTATGTTGAGATTAGATGGTGGTTGGAGGTGGTTGACAGGAAACCCTGGACCCGGGTTTCGTGCTACTTGGTAACGTCTATGACTGTGAAGCTGGGTGACAGGTGATCGAATCTTTCAGGGAGCATCAGTTCCACCAAGATTACAGGTACACCTTGCTAACGAGTGCCAAATAGCACGAAACCTGGATCCAGGGTTTCCTGTTGACTACCTCTCACCACCATCTAACTGTTTTTATTATAACTTGATTAAATTGGAAGATTAAGTAAAATCTATGTGAAGGTAATTAACACTGTAGTGAAAAATGTTTTAATCAGAAAGGGGTATTGTGGATATTATAGTAATTTTAATAGTTGAATTCATGAGTCAATTGAAGCTAGACCACCATGGAAAACCTGAACGGCCACTTCATCTTAGTAGGGGACTCCTCAGCAGTGCACATCCACGACCTCGCCTCGCGAGAATCGAACCCAGGACCTATCAGTCTCGAGCACGAACGCTTAACCTTTAGACCATTGAGCCGGCATTCAATGGCCTTAATGTCCAACTTCAACCAATCCAAGAATTTGCGCCACAAGAGATCCGGTTGAACTTCTTTGATCACGGCTTCTCACTAGAACTCCAGGAAATACCTCTTGTAGACCGTCACTAGTAAGCATATGATGATTATAATCACAGAGGGGTTTTGTGGATATAATACTAATTTAGTAGTTTAATTTATGAGTCAATTGAAGCTGGACGACTAGTGCTTCCAGGTTTTCCATGATGGTCTAGGTTCAATTGACTCATGAATTCAACTAGTAAACGTTTTTTTGTTAAGATTTATAATAAACTCATGAAAGATACTTAGTAGCTCAAGGTGTTAAGGCTTAAAATTGGTTACAGATATATTCATTTGTTAGTTTCCTTTAAAATCTTTAATTTAAGTATTACTTAATTGTTAGGTCCCGATAAGCATAATGAATGGTAACTTTTAGGATCCATTTATGGACCAATAATATGCGTATATTTTTATCGTAACTAAACTATTCAAATTCAAGTCCCTCTTATCATAAGCTTTATTTTGATCTATGAACTATTAATATATAATCTACTATTCTTGAGTTATTCCCTGTCTATTAACTACTACCTCCCTCATTCATAGCCACATTTGACTAAGTCTTGTACAAATGTTGTTTCATATTTTATTGGAGCGTTGTGGTCTGTTTGATTTGTATATAAACTCAGTACGTTTGAAATATAAGGATTCATATTGCAGTGGCTGAGACTGGTGTTCTGGACTTAACTGGCTAGGCTAGGAGGAAAGTAGGACCAATCAGTACTCTAAACTGCTCGTACTTGTTTTACGCGTCCTTGGTTCGATCGATAATTCACTGCTCTCTAATTGGCGGTATTATTACGTTATTTATTAACATGGCACTCAGGCCACAAGTTATAACAAATGGCGATGGGGATAGGATTCGAATTCACGCGAGGAAACCCTAAAGTCACAATGTCATTCTTCTCAGTTGACCGATAATTTTCTAATTCTACATTGTTTATATCTGTATCTATTTTGGCCTTAAACAACTTGGGAGATAGTTAATTTATAGGCTATTATTTGATGGAATAATATCATTCAAAATAAACACAGTAAGAATTAGCAATTTCTTAACTTTACATGGTGATTATTGAACTGAATACATACGACTACTTTAAAATAATTGAAGTTATGAGTAGTTAATTACATGATAAAAGAATAAACAACATTTCTTGAATAATTTCAATATTCATTACTATTATAAGACACTAAAAGACACCCATCTTTATTTCCTAATAGAATCTATAACATGATACATTCTATTGGACAAAATAATAACTCATTTATAAATTTCAATCTAATGGATGCCAATCATTCAGTAGATAGAAACTATTAATTGATGAAAATTTTCATCTTATTAGTAGATAATGAAGAATAAAACCACTTTCAGTATGAATTTTGAATTGATTTGCCCTATTTATTTAAAACAATCCTCATCATCAGTAACAAAATCATTTAGAAACAAGAAGGCTTTATAAAACGCTTTGTCTCAATACTTGCCTTCTCAACAATTCACACAGAGGATGCAGTCACTAGTAGTAATAGTAATTGTAGTAGTAAATAATTACTATACCGCTAAACACGGTAAATATACCTATGGTGAATCATATCGCGGCCCGGATGGCCCAGTGGTAACGCCTATGACTGTGAAGCTGGGTGATACGGGATCGAATATATATATATATATATTGTAAATCATCTGTTCAAACTTGGAAGAATGCACCACACTTACCGTTGTCCATCTACAGTGCACAATGATAAACCCCAATAGTTTGGATTCATTTCTTTTAATTCTGGTATATAACTGGCTACTTGACCACTTGTATTTTCTTTGCATAAATTAAAAACTGTTTGAATTTCACTTGCAAAGGATTCAAAATCTGGTATACAAAAATCATTTGTCATAATGCGTAATAACATATGAAGATTTTCTGTCGCTACACTGAAATAAGAAACGCAGTATAATTTGAGATAGTGGAGAGAAGATTTGTAGCTCAGGTGGGTGATTTTGATGGAGTTTGGTTCTCTGAGCTGGATGTTTTGGTCAAGGAATTTTCATCGTTCAGGTTTGTGCTGACGAACTCGTTCAGACGAACGACGAAAGCTCTACGACCAAACCATCCAGCTCAGAGAACAAAACTCCATCAAAACGATGTAATTTAATTTATCATATAATAATTTCAGTATAAATAGAAATCAATAAAATAACCAATAAAACTGAGTGGAGTACTGAGAAAACACTATATTTCCGACCTTTTATCATCAAGAACATATACTCAGAGACTGACAAAGGATATAATCCTGAACTACCGGGAAACTGACAGTGAGAAAGATACTTTCAAGTCACTGGGTAGGAATTCAGTCGCTTATATTTTTAAATCTAGCTACTGTGATACAACGTGATTATCAATGAATATTATCGTTAAGTTACTATATCAACTCTAACTTTTCTAGCTTCATATGTCATTTCATACTTGCTTAAATTGTTGCAACTTTAAAAATATCTAATCTTATTTACGAATCTATGCATAGTGAAATGATTCAATTTATACTTTATGTTCAACCATAGGAACTTTTGCTGAATTAGGTTAGGTGAAACAAATAAGTCTTAGGATACTTTGAAAGCAACAGATACACATTTTAATGAGTTAACTGACCAATTACTGGTAAATAATGTCATCAGTATGGGGTTGTAGAGATTCATTATCTCAGTCAAAAAAAAGTGTCATACCTATCTAATCCTTGGTTCTGATAGAACTCGGTGGACTAGTTCACCAATTAGTCACTAGTCTAAGTGAATAAATACTGCAATGTTTGATAGTAATGGACAAAAATCTCTAAATTTCGATTTGGGATAAAGAATACACGTCATAAATGCAACCCGATGGACTTTGAATAGAACTAAGAAGTAAATGACATAACATTGATTGCTACTCAGTGATTATTTAATGTACAGATTTCAGTAGTACATAAAGTCTTTCAAATCATAAATATACTAATTTACTGTTTTCTGTTGTGAAAATGTGACCCGAGCGTTTGATCTCCATCCAAAGCATGAGTTCTAGTAAAGATTATACATATATATTAATGAGAATAACTTAGCACAATGTCCTCCACTTGCATATTATGATTAATATTGTATCTTGAGGATAAAGAACTATGAATTACGCCATACACTTGTTCAGATTTATTCAGTTTATCACTTTCTTAATTTTTAATCAATATATTATCAAGGCTAGATACACTGAATACATATACATTTAGACGATTTGAAATTCCTCGAGAAACGAACTAACTGTGTTAGCATAATCCGCGTCTGATAATCTTCGTATTACTAGTATAATGGTTGTGGAGATTATTAAGTTTTTGATTGAGATCATGAACCTATTGATGTTAGACCACCACCTTTGGAAACCTGGAAGCACTGGACGGCCGTTCCGTCCCAGTATGGGACTCCTCAGCAGTGCGCATCCACGATCCCGCTCGCGGGATTCGAACCCAGGGCCCTCAGTATCATGAGCGAACGCTTAACTAACTGCACTATTGATCTGGCATCCAATTGTGATAGTGTCTAACATCAACTAATCCACGAAATTGCCCAACCAACTTCCGTTTGTACTGAGGTAAATACCTGTCTCTACCTGACATGGATTAGCTCCATTGGTCACGGCTTCTCACTAGAACTCCGAAAATTCCCTCACGAAGCTAGTCACTAGTGAGCACATGTTGATCGCAATTTAGTGGATTGGTTGATGTTAGATATTATCACAATTAGATGCCAGCTCAATGGTCCAGTTAGTTAAGCGTTCGCGCGAGACCGAAGGCCCTGGGTTCGAATCCCGCGAGCGGGATCGTGGATGCGCACTGCTGAGGAGTCCCATACTGGGACGGAACGGCCTTCCAGTGCTCCAGGTTTCCAAAGGTGGTGGTCTAACATCAATAGGTTCATTATCTCAATCAGAAAAAATCTTCGTCTTCTTATTACATTATCAAAATTTATCAAAGGGACTAATTGCTTTAAAAATTTTATCGGATATAAAACATAAATAAAACTAATCAATCATTACACAACGTACATTCGAAATGTTTCTCTATCCAACGTTAATGATTTACTTTGTAGAACATTTCGATTGATTTTATTACCTTGTAATTCATTTAATGCTTTTGTAAATTTTGCTAATCTTGGATCATTCAATGATATACCAGCTTTATTCATTAACTTTATAATGAAAAACAAGAATTGAATGATAAAATGTCAATTTAAAGTCTTATAAATATATTTCTTTAAATAAAATATGAAAAAATTCATTCATGTTCACAGTAGTAATGTGGTGTACGCTACTTATGTCGATATAAGTAGTATATAACACCAATTAGAAGTGGAATGCCTGGTAGCAGAAGGATGGGAAGATCGAATCAAAGAGAATGGAAACAGAAGGTAATTGTTAATTCAGTGAAGGAACGATGAAGTTTGAGACAACTGATGTAAGATCTACAAATGTATTATTGAACGTATGGTTTCCACATTTTACCAAAGAACTCTGTAAATTTGCATTAAAATACATTCGCTTGTCCTCATCTGTGTTCTTGTTCATTACACTAATAGCAGTTTATCGGTCAATGTTTTATAGCTGACTGTTGTAATCAGGTTAATCTTAAGGCGAAAATGTATATGAATGTGTTGTTTATTTTATCACGGCTCAAATAAATATATTGCATAACTAAGGTGAAAGAATTAGTAAAGACTATTCTATATGAAATTAGTTTCGATTAATAATTACCATCATCTTTGGAACTATTGAAAACTATTTAACATTAAACAGCTTTGCTAATAGTACATATTCTAAAGATTGTTCTAGTTTTACGCTTCTCAGTAATGCATATTCAAATATTCACTGAATTAAGAACCTAGTATTGAAGTGTGTGCTAATCATGTTGATAGATATAAGTAGTATGTAACATTAATCGAAAGTAGGATACCTGACAGCAGAAGGTTGAGAAGATCGAATAGAAGAGAACTGCAATATAGAGTGATTGATATGGAAATGAAGAAACAACAAATTCTGAGACACTTGATGGACGTATGGTATTCACATTTTACTAAATAACTCTGTAATTTCATATACAAATGCATTCGATTGTCGTTCACAACAGTACCTTTTATTCTTATATCACAGACTACTTCTAAACCGTTCAAGTATATTCGATTATACATTTAATATTTATCACGAGGCAAGCCTTAACTTGGAATCCTGAAGGGAAACAGAAAAGAGGAAGATCAAAGAACACATTACGTCTGGAAGTCAAAGCAGATATGAAAAAGGATGGATAACAACTGTGAAGAGCTGGAAAGCATTGCTCAAAACACGGTTGGATGGAGAGTGCTGGTGGGCAGCCTATGCTCCTCGACAAGCAGTAACAGGTGTAAGTAAGTAAGTAAGTTATAAGTATATGAAGTATTTAAATGTTTTATTTACATTAAAAGTGAGATTACTACTGATATTTCACCAGTACATTTTAATTATCAGTAGAAATAATAAATATTTCGTAGTATTTATTCTTAATTTATAAATACTTTATATATTGTCATTATTAAATGATGTTTCCTTCACATTCACATATGAAGATATAATTATTTTATTTATTTATTTAAACACATAAGCATTCGTACAAGGAGGGACCAGATACACATGTGCCATACTCATTCGATTTGCGTGAGGACTGTGATACTGCCCGCACACTCAAACGGAAGCAGGTGTTTTTCTTAGGGGGCCACACCCGGAGACTTCGACCTAAAGGTTTGATCCATAAGGCAGTGTAGCAACGTCAGGAAATGCAGTTCCATGGTAGCCAGTGACCAACGACTGGTTCATACGACATTTGTTCCCTCAGGATCCTGGAGCCCATGTACACCATTGGTTTGGAATCAGGATTTTCTAAATCCTCTAGGTGAACATTTCATGTCCACCAACCCAGTTAAAGTGCCGGACATTCACTGTTCGTCCTCTCGATTTCGTAAACAACATCCCCGCCACGAGGAAGTAGTGAGTAGGACTTCTCTGGTAGTGGTTGTTTGTACGTGGCCATGTGAGAGCATTTCTAGAAGGAAAGGTGACTCTCCTCATTCTCGGCCGTACCAGGGCATTTGGAGGCTATGAATATATGAGTATTCTAATAATTATGAAAACCATTTTTTCTTCATAGATGCTTTATCCTAGTCTAGATTTAACACAATAGCACCAACCTATCGACTACAATTAAGATCATACTTTGAAATTTCACAGTAATTCAAATATCATATTACAACTGGATGAAAATTTAATAGTCCATAGTTTACACTTTCTGTAATTTGATCTACGGAAATGTCATTATCCCTTGTTATTAGTAATATCTATTCTATTGTTCAACCATGGCCGAAATTCACCAATTATGATTTCTTACTAGATATTCAATCATTTCAGAACTATGAAAATTAAATATCAAGAACGAGTTGTTAATTATTTTGAAGACTGATTTTAGAAAGGCTTTGACTGTAATTTTCAAAGTACTATTTTATCATGGGATAAAATTGAACTGGACAACTATTTCATTGACAAGGAAAATAATAACAATTATCACGTATTTACATGAATCCAACTTCGAGAGGTAATTTCCAGAGTTCCAATCGGGAGTCATGACCTCAGGAGTTAAACCTAATCGGGTATCAAGCATATATCACCAGTGGTAATGGATGATATCTGCACAAGATCGTGATTCGACTGGAATTATAAATATAAACCCCTGGATGACAACTCAGCATTCTGTAGGTTAAGAGCCCATCATGGAACATGCAAGTTTTAGGTTTGCTCCCTGGCAGGGTTATTAATGTGTACTGCAGACGAGTCCCATAACTAGAACGAAACAGTTATTCAGTACTTCCGGTTTCCTAACATTTATAACATCATTTAATTATTTTAATAAACCTCTTTTTTTTTTCTTCAAATCACAGAATCCGAAACATTACCAAAAACATTTAATTAATAGCCTAAAGCGTAGAAGTCGGAAGTGTAGCTAAGCTAAAATGTAAATAATAATCAGGAGTTTTATCAAAAATACATTTCCTAGAAAATTCTACTAGACAATACACAGAAATCAAGTACGGTAGAAAATTACGGTCACGATAAGGCGATAAATCTGATTTACTGTTCTTCTATATAATTCCAATCTTAAGCTGTGGATGGTCAATAGTTCTGTAATATGAAATAAATTTAAATAAATACTACATAAATACTCAAATGTACTTCGTAAAATAGATCAATGTAAGAACATAGCTCTGAATATTTAGAACCTACTATATGCTTTACAAGAAAAAAAGGTAATTGATCCTCTGTCTTCTTTTAAACTACCCTATTAAATATTCTCAAATGTGATGAAACAGAGACCTTGAAAAACAATCTTTGTACCTGACTTCTTAAAAGTAGGTGGATGTTTACAATCAGGTAGAATTAGTCAATCGTACTAACTCATTATTGATAAAAAGACATGAAATTGTAACTATGGTCTATCATACAAAGATTCACGGTATGAAGAGTCCTTCAGAATGACTTTTGCAGATAGTTCTTAAGTATATGTCTAGTAATATCTTCCTTAAATTCATGTCCAATAAACAGTATCTCCTTGGTGATTGAGTATTATTTACTCTGTATATATTTTTTTGATTAATAAGCTCAAACGGTTATTTCAAAAAGGCTCACTTTAGAGAAATCAGTTGATACTTCAAAAACTATCGATGACAAATCCTTTAGGTCAAAAAAAGGTAATGACTAAATTACTTTCTCATCTTACTGAAATTCAATTGCGAACGTTTTCTGACTAAACTATAAGATATAAATGACCTTTCAGTAATTATGAAGAGACCATAAGAAACACTAATTAATTACACAAGTTGAAATCATGAGCCAATTTAAACTAGACCACCATGGAAAACCTGGAAGCACTGGACGGCCGTTTCGTCCTAGTATGTGACTACTCAGCAGTGCGCATCCACGAACCCGCCCCCCGCAGGTTCAAAATATGGTAATGAATTACTGTTGTAGTGAACGAGAACATAGGCGGGGGCAAAATCGAATATACTTGAATACAACATCACAGAATTTTTTTTAGTAAACTCTAAGAACCATAAAGTAAATGCTTTATTTACAAAATGTTTAACCAATTGTCTCAGACTTGACAGTTTCTTCGTTTTCACAACAATCATTCTCTATTTTTGTTCTCTTTTCTTCAATCTTCTTAATCTTATACCTTCAAACATTTCCCCTTCGACTGATAACAAATCATACTTATATCTGTTAACATTATAGTAGCACACACCACACTATCTAATATGAATATCATGTTTCCATGTTGAGAATTATGATCAGAATGTTCATCACAAGTTGATATACACTAAAATAGTAGAACTCTATATTAACTACATAGACGAGTAAATTTCATTTATTGATTCATCAATGATAAACCCGTCAGTTTGTTTACTAAACATAGATCGTTTCAATGTTTCTGTTTACTATCTTTTTTTCCTGTAAAAGTTCATTCAATTAATTTGTAAATACATCATATTCATTTATCTAAGTTATACAATTGCTAGGCCTAAATATTGTTATGTTTTAAACAATTATTACAAATGACTTTGAATTATTGATAAGATTTAATGGAATGTTGTATATTTTGTGAATGTATCTACAGTATTGTGTATGATTTTGAATGATTTCATTTAAAGTATGTAACTATTGGCAACAATAATGATGTATATCTTAATTGGCAGAACAAATACTTAAATGAAGAAGATTTGTAGCTTAAGTGAATGATTTTGATGAAGTTTTGTTCTTTGAGCTGAATGGTTTAGGTTGTGGAGGTTTCATGGTTCTTCTGAACGACATCATGAACACAAACTTTAGATAAAAGTTAAGTGTTCAAATTTCTTCACATATGGTTCATACTTTATCCTGTAGACTTCGATCTTGATTGGTTATTGTTGAGAAATTCATACACTTCACTTTTATTTGGAATTTATTCTGATGATGTCGTTCAAAAGATTAATGAAACCTCCACAACCTAAACCATTCAGCTAAGAGAATAAAACTTCGTCAAAATCATTCACCTAAGCTACAAATCTTCATTTAAGTATTTATTCTACTGATTAAGAGATAAAGCATTATCAGAATGGGTTTTATGGAGAGTTTTAGAAATTTCACAGGTTGAAATCATGAGTCGATTGAAGCTAGACCACCATGGAAAACCTGGAAGCACTGGACGACCGTTTCGTCCTAGTATGGAACTCCTCAGCAGTGCGCATCCACGATCCCGCACCACGCGGGGTCCGAATCCAGGACCTACTGGCTTCGCGCGCGAGCACTTAACCACTAGACCACTGAGCCGGCATCCAATGGTGTTAATGTCTAACTTCAACCAATCCACGAAGTTGCGCCACCGTACACCATTGTCTTCAATGAGTTGGTATCTCACAACAGACCTGGTTGAACTCCACTGGTAACGGCTTCTCACTAGAACATTATTATTGTTGCCAATAGTTACAGATCTTAATTGAAATAGTTCAGAATTGTTCAAAATACTGTAAATGCATTCACTCTTCATCTTCTATTAGTTCCTAAATTCCAAAATCTTTTTATATATTTTTATCTTGTTTCTTTAATTAAGGTTTTTTTTTGAGTACTATTGATCCTGTTATTAATTCTACTATCCTGAAATGTGTCTTGATGAATTTATCTCTCTAATTCAATGACCTGAAGCAAATTGAACCTATATGCATTTGCGTATAACTGACTGTCCATCAAAAATAATTTGAATAAATTGACTATTTAAAACAAACAATGTTGTCAATTGTTTTAAAAAGCGATTTCTTTTTCTTTTTTTAAATAATGTCGATAATGGTAATGTTATTTTTAAATTCATCATCTAATATGAATCAACTTCATTATTAAAAAGTTCTTTATACCATATATCTTAATCAAACAATAAAAACGGTTTACATTGATTAGTGATCATTGTCATGTCTATCTAGTCCTTAAAACTGAACAATTTTATTCGATCAAGTTGCTAAGTGGTCATTAATTTAAGTAACTTGACATTGTATACACTATGTTGTCAAAGTATGAATTCTTATTTGTTAGATTGTCCATTTCCTGGTGATGGATACTTTTGTATTAAGGACCATGAACTAATCTTAATCTTTAGTAGGATACTTTAGATAACATTGTTTAAAATCAATAGCAGTATAACTAAACCTACATCCCTTCCCCCCCCCCAAATGTATCTATTGCTTATCTTTTGTTTGTATATTATTCAATATTTTTTGTTACCATGCTATACTACACTACTGTTATGTGTAATAAATTTAGTCTGCTCTCATTTGTATCATAGCTTACTCTGTTTATAACTGATTGTTAGACTTAAGTCTGATTCAAATTGATCAATTATCTTCCGACAATTGATTGTATAGTTAAACTGTCAATTCAGAGTTATACAATAATGAGATTAGTTTTACGTAGTTCCATTAATAGACATTTAAACAACGAAAAATGATAAGCAAAGATGAATAGTGACTAGCAGTAAAATCCCGGACGAGCGTTTCACCGTATTTAAGACTCGTCATCCGGACGTACCTACATCTCAGAGTTTATGTTCACTTTGGGACTCGAACCTAGTACCGTCCGCTTCAAACACCATCGCGGTATCCACTTAACTACTGAGTCCTAATAGCCACCTGCTTGTGCTATCTGGTGAAGTTATATTCAGTTGGTGTTGTTTACTTGTATCTTCCCACTGTTGTTTAAGACTGAAATCGATCAGTCTCTTGTTGGCATATGTGCATATGAGTCCCAGAGTGAACATCAACTCTGATATGCAGATACATCCAGCTGACAAGTCCCAAATAGGACTAAACACATGTCCTGGATTCCACTGTTAGCCACTATCCATCTTTGTTTATAAAGCTTGTGACTTCAGGCGATAACGAGGCGGTCCGCACAGGATGCATATATGCCAACAAGAAACTGGTCAATTGCAACCCTTAACAACAATCGGAAGATACAAGTAAACAACATCAAGTGAAAAATGAAAAATTATATAAATACATTAAACAGTAACAATATACACTAATAATGATATAACTTACTTCAATTAAATCATAAATATCGATTATGTCACTATCATTCTTTTTAACTAAATCGAATACATAATCATAAACGCCTATTTGATAACGATTCCTATAAAGAAAAAATTATTTAAATACTCAGTGGAAGAAACTGTTTACATATTTATTATAAGAAAATGTAATGTAAGTAAGTATACACTTTCATTGATTCCTAATTCAACTTAACAACTATAATTGGTAATAATAATTATTATTATAATAGTAATGATAATAATAATAATAATAATAATAATAATAATAATAATAATAATAGGAAATTTTAGATGCTTATGTTTAATGGGAATCCTGAAGGGAAGCGGAAAAGAGGAAGGTCAAAGAACACATTACGTTAGGAAATAGAAGCAGATATGAAAAAGAATGAATAACAACTGGAAAAAGCTGGAAAGCATTGCTCAGGGCAGAGTTGAATGGAGAGTCCTGGTGGGCGATATATTTCCCTCCACGAGGAGTAACAGGAGTAAATAATATTTAATGGGCTTAAAGGCTGATAATAAGTATTTATAAAAATATCGTATAAATATACCCATGGTTATTACAATTTGTTGAGAACTAATTATTTGTATATGGGAAAATGTTTGTATAGATTCACCAGATGATGATGATGATAAATGAATAACTGTAATTCGAAGAGTGAAAAGAAAAGAAAATAGTGTTGCCATAAAGAGACTGCTGTTTGTTTTTCTAGCCTAAACAGATCATAAATTTACATCTTCAGTGTTATATAGAACCAAACACTTGCTATAAGGACTGTTGGAAAAAAAATGCTGTGTTTTGGTGATTAAAATCATTGTATACATGAGTACTTAAATCTGCAGCACTGAAATCACTGATTATTTTTGACGTATAATAAATACACTGAAAGTTGTACATTATACTGTTTGTATTCTGCGCAATCGTCAAGATTTATCTAGAAAAGTATACAAATAATGTAAACTTAACTATTCCTGTTCTGCTCTGAAATATCGATTTTTGGTATTTTGTCGGTGAAAACGCTCCAAAGATTCCTACCAGCTTTCCATCAAAAATACATGAAAAAGTTCTATTTTAACGAATAGTGTCATGTTGATATGGTGAATAACTATGAGCACAATATTGTAACATCAAATACATCAGTTTTGTCATCTCGATTAAATATTCTTGGGAAAAATTGGATAGTGAGTATTTTTTTATGTTATAGTTTATCCTATTTAATTGAGAAAAACACTGGGTGACTAGTCTTCCATGATAGACACTGTGGGTTCAAACCACTTAAATTGAATATTTTTGTTAGCTTGAGGTTGTACATTTGTTGACAAAAAGAAATTTAGTACTATTATTTATCTTTGAACATAAGAAAAATTAAGTCATCAATTTCCATGCTTTACTCATGTAGACTTTTGAAACTAATGGTATTATCCATTATAACCAAGTACATTCGAGTACATAAACTACGGTGATGTAATTAACACAAGTGTGTATTAGGACATCTACAACCATTATAATGTTCATTAGTCATATATATAATTACAAATTTTAGTCTTAGGCGGATAAAAACTACTATTAATTTGTGTCATATGAAAAAAATATAATAGGTCCAACTACCTAACTACAATTGCAAACTTTAAACGTAAAACACTGGCTAGTGAACTACAATATGATATACAAATAAAATAAGTATAAGGAATATATTTAAGAAATCATGGACAACACAATTTATTGAATGATATTTCGTGTCGTTGTTTTACTCAAAACTCTTAACTTCGAACCGAATGATTGTAGTATCACAGTAACCAGATTTCATTACATCAGATAGCCAAGTATTGCATGTTTTTCATTTGTAGTTCTATACAATATATGGCACCGACTTAGTATTCAGGCTTTTATCAACTGACGAGTTTAGCTAATATATGTTTTGTTCTACCGTACTCTATCAAAGTGAATTACGAGCTGCTGTCGTGTGATATTACAAAAATTGTTTGATCATAACTAGTTTAATCTCGATTGATAAATAACACGCATCGCGTGAAAAAATTGAGTTTGAACTATTATGTCTGGGAAACTGTCGATTTCATCTTTATCTGATTTAGTTGTATAAGTTGGTGAGTGATTCAAAGTGAATTTCAGTTGCTAAGATGCTCTTATATCCCACCAGATTCGTTGACTAAGCATTTATTTACGCCTTCAATACTCGTGTTCTTTCCTCTCATTTGACGAACCTTTAGCATTTCTAGATTTCCTTTCTAAGTAAAACCAAAAACGATGGTAGGTTTAGTCTGATATAGATTGAACTTTCCTAATTTTATACATTTTTAGAGCCACAATATCATTTGCTCGAAGTTTATTCCATTTTGTAGGTTTTTCGAGGATGTTTACAACCTTGTTTTGATTATGATACAGCATAATACTGATTGGTGCACATTAGCGCAATGCTAAATTATTGACAGTTAAAGTAAGAATCCAGACTTGATACGGGAATTTCCTTAAACAAAGTTAAAATGGACGAATCGGTCGGTCATCAGTTTATACATTCACAATGAATAAATTATTTAAGAGCCGGGGTTCTGTTTCTATTTTTCCATATAACTATACTGATACTTTTTACAGCTAATACTTTGATGCTATTTCTATAGCTACAAATTGTGAAAATATGATTTATACTTTATAGTGAACACGAGACAATTACTGAAGACTAACTGACTGTATTTTATTTTTTCCCGTCGTTCCACACTCAATCTTTTTATATTTTGAGGCTGCAGCATTCAAAGTGTGTAAACTTCTCGTAGTTCTACATAAATTTATGGCACATTTTTCCTTTATCCATGGTTTAATGCGTTCACAGTCTTTGCCCTGAAAAAACCAAAAATCAGTTAGTCAATAAATAAATAGTTCATTAAAATTCTGGACAACTCTTCGGACATAAGAAAAAGTTTTTAAAAAATAGAATAGCTACAAAAACAACCTTTAAATGGTATTTCTGTCATAAATGTTTCGGACAACAAATTTCACCACTTTACTCCAGAATGTTAGTTATGCGAATGTGGCAGAGTAATTATCAATTAAAATTTGTTAATTTCCATCTTTGCAGATAACTAACTATTTTGCCTCATTAGCTACTATAGTGTATATTTTGGTTTATTGCTACCTATAATATGTGTAGCGTTTAAAAATCCTTGAAAGTAGCAAGCATAAGCTATGTGAGGGTCAAACACTATACAAACACAGACCAGTTCTTTTTATGTAACTGTAATTATTATTATAGGTTTCTCTGTATCTACTAGACTTTCTGGTTTAAGATGACTGAGTCCGAAACTTATATACAGATTTGACCAAAGCTTATCAAGTAGGGTAGTTAGAACTATTAAATCGTTTAGATCAGACAATGTATAGAGATCCCGCTTTCCACCATTTGGTTAACCAGATTTATGATTCTACTAATAAGTAAAATGCCAAAGATGTGTGATATTTTTGTTACTCAGTATCTACCATGTAAATATTTACATGTTTAGTTCACATTCGCCACAATACATACACTGGAGTTCAAAGTCTTCCCACGTCTTTATGGACACGTCTACTCTTAAACGCTACAGTCACTTTGAACAAACATGACAATTCCTATTTTTTCACATATACTCAACACTGTTAACTATCTTATGGTAATTTAGGTACTGGAAAATAAACCATATATAAGAGAAATCCCGTTCAAAATGTTATGAAACGAGTCTGCACGTAAATAGTACATACAGAATTAAATAAACGATAATTTTGCAACAGTCAGATCGCACTTTCTTATTCTGTTAAGCACTAAGGTATTATTGGTCTAGTCAGAAGAACTTTCAATATAATAAGTGATTCTTAAAATGTTGTAGGGTTAACTACACATCCACTTTAACGCCATATGATATGAATTTGTACTAACACTTAGAACTACAGATGTTTGAACAAACACGATAATAAGTCAAGTACAACTGATATAAACCATGTTTAGCAATTATGGCATATCACACGGCAAAACTTGATACAACTAAAAGCTAACCCCAAATGTCAGTTTGAAGCATAGAAAAGTTAAACCGATCTTTAGTAACTCAATACAATAATACTGAATAACTTGAACAGTGAACACCACTGTGTTTTTAAAAATTATTGTAGATTGTGAAGAAACGAATACTGAACAGAAACATTGGTTACATCAACCATTTTGTACCACGAATTTACAATTCGTTTTTAGAGATATTATTCGAGATGGCTCTTACATAGAAGTAGATCAGTCTAAAACCACGGAAAATCATTGAAACGGTTATATGTTCGATTCGCGCGCTTTATACTGACCTACAAGGTCAATCAAAATATTTATTTATAGAACAACCGTTATATTGTTATGTTTCTAGAAGCAGTGACAGTTAGTGTAAACCAAGAGATTCTGAGAGCAAGAGCTATTACATTAAAAATCAAATGGTCAGTTGGTCGCAATGTGAAACGTTGTGGGAAAAGTGGTACTTAGAAGAACAAAGACTAGAGGATTGTTGAATAGAATTGACTAATTGACTATTTCCGTAAGCAAAATATATAAACAAAAGTGCGAAATTAACGGGTAAATAGAAGTCAAGAGTAATGAAATGGGGTTAGGTCAATAGTATGTAGTGACTCACATTTATCACGAGAACACGACTGGTTTAATAAAAACAATTATTATTATAACCAACTGTACCAGTGTTTGTTTTAATGTGCTTCTGTTTGACTGCGCTAATGACAGCTATATTGTGCTTCCATTCTTATTCACACACTTTGATTGTGACTTCGCGCGAATTCGGTTACGTTCTGTAACCAAGCTTGTATACTGGCACGATCTCGGTATTTTTTCGATACCACGAGATCCCCAGCAACTATATCTCGACTTGGTCCATTAACTGCCTTCTGATACTTGGCTTCTCGTGGATTTTACGGATTTATTTGGTTACGTTCAACCTTCGCCTTCTGATTTACTTGGCGCGTGTTTATTGGTAGCGGTGTACATAGTCAACCGCGACTCGACGCCACGCTACAAGTATACGATGATAATCGTGATCGATAAGTTGAGAGATCGTTCAAGCGAGACGTAGTAGTCTATCGATGATTTAGTAGTTGTCAAGGCACTATGTTATTCATTGGTAGGATACTGATTACTTCGGTCAGGAGAGGATATTAAGTGATATCAGTACTTTGCGACAAGAACCATGACCGCATATGATGTATAGTTTATTTAGCGACTGAATTGAAACACGACTTGCTTTTAAAATGAAGGCGATAACTTTCCAAGAAGCATATTTTTTCAAATGCCCAACAGTCAACTATCATTATTCTAAGTAGTGAGAACATTATGCTACCGAAATTGAAACTATTAACAACTTTCAGTTCATCTTACAATAATTGCTTGTACAGCTATCATTACTCCCTTTGGACTCTATGAATTTTTGCGAATGCCTTTCGGTCTAAGGAACGCTGCTCAAACATTCCAAAGTTCATAGATGACGTTTGTCAAGGTCTCAACTTCGTAGACGCGTATGTTGACGACTGCCTAATAGCAAGCCCGGACAGAGAACCGCATCTCAAGCATCTGGATCTTGTTTTCGAACGACTACAAAAACATGGCACTACTGTAAACCTTCAGAAATGTAAAATCAGAACCGACTCATTAGGCTTTCTAGAACACACTATCGATGCTCAAGGAATTCGACTCCTTAGAACCCAAGTGGCGACCATTCTGGATTACCCAGAACCGACCACCGTCAAGCAATTACGCACGTTTAACGGCCTGATAAGTTTCTATAGACGTTCCATACCGAAATGCGCATAACTTATGAAGCCTCTTACCGATCAACCTCGTGGAAATGAAAAATCCATCCATTTGGACGACACTGCACGTAAAGCATTCTCCACAGTTAAGGAACTTATCGCTAACGCAACAATGCTTGCTCATCAAGACACTCAAGCACCCATTAGTATCGCAGTAGACGCATCCGACTCAGCCATCGGAGAAGTCTTACAACAATGGGTTAGCAACTCCTGGCAACCTTCGGCATTTTTCTCTAGACGGTTGCTAGACGCTGAATTGAGGTAAAACACATTCGGTAGGAAACTACTAGCTATGTATTGTGCTGTACGACATTTTCAACATTATATCGAAGGCCGTGAATTTACCCTTTTCACTTACCATAAACCGCTTACCTTCTCGTTAAGCTCTTTTCTAGACAAGTACTCACCTCGTGAGTATCGACAATTAGACTACATTTCGCAGTTTACTTCAGATATCCAACACATTTCTGGAGCAAACAATTTAGTTGCAGACGCTTTGTCTCGAATAATTTCCTTAAACAGTTTCCCAGGAACCGACCATCTTAAACTCGCCCAGCTTCAAAAAGAAGACACTGATCTTCAGCACGAGTTATCGTCAACAACCCTTAAACTACGCATCAAACAGATGGGAACAGCTAAGAAACCTTACTTTGTGACGCATCTACAGGTACAGATCGCCCAATCGTGCCGAAACATTTTCGACGCAACGTCTTCAATACATTGCACAAACTTTCTCATCCAGGTGTTCGTGCAACCATCAAGCTCATAGCAGAACGGTTTTGCTGGCCTGGAATGAATAAAGACGTGAGGGAGTGGGCACGCTCCTGTGTAAGCTGCCAAAAATCTAAGGTTATCAGACACAATAAATGTCCCTTAGGCTCATTTAAAACTCCCGATGCTCGTTTCGACCATGTTCATCTGGATTTGGTAGGACCTTTACCAGATTCAAATGGATACTCTTATCTCTTAACCTGCGTAGACCGTTTCAGTCGATGGCCAGAAGCAGCACCTATCAAGGACATGACTGCTGAAACAGTGGCCCACATCTTCGTCGAACGATGGGTGGCAAACTTCGGCTGCCCTTCAACCATCACCACAGACCGCGGACGTCAGTTTGAATCAAAACTTTTCCGTCGGCTGATCACACTTTTAGGAATCACTCGTTTCCGAACGACTGCCTACCACCCACAAGCAAACGGATTGGTAGAACGTTTTCATCGACAATTAAAAGCATCACTATCAGCTGCAAACGTTTCACAGTGGACCGATGCTCTTCCACTCGTCTTACTAGGTATCCGCAATGCAGGGAAAGCTGACATTGGATACACTGCGGCTCAACTCGTTTATGGAACTACACTTCGACTTCTAGGAGAATTCGCGGATCCTTCGTCCTCTTCAATGAACATGGATCTAACCTCCTACACGAACAGGCTTACAAACGCAATGCGTTCAGTTAAACCTGTTTCCACTCGACCGCAATTAACTGTTTTTGTTCAACCTGACTTACGATATAGTACACACGTTTTCGTTCGTCAAGACTAACATCGAAGACCTCTCGAATCAGCATACGAAGGACCCTTCAAAGTTGTTCAACGCAAACCCAAGTACCATATAATCGATAAGAACGCAACCAACGATAGCATCAGCATCGATCGCCTCAAAGCAACTTATTTAGAAATAAATCCTATCCACGCTGATTTTCCTTCGGTACAATGGAATGACACGACTCCTACACTCATAATTCCTCATCCGACAACCAACACGCACGATGATACTTCCACAGTATCTAAAAATAAACTTAAAACAACGAGTTCTGGAAGAAGGGTAAGATTTCCAGAACATTTAAACGACCATTGCACGTAAAACTCTAGTTAACATTTCGTTTCATCTCGATTTTCCATGATATAATGTAATATTAAAAAATCGATTTTTAATATGCTTATATTTATATATATTTATTATTTGGCTAATATATATATCAAAAACTTTATATACTAACCAAACAAACCACATCGTACCATAAAGTAGAGAACAACATTTACACAATATCTAACAAGTGAAATAAACATCGACAAATAGGAAATGTACATTTAAGGTCCAAGGCCACCATAGACTTAACGCGATAATTATTGATATATTTTTCCTCAGAATCCATAACATAACGTAAGCATAACCACCCCTTCTATAGCTTGAGTTGGATTTAAGATTGATAAATTTACGGTTATTTTCTTAAACCTTATGTTTTCCAAGTAGTTAACCTTGCACTTTGTACACGCGATATGTTTCTGTATCGCCTTGAAAATGTGGGTTCGGCCTGTCATCTAGCCATTACCGTTTATTCTCTAGAATAAAGGCACTAATTCTTTTGGACCATAAGGGTTATCTGTAAGATCGTTATGGAATTTTTGTGTATGTAAAGCCTCCTACATACACATTGTTGTGAATCACTATTCTTGATTCATTCAGACGTACAATTTGTTGATATTTTGATTCCAACTGAGATGGAACTATTTGTACCTAAATTGTCTTTTTTTTCATCTTCACTAAATTTCCATGTTTTTCCTGAACTACGTCTATGTTGTTATAGTCGGTATTTAATTATAGTGGATGCCGTACTGAATCATTCTCGTTTTTCATTGTGTTGCTCGAACTGACTGGGTTTGTGAAATTGTGATTTTGAATTAAAACGTTTCTATAATTGAAAAAATTCTGTGCTATAACAAAATTAAATATCATCTTCTGAACAATGTGTATGTGATCTATCCAGAGAAGATAGAGTAGCATTCCTCTGTCGACAGGAACATTAATTTGCTGCACTTGATAATTCTCAGATTCCCTACCAATTTACCTACTCGATGTAATTTAGATTTGGTCACTGATTGAACAATTATTTGCTGAACAACTGAATTGTACTGTTTGTTAATGAAATAACCTATGTTTGAGTTAATAACAAAGTTAGGGATAGTCATTTACCCTATCATTTTGTTTTGGCTCCGACTGGGAATGTATCTAAACTAACTTCAGCAGTCATTCTTATCTCCAAACTATAATATCGTCTTGGTCAGAGATCGCTTACTCCTGAATAAAGCATTGCAGCACAATGAACCGGAAGCTTAGAATTGATACACTTGTGATATCGGTTCATAACCGCTCGATCTTTGAAGCTGAATATAAGGCAACTGGGAAAATGCACATCCAACATTCAACAGGTAGAGAAGGCCAGATATGGTGAACACGAAAATTGATCGGTATCGCGTAGCTCAGTGGTCATTATGTGTAACTCATACTTTTCACAATAAGTATGTTACTTTATCCCAAGCCGAAACGAGTTCTCCAGAAGTACTTGTAAAGACAGTTCAATGTCACTGAACCATAGACTAATCATCTGACAGTCAGATCACTGAATATCGGACAGATTGTAGATCCTTATCACGGGCAGCCAGTGAGCATCAGGTAATTGCATACCATGGACTGGCCCTTGCGGTAGTGGTTACACTCGGTTTCTTGTACCACTATTACCAACATATTTTTATACCAACGTCGTTTGTGTTTTATGGTTACCGAACTAGCCAAAGTAGAGGTAGTCCGTGTTAGGCACCAAACGTGAGGTGTGACTTCGATATTAGCTGGTTGGTTACACCACTCCCGTCCAACCCGAGTAGGCCTCAATCAGCCGTTAAAGAATATCTACGCTGGTGATCTTAATACTAAACATCATACTGCTGACTGTTACGTGGGACGAGTCAGTATGGAGAATTATATGACTTCCACGTACGATCATGTAGATTAAGTAGTCACATCATGATAAATCTATAATTTTTGGATCAGGTCTACTGTTGTAGTAGCAAAGATAAATGTGCTGATTTTGAACTAGACCATAAATCTACACACTTATATTCCGGATTATCAAGCATTATTCACAGTCAATCCACGCACTCTGATATTCAATATTCATCTTCCGTGTGGACAGCGAGCTAAATCCTTGCTCATCTGTGTCGTACACTGAAGTCGTCAATAGGTTCAATATTGCTTTAAAGTTACACTGATTCGAGAAACGATGAGTCTACTGCAGATTCACGGAACCTTCCTGTCCATCACGCGAATAATTACCTCCATTACCATGTCGAAATAAAAACCTTAATGTCAGTTCAATTCGATGTTATTCATATTTTCACTCAGATGATTGATGAGGCTTCTCATGAAATAAACTCACTAATAGATAAACTCATGATCATAACTTGTCAACCTGTCAAAAGTACTATCATTTCGATAGCCAGTTTATAATAATACGTAATTGTTCAAAGCACAAAGCGTTATCACATAAATGTAATAGTAAGAATAGGTACGAAAACAGAGTACAGCAACTGCCTCATGTTCCTATCCACGATGTGCAACTGATTGATTGTCACCATCCTGACGGGGATTTTTAAACTGTTAGATACTTAGTGAACTGGATCCGGGACGATTTGTCTAGGTCCGTGAAATTTCCCCGGCATCGTAAATAAGTATCAGAGAAATACTGCCTACAGAAATGCTCATGATTTTCTCGACTTACTACTGTTAGGAACAGCTTATTACCAATTTAGTTACGACGAGACCAAACTATCTATAACGTCTGTAACTACCGTTTGAAAGCAGAGCCAATGAACAAAAGTCTATTCTTCTGTACAGCGTACGAAGTGTTTTTGAGTGACTCATATTAAATTATATCAAAACGCAAACCGTGTTTAAATCAGGTGATTTTAACTTTGAGAATAAATTATATCAAAAGTGTAAAATTCCTCAAACGGTACAGCCTGCGTTGTACAGTCAGGAGTTTTTCTAACACAATCTAATGTGCTAAACAACAAAAGGAAGAGTTAATAAACAAGACATCGATACCTGTGAATAGATAAGAATATCCTTAACAAGATAGGACCAGGTATCTATCTACATGGATCTCAGAAAGGGTGAGATCATAATTTATGGACGACCTTTGAGCAATGTTAAAATGACTTTGAGAGTGTCTATCTACCTACTAGGGCTAAATGAGGGTTATGATTTGCAGTTGATGGCTAGGGTTAGGAATTAGATTTACGGTTTTTCATCACGAAATAAGATCAGCTATAATAACAAGATTCTATTTAGCCAAATGAGTGAGGGAATTTCGCCCCAAAGTCTAAAACCTATTATCGTAAATCTAACTAGTTCGTCCATAAATTATAGTCCCGCCCTACGACTTCATTGTCAATAGCCTAGCGATATGCAACAACGAGAGTGAGTAGCAAAAGGTAGGTCTTTAACCAAGATCGTATAATGAAAGCTTAAATGAGGAAGAATGAAGAACATAAACTGGCTAACAAGAGACCTGTATAGAGATTAAAATACAAGACAGAGAGAAGGAATATCTAAATGACATTAATGTCCAATAGAAAGCTCTGGAAAGGTTTACAGCATTTTTTTCCCGTCACAACGTAGTAGCTAGGTAAGATTCAAAAAGCCAATATATCAGTGATTAAATATGGGACAACCTTTTAGATCTTATTATAACTTATTGATGATATGACTGTTTAATTAGTTTGAAGTCTCAAAGGAAGATTAAAAAAGATGTAGGTGTCTAGTTGTGGCTTCTGAATATAAGCAGTTGAGAAACTATTCCATATCCGTGCCTAGGAGTTTATTCAAAATGAACAGTACTAACAACAAGAGTTTTGCCATACATCTTAAACATTCCTCAATACATTCTATTAAACGACTTTTATCCTGTAGGCTCTCAGTATATTAATCTCCTGATCATCATCTTGTTGCCCATAACAACTATCTCTTTCCTCTTTAAATATCTTCTGGGAAAAACACTTGATGGACGTTAAAAGTGTTACGGATATACAGGGCTTGTCAGCGCCGTTATCCAAAGTGCTGTTTTAGCCATGGATCTCAAAATCAGTCCAACTAGAAGTCAGGTATAAAAAGGTTCGAAGTTGCATGAACTTGTAGCAAGAGATAGATAATATGGTGTAACCAAGCGTGGTCAGATGTGGATACTTATGCAGGTACCTTCGACTAATGGTGTATCCAACAAAAACCGTGAGGTCAACGCCAATGTTGGAGACCTGCAAAACTATTCATATTTGGGATTTATTTACTGCCCCAAGCTTGACATAAGCATCGTTTAACTCTACCGTGTCAAGAATATTTCAAAATTAATAGAACCAGCGGGTTCAATTTCAAGTGTCGTGTCCCCATAGAAATTTTTTTGGCATTACTACATGCTAAAAATATGAACAGTCAACTCACATTTAAGTCACTCAAACAAATGATAAACAAAGACTTTTAGTTTCAAAAAATTAAAAGTTTGAACGACTAAAAAGGACGTAGACAGTAAAGTCCCGATGGAAATTTGCTGATATGCACCAATGTACTTAATTACTTTACAAATGTAAGATAAACCACAACACAATTATAGAAAAAACCCCTCCCTTGTTCGAAAGGAAGTTGTTTTAAAATAGCATCGCCTTGAGTTCTCAATGAATATACATCAAGTGACTTGGCTCTTCTGATTCACTTTAAACTATATAGTTAAGACATAAAACATTCGAAATCCCCTAAAGTAAACCAATAGTTTGAATCCTTCAAGACAATGTTCAGAAATTCAGAGCAAATTATTTAGATAAATTGGACAGAAAACAGATGCAAAAATATGTTACAGTAATTTTTCATGAGTAAAAGTTGTTTTCTATATTTTAGTTGTTATTGACCATTGAAAGTAGCCGCCTTTCAAAGGGGAGTTGTATAACTAGGATAATGTTTCTCGTAGGGAACATAATCTCAGGATGTATTAAGTGTACCTTCGCTACATTCAGTCATAAAAGCGTAGTTCGATAATAAGGTAAGTCATATACTTTTGTTTCGTTTTTACGTTACTGTTGTACATGGTTTGTGGTTGTGCTAACGTAATATCATGTCGATCTTCAACTAGTCACATTTACTGAGCAGTATTCAATAACTTGATTGGTTCTGATGGAAATTATCTGCACTTTTCTGTTTTCCATTATGTTAGCTGCTGGAGTAGCAAGCTCCTTTATGCTGCTTAAATAAGACGATGTTGTTAAATCTTAGAGTAAACTTGTTGATTTTGATCATTTTAAGAAATCAAACCCTACTGTGTTTTGCTTTATTTGAGCTCTTTCTGGAGACTATCAAGTACCAAAGCAGGCCGTGGTAGATTTTCTTATATTACTTCCGTGAATAGTCACTTTTGAAGATCCTTTATGCTTGAAAATGGCTTCTAAATGCTAGGCTTCTGTTAACCAGTAAAGGGTGGCATCCATCATGATTAGTCCAACTGTTGGTACCACAAAGCACGCACAAATCTCATACTATCACTGTTAGAGTAAGTCTGTGGCTATGTCTTGATATTACTTACATCTTGTATCGGACACCTACGCTTTTAAATGTTACGAAAAACCATATTCAAAAAAAAGCGTAACATATAGTCAGAGTAAATGTCATTATGTTGGTTCTGTCAATGCACAGATCGACTCTTATGTCACTGGCCTAACTTACAATGTTCAGAGACTAAATGTCCTTTACACGGCAAGTGGAATGTAATATTCGAATAAATGATATTATTTGTTTAAACATAAATATTGGTCCAAAGGGACCCTGAATACATATGTGCCACACAAGTCACTTGATTTGTGTGGGCTATGATACTGCCCGGGTGCCTAGACTGAAACAGGTGGTTTCCTTAGGAGGCCACAGCCGGAACCTTCGACCTAAAGGTCTGATCTACAAGACAGCGAAGCAACGTTAGGAGATGCAGTCCCATGGTAGCTGGTGGCTAATGATTGGTTTATACTCCATTTGTTCTTTCAGGATATTGGAGCCTATGTGCATCCTTGGTTTAGGATCATGGTTCTCCAACTCCCCCATGTGAATCGTCCATATCCACCAATCCGTTTAGAGCACCGGATATTCACTCTTCATCCTCTCAATTTCGTAAACAACACCCCCGCTGCGAAAAAGCAGTGAGTAGGACTTCCATGGCAGTAATTGTATGCACGTGGCCACGTGAGATCATTTCTTGAAGGAGAGCTGACTCTTCCGACTCTCGGTCGTATCAGGGCATTTGAGGACCTCGTGACATAAACATATATCCAGTTGGTTGGTCACCTGATAGAGAAGTTCGTATCGATTTGAAGGGTTTTCGGATATTCTTTGCTTTAGGAATTTCGTACGTCAATACTCAGTCTCAGTCAGTTACAACGTAGGACCACGCACATATGTGCATTGGTTCAAGTTGCCATTCCTCATTAACACAAGATGAACACCGGATTCGTAGGAGTAGTTAATTCAGTGGTAGTATATAAAAGAGAGATTACATATCAGTACATAGTACAGGAAGAAATAATTAGTTCTTAGAAAGAAAGATATGAAGCGATTTTAAACTCTTAGTTCGAGGGAAGACAGGAAGTGTATACACCGATGCCATTGTGATTGGTTCTGAGCCATATCACCCAGAGTCTCCAACCATTGGTTGCGATAGTCAAGCGGACTCCTACCAAGTAGTCTGCATCTACCAACATTGCTCAGACTAGAAGTTAGTGACTTTGTGGATTGATGCCACGTTTTGGTTTGGCCCCCCTAACTTTCTTCCAACCAACCCCAACACTAGTCAGCATTATGCTTCGTGGCATTCGGTGTTTAGGCATACGTAACACGTGGCCCAGCCATCTCAGTCGACGAAGATTCACAAGCTCACCAACTGATTTAGTATCATTCCCTAATACCCTGCGTCTAACCTCACTATTACCTACCCGGTGATCCCAGCAGATGCAAACAATATTTCTAAGACATCTGTGGTTGAATATTAGTAACTTACGAGTATCTTCTACTCTTAATGGCCATGTTTTGCAGCCGTAAAGTAGGACGGAACGAACTGCTGCACAGTATGCTTGTCCCTTAATTGATAGACGGAAATCTCGCCTTCGCCATAGACGACGTAAGTCGATAAAAGCCAAACCAGCTTTCTGAATTCACAGAGATTTCGTCAGACACCAACCCATTATGGTTGATCAGACTTCCAAGATAAGTGAAGTTGTCGACGCATTCGATTACTTCACTCTCTATTCTTAGTTCAGGTATTGACGCAAGTCACTCCCGAAGCAACAATTCTCATTTAGAGGAGGGAAACGTATCCAAAACATCCTGAAATTGTTGTTCAGTGCTACCAAAAGACTGCGTTTTATCAGCGTCTTCACCAAACAGGACTATGTCATCTGCGTATTCCAAGTCGATAAGTTGACCTCCTGGAAGGAGATCAATGCCCGAGAATTCGATCGATGAGAGCGTTATTTCCATTAGTAGGTCTATGATGAAGTTAAACAAAAATAGAGAAAGTGGACAGCCTTGACGGACACCACTTGAGGTTGCGAAATCAGTTGATAGTTCGCTATAAGCTCTGACTCGACTGGTAGTGTTGGAGTAAAGAGCCTTGATAAGGTTTATGCATTTCTGAGGTACACCTTCCAATGACAGACACCACCACAGAACCTGTCGGTCTACCGAGTCAGATGCTGGTTTTTAAGTCAAGAAAGACCACCATTGTCGGACTCCGATAAGCATGCCTGTGTTCTAGAACCTGACGAATGGTGAATGTGTGGTCGATGCAACCACGACCATGTCTGAAGCCAACCTGATTTTCTCGTATTTGCAGTCCACGAGTCTTAGTTAGGCGTCTGATAATTATTGAGGCTAGTACTTTAGATGCTATGTTAGTCAAAATAATCCCTCTATGGTTATCACAGGTTCATTTTGAACCCTTCTTATATATTGGGACGATCAGTGATTGCGACTAGTTAGATGTGATTACATTCAGTTCCCAGACTTTAGCTAAAATATTAGTCAACCTAACCATCAAAACTGGACCACCGTCCTTAAATACCTCTTGAGCCAATCTATCTGAACCACCTGCCCTTCCTCGTTTCAGATTAGCTACAGCTTTTTGTAGTACAATTAGAGACAAAGGGCCTACTTCAAAGTTTCATTCAAGTTGTTTGGGAATATTGGGTAGTTGTAGAGTGACTGAAGGCAAACTGAACTGCTCCCTAAAGTATTCCGCCCATCGTTCTAAACGTCTGGACTGATAGCAGATAAGTGTTTTTTTTCAAGATCGTCTCACACTTGACTCCTTAATTCCAGTTTCTTTAATTAGTTTGTAAAGCTTTCTGGTGTTATCTACAGCCGCTGCCTTTTCCGTCTCTTTTGCTTTCGTTGCCCACACTTCTCACAGTCGTTCCTTTCCAAGCAGCAGCTGGGTCAGATCCGTTTTCAGAACTACCTAAGTGTGACCTCAGTTGTTCCTGGAGTCTACTTTTGGCTTTATAGTCACTGAGTTCGACTCTAATGGGTTTTCTTAATGTGATTTTTACGCGTCCAGTGAAGCGCAAGCATATGCGTGCTCGTATTAAAGCATGATCAGTGTCTAATCACGTACTCCAGGACGATCGGCAGTCTTCTATCGAGCCTCTCCAACGATGACTGATGGTAATATGGTGTATTTGAGTCCATCGTTGGTTTCTGTAATAGTCACCTTTCACTTCATCCGGGCTGCAATCAGTGGGAGCGTAGGCAGAAACGACTGAAAGGCAACGACATGTGTCCCTATCCTTCCGAGTTCTTACGGAGCCGTTTGCCCGACTAGCACAGAAATCCACTCTCACACTGCATGTCCTGTCCTCGTACTTAGTGCTATACCTACATCCGCCAGTCCACGAGAACTAGACATTGGGTCGCCAGATACACGGAGGTTGTATCTCGTCGGCTCCGTTTTGGTGACCTTTTCGTGTTAGCTCCGTACTTGTTGAGACCTTCTGCCGGAGACGGATATCCGTGGGATAAGGCGAGATGTGCATTTTTAGGGTCGACCTTTTCTAACCCCACCCTTTCTTGTGGGAAGGCAGCATCTCTGTTATGCTGGTTGTTTGAAGGAAACACCTTACTGCTGTCACACTTCTGTACAGTTAGCAGTACGACTTCGCCCTCATACTTTGGGTTTGTTGCTTTTAGTCTTACCGCTCTTCAACCGACCTGTCTGGCATAGTAGAACCTTGAGGGACGATTGTTCCCACCAGTATATCTCGATTGGTTCATTACGATAGACAAGCCCGACCACCACGTCAAAGTGTCAGCAATGGTCGGGATTTATGGAACACGCTTTAGCACAACATTTACTGAAACCGAGGATCTTCCATACTGGACTTACCACCCAGTTATTATTTTCTACTACTCCTTACCATTATTGATCTTACAGTTAGGTCATTCAGTTTCATAGCTTGTTGTATTTTATGGTTAGGTTCAACCTCATCCAAATGTCTGGTGAGCAAACAAGTTAACCATCAAAGAGTATTGTATGTCAACAGAATAATCAGTTGATACTATTCCATGATTTAAATTTAAAAATATGCATGTTTGTGCCAGGCATTAGATTGACTATAATTGACTGAGGGTTAGAAACATGCGAAGAATGGTGGAATGTTACCATTTGTGCTTCAAATAAATCTATTAGTAACAGTAAAGGAAGGTTTTAGCAGACCTGTAGTTTCGCGAAAGCACTTCAGGTACTTTCCATCGATGACAATGAAGGATCAGCTGTTAACCTTAAAAATACACATATTATTGGTGAGTCCCGTTTGTTGATCATGGAGCTGTCCTACAACTAATTTAACATCTCAAGCCGGACAAGTCCAGTTTTTCGGACGAGGTTGCTTTCAAACTACGGTAACTGACGGATATTATTGCCAACCCACTGGCAATGGTGTTTGATATGTCTCTGAAGCAATTGAAACTTCCAAGAAATTGGAAGGATACTATAACTAGTTCTGCCTATTTGATAAATAACTATCGTCCAGTCAGCCTTACTGTTATTGTCGTTAAATTGATGGAAAGCTTCTGTTTTAGTTCACGTAGAAGGGAATAATCTTTTATTGGGGGGACAACCTGGTTTTAGAGTTCTTCCACGTTTGACTAATGCCCTCATTGCAAGAGATTTGACGGCAACGTAATATAAAAGTATTTCGGTAAACGTTTTTTTATAAATTACAATAGAGTTAGTTTTATATCCAGTCTGTAAGTTTTTTATCAACTAAAGCCCACTGAATGCTACTTTTATAGTTCTGTTGCTCCTTATAATCGTTTGTCACCGAACCGAAAGTTCGAGAAACTTTTGGTGAACATAATTTTGTTCTGCGATTGAACTTACTGAGATGTTGGGTAGAAGCGAAGACAGTTTAATAGTTGACATTTTTGCTGCGAAGTATTAAGTGCTTGACATACCCTCAATTAAAAATTTTTTAACACAGCTAAGCTGTGGTACATTGGTTCTGGTTTCTAATTTATATCCTTGGAATCTGCTTCTGTTGTTAACTATTAAGGGACTTTTCACATTTGATAGATTTGTACAACAGTCGAATAACTTGGTAAAATGAATATTTTCAACCTATCTCCGAGTTTATTGTCTACCTGATTACATTAGACAAGTAACTTCCCTTTCACTGATTTCAAGACGACCCAGTTCTAGATTACGAATCATTTGTAAAGTGGTGGCTTAGCACTTGTAAAATTACACCACTTTCAATCATGGGATCTCGTTTCACTTTGGTTTAGGGAGCCAAATAGCATTACTAACTGTGAAACAACAATATATTGTTTAAAGCCGAGTACATTTATTTAAACCATGTAAACAAATTACGAGACTTAACCATTTATATTAATAGAAAAAATACCATAACTTTTCTGAGCGAAATTGATTTTTGTCAAACATATTGCTTAAAGCAATTAGTCCCTTTGATAAATTTCAATAATGTAATAAGAAGACGTTTTCTTACTACATTATCGAAACATATTGTTCTCGTTTCAAATATAAATATCAAGTCGTTTATGTATATAGGAACCAGGTAAAGAGTTCATCTTACCAATCCTAATCACCTTCATCATAACTGTATGCAAATAACTTGTACAAACCGTGTAGAAAGACCAGGTAGTACCAATACCATGTTTAAAATATTCATTAAGGTCTTTTTTTTTCAAAAATTCCTTCACTATCATATTATACTCTTTTTTTCATTTCTTAGTGGTACTTATATGGTTATTGTTATTATTTTCCCAGTATGGAAACAGGATCCAATTGTTCTTATGATAATCATCATCGTCAGTTATTTAAAAAGGATTCATTAAAGTGTTTCTATTCACATCCAGTAACTGGTAAAAATGATTTACCAACAACACCAATAACAACAAATGCAATTTCAACTGTTAGCCATGAATGTTCTAAATTCGTAATAACTAATGAAACTTTATCTCCACTCAATAATCAGAATAATTGTTCAAGTGATTTAAAATTCATGGATGATAGTACTTCATCATCATCGTCATCAATATGCGGTTTGGATAGTTTAGCTTGTACTGTCAGCGGTGGTGGAATATTATCGTCAGAATCACCAAGTGATTTAACAGTAATTACATTGACATCGAATAATTCTAATAAATCATTATCATTGTCGTCATCCTCATCACATACTCCTGCCACTGTTGCTACCGTTATACATGATCTTGATGATTATAGGAATGGTTGTTCACATAATGGATTACCTACTGGTGAATCCTTACAAAATACTCATCAATTACCACGTTCTTGTATGTCTTTAAACAAAACCACTTCATTTTTCATCCCTCCTAAATCAAATAAACCTGTCGGTGGTGGCGAACAGTTGAAAGTGACTGGACCATCATCGTCATCTGATGTTATGTTAAGTGCTAATAAGACTTTATCGAATTTGTCAAATCTTAAATCACGTATTCCAGTACCAGTTTCATATAACAATAATAATCTTGAGAGTAGTCATCGTCTGACAATGAAGCCAAATTCGACAGGATCTCAGGTTAATCAGGCTTCAAAAAATGGTCCACTGATATCCGATTTATTGTTGAATAAAGGATCTGCACATGGAGTAAGTGTATTTATGTATATAACCTGATTGTTTTGTACTGTCTAATGTATAACTGTAGCTGCTTAGATGTACCTCTGTCTATACTATGATCTCCGTCACTTTTTTTAAACTCCAGTAAACAATCCAATCTATGTCCCGCTAACACCTTCATGCTTACTTGGTTATTTAAAACTATGACTAACCTATCACTGTGTCTTTTAATGGCAAGATTAATTTGAATTGTTCACTGTTAAGAAAAGACCTATAATATATTTCTAATGTTTAACATAATATTTTATCGTGGTACAAATCAGGAAATTTCATGATGATGTGAATGTGAAAATCAAAGGAATTCCAAATTAATTAGCTTTGGTGATCTAGATCTATTGTATATACTATTCATTTCATATAATTTGAAGCAGTGGCCCTGTGGTTAGGGCACTGAACCTGTTCCCCAGTACAAGATAAGTAAAGCTGAATTTGATATATTAGTTGAAACAGTTGTTTAACCACCGAACCACCGTTTCACTCAATAATGCACACCCACAACCTCTCTAGAGATCGGAATTTGCACTATCAAGTTTTGGAAGAAAGTGACAAAGTCGATTATTCATTTTTTTGCTATGGAGATAACCATACGGTCGTTTTGTTGACTGATGTTGAGCTCTTTCACCACATCACTTATCTGGAAAGTGTCATCAGTCTCAGTTGGTCGGTCGCTGACGAAATCTTGCAACGTTTTCAAAAAGATATTAGTCTTTGGCAACTTCTCTGACTGGTGGAGTAGGCAAGGTGTGCTTCTAGCAACAAAGGGATAAGTTTCCTATGCAACAGTTCACTTCTACTTTGTGAGCGTGAAATAACTATCAAGAAAGTAAATATTCGTAGGTTCCTAAAGTTTGATCACAGATACCTTCAATGCATTGCTCAGTTACATTGAGATCATTTGGTCAGCAATTCTGAAGTTAGCCATAAGATACTAAATAAAATTTCATTGGACTGACCGGTTGACTAGTCGAAAATGGCAAATCTATTGGTGATGAGGTGGTTTGGACATGTAAAACACATGTCCAACCACCACTTACTTCGACGGACGATGTCTGGTTTAGAGAAAGCTGCGGGAAACCTAGGAATAGATAGTCTAGAAAGTTATTGATCTTTAAACTTGATGATGTAAGAAGACATAGACTACCTAGTTGGGGTTTAAGTAATTATTATAACGAATGATTAGAGACTTTTGGCGACTTAACTCAGAATCGTGCACAATGGCCCAAGTACCATCACTCTTTTCGTGGTTCCTGAATTCCAAAATCTTTTTATACCTTTTTTTCGTTTTTTTTCAATAGCTAACATTTTTTTACTACTATTGATACTGTTACTATTTCCTCATACTTCTGAGTTTTGTCTTGATAATTTTGCCTCATTGTGTTAATGTGATATAGCAACTTGAACTGATGCATTCCTTATGACTGACTAACGGAATTTAATTTTCTTTCTTATCACTACCCCATATATCACCGATACTCGATGTTAATAATAACATTAATCCCTGCTATTTTATTTATTGGCATTCTTATTCTGAATTTTTTTTACTTAAAGTACATGTGAACGATCAGCTGTAGTGATCGATCGTAAAGTAACTATAAAACTAAGTGCAAACGAATTTCGCATATAGATATGTATATACCGCTTAAAAATCAATATAATCAACCATTCCAATTTGTCATGAAATAAATAGTTCATTTATCTTGTTGATTTGAATGCAAGTGCATATTCTTTAGATATAAACGATTACCACTATCACTAATGCATTTACATTGCAGTACATATGTGATGCATCTTTTATAACACCATAGTATTCAAATGAAAAACCATGAGTTGGATTTGGTAAATCATGGAAATATTTAACGATCTAAGTTCTTAGATTATAAGGACATTTATGTATGTTGATGAAACTGACTTACTGGCCAAAACACTCGACTACTAAATAAATCACAACCTTCAGAGGTTATAGTAACCAGTCAATATTATTTGTATCTATAGTGGATTCACAGTAGTTTTATTACTATCATACTGCTAAAATTTCATATGTACCCCGATAAACAATAAACACACTAACATCATTTGTAATTTATCAACTTTAGGCTGAGAAAGGTTATTATTAGTCATATAGATTAAGTGTTAAATCATATATTCAGCCAACATGCATGGAAAACTAACCGTTCACAGTCAATTATACTCAAAACTTTCACGATTATTGTCCTACTCCAACCCTCATGTAGTTCTTGATTATGGTATGAGACATGTTGGTATGTTCAGACTATCTAGTTGATAAGCCACTCGAATACCGTAGCCCATTGTTGAAAATGTTGGTTGATCGGTCACAACGACCTAAATGCATTCAATCTTTATCTTTCCCGAGTGACAGTTACCGATGAGATTAGATTATCGACTTGAGTTTCTGAATGCTTATACAGAAATTAAACATAATATAAGGTTAAGTTACAGGCGTTTTGAGGAAATTACTTCACAGATTACTCTTCAATCAACTAAGATTTGATGTGTGAAACCTAATTCCTGGGTGTTATATCGATGTTGCTACATATTAATTACATAGGAAACAGGCGAATCTGTACAATATTAGTTAGATTCTGGAATAAGTATTTCAAAATGAACAATTTACTTTGTCTCCAAACCAACTTCAATCAAATTAATCCATTTCATATGGAATTGCAACTTAATTGTTTTTATCATGTTAATTGTATTTTTAAGTATTATGACTTACTTATATTCATCTACTGCCATTAATTTTCATTGGAACCATACTAGAATTGTGTTGTTTTACTGTTCTCTCACATCTTCCCTATACCTTTACATCTCATCATTAATTCTACACATAATTATCGATAATATTTTGTGTATATGTATATGTCTGTTTATTATCATGAAACTGATTTTATCCCGTCCACTTTTTTTATTACTACATAAGCAAAGATAGAAAAGTGAACATAGTTACAACCAAACAAAATTTTTCACCATACTGTGTAAAACAAATGGAAAAAAATCACACTATCAGACAAATAACGATTTATTGGACGATCAATAACAACTAACTGGATATATATTTATACTTGTGTGCGTTTTGTGTGTGTGTGTGTGTTGGTGTGTAAATATTAGTAGTTGAATAAAATCGCAATTTCTAAGAGTCCGCATTAAACAACACATTCAGCATTGAATAATTACATTTTGTACTTTCTCTATTGATTATCTCTGTTTGTATAAAACAAATTTTAATGAATCAAATTAATTAAATTATTCACCAGATACTTGGGTATGAGTTATATCCTAATTGTGAAGGCTAATAAAATACTACTCGGTTGCTTGAACCAAAATAAGATAGAGCAAAGTTCGAACTGAGAACTTAGTATCTGAAAGTTGAACGCATTAACCACCAAGAAGTCATTGTTCTATATGTATATAGGATGATTATTGTTGCTGTTTATTTAATTAAGTGGAAAGTAGTCATGTATGTGATGCTTAAATTGGTTTCTTGTTGATAATCTGAATTTTTTGTTGTGTTACCTTGTCTTGTTTTCTCAGTGATAATAACTTGTCATATGCAATCATATTCTCATTATTTAGTTTCTTCTCATCATCATTGCTAATATAATCTTATTTTGTTTTACTGATATGGGTATGACAAGTCAGGCAAGTGCATATTTATGCCAGTCTCCAAATTACTAATTAGATAACTGTCTTATCCTATCACCTCTTTTAACGCATTACTGAGTTAGTACTGGTTGCATATTTTTGTATAATTATTTATCCAACTAACCGTAACGTTATTCCTGTTGTTTCTACAATTCATCGTCTACCTTTTGGGGTTGAGTAATTAGAAAGTTACTACAAAAAATGGTAGAACATTACTTGTAAAAACTGTAAATTAACATCTTTATTCCGAATATCGATAAGACATGTTTGCTTTCTTTTAAAGCTCATCAACCTCACTATATTTTTTTTATTTAAGTTCACAGTCAGTTTTAGGCATCAAGTTTATTTTATAACTCATAACCCATTGTACTTGTAGGTTACATATCAGTCTGGCAACCAAAGGATAAATAGCATACACAGTTGTTCTCTCTGTTTTACCTCGTAACTATGAAACGTAGCCCTTAGAATTGGAGAATATTCATAGGTTACTAGTATGTGATAATACTTTTGAAGCATTGGTCATTTATGTTAGAACCATCAAGTAAGTAATGATGAGGTTAGATATAGGGTAACAGGTTAATATACTAAATTGGTTGATAAGGTTGTGAATCGTCATCGACCTAGGTGGATAGGATATGTAGCGTATCAGCTGATGGGTTCCGCATCCAGATTCACTTTCAACTCTCAGTATCATATTATCATACCAATTTCCATGTATTGAATAATAATGACAGGTATCAGTCGATAATAGTTTACCGAGTCGATTTTCACGTATATTATCAGTTTTAAGAGAGTAAAATAGGTCACAATGGCTCAGTTGCATTCATTCTCTAACTCTCTATCCCTGTAAATATTGACATAACTGTCATTCATAACTGCATTTTTCTATCTAATTTCTCTTTTGAACTGTATTTCCTGGTGGTTAGATTTGTACTACAGTTTAAATTGTTCCTTTTTATATTGTGATTTCTTCTTGCTGTGCTTATGTAATATGTGTTGTTACGTGCAATATATATATTTCTATCAAGTCTTACATTGATGATGATTGATTGATCTTTTTATGTCAGCCAGTTATCTAACGTACTAATAGGGGGATATGAGCGGTTGTCAATGCTCAGTCGCCCACGCCACGAAAGGATACTTCTTAAGATACTTGAAAAAAACGGGGTCTTGACGACCTGGACGCATGATTGTAGTGTCCAGGAGACGATTTCTTGAGGCTAATCACAGTTTTTGATGAGTTAATTCCACGTTTTTATGACAAAGGAAATCGATTCGGCTAGGTGAGGTGTGTTGCTTTTAGAGCCGACCGTTTCCTAACCCATCCCTTTGTGGAAAGCTAGAATCTTGGAGGTGCTGGTTGTCTCAAGACAGCGCACTACTGCCGTCACATCCATATATACACTATCAGTAGTACAACTTCGCCCTCAAACCATACGTTTTTCACTTTAATCAACCTACCTGGCATGTCTGTACCTAAAAATGGAATTTTCCTGCCCCAATATAGTTCAATTGGGTTATCACGATATCCAAGCATGACCAACCGCATCAAGGTAGTAGCTTTAATCAAGTATCTTGATGTAAACTGAAATATGTATCATATCGATAAATTAAACTTAACTCCAATTCATAGTTTTTTATTTATTTTTATTTTCTTCTCAAAGCAGTATAATCCATCACCTGTCAAATCATCTGAAAATGGTCATATTAATGATGATGATGATAATAATAATAATGATAATAACAATAATGATGATAGCTTAGATCATTCAGACTATTCGATTAACAAAAGTGTATCTATAAAAACAAAATGTAAGACTACACATGCATATCCTCCACTACCACCTCTTTCATCGAATCGTATTGATTCTCATAAATGCACAACCATGTCATCGAAGCCAACTAATCATACCATGTCCACAGTAGCACCACCAATCCCTTTATCACCAGTAACAACGGCGACGACGACAACGACAACAACACATTTAATGAATAGTTTAGGCGAAAATATTGCATCTTGTCCAATTAAATCACATCCTAATGAATTATTACAAGATACTAATGATAGTGTTAAAAATACAGAAAATAATTTAAAAGATCTTTTACCAACTTTTTCATCAGACTCATCAGAATCAGAGGACAGTGAATCAACTACAGAATCAATATATCATCAACCACCAAAAGCTGCAGATCGTAGTGCAGCTTTTAGACTGGCTAAAAGACTTTTTCATTTAGACGGTTTTCGTATAACAGATGTTGCCAAACATTTAAGTAAACGGTAAGTTGAAATCTCTTCGCTTTTTTGTTTAATCATATAACTGAATACATTACTGTAATTTCTTATTGTCATTATGGTCAACTTGTAAACTGAAACGCTAGTTTATGCTCTTAAATTGCGGTAACTTTGTAGCTAAGGTAGGTACCCGACTTTCCAATAAGTAAGTCACACGTCCAAATCTCACCCACACTACTCCTGTTTGGTCAGCTATACAAACAATGTGACTGAAAGCCGAGTACGACTAATTGATTGAGTAAGAATGCATCATTCAAATGACTCAGATTAATTTGACAAAAGTATGAACAAGGAGAGGATATTTGAAAGATTTTAAGTCCATGAAATTAATCATTATGTACATTTCACCTATAATCACGTCTTAAGTTTCTCGGCAAGCATAACATATTGGGACGATAAAATCAAAATTCATTATTTCATATTCCCAACATAACGTCACGATCATCAATGACTGTCCTATTCCTGATCTCAACAAATTCCATTGGGTACAACTTTCCACTAAAACCTTGGTAATTAGCTGTAAAAACAAGTACACGCTGTATTGGAAAGTATTCAGCGCTTAACTTATACAATAATTTCATTCATTGAATCAGTTCCTTACCATCAGTCTTTTTTTTAAAGAAAAATAAGTGGGAATTTTCAAGTAATGAGACAAACTTTTCCACGATGCTAACAGTTTTCTCCTTATTGATTATTTCTTTTGAATATATTCAGTATAATGTAATACGGTTATTCCTGCTTGTTCTGTTCTCTCTCTTTCTGTCTATCTGTTTTTCCGTATTATTTTCACTGATTATTCTTGTTAATAAACACTTCGTTGTTAGCAGTACTTTTAAACAATAAATTAACTACTTACTGACTGACTATCATCTGTACTACTACTACTTTTAGTCGACATGTCTTTATCCTAGTTTCTTAGTTTGATTGCTTTTAAGGACAAAAAAGAAAAATGGAGAAAAAACCCGGAAGAAAAGCATTGCTGCATATTTCTTTCACTGTCTTCTTTCCTTTTTTCTGCTCATTCAACGGGCTAGTATGTATTTATTAGTGTCTGGGATCGTGTGTGCTTGCGTGTATACTATTCCCTGTTGTTCAAAACAGGAGAATGTGTTTGTTTGCTTTTTTACGTGGAAAGTCTTTATCTTTTTGTTTTGACTTTTCAAAGCGATTAGTTAGTGATTTGAACCTGTCTCTGTTCTTTCATTGAGTGCTTATTTAAACATTCGTAGTAATGGTGTTACTAATAATAGCAGTGTGTCTGTCTTATACACACCATGATTTTTCACATCATGAGTTGCTTCTGGAAGCGATAACAAAATGAACACCAGTTCACAGGCATTATCCGGTTGATATAATGGGAAGATAAGTCTGTTCAAACTAAGTCGTAAATCGTGCTTTTTGTATAGTCCGCTTAATGTGCCATTAAATGACAAGTGATGTGGGATCGTGGATGCGTACTATTGAGAATTGGAATACCAAAACAAAAAAGCTGTTCAGTGAAACGTACTTTGCAAAGGTTGTTTAATTTAGATCAGTTCGTTAACTATGATAATTATTTACTTACTTACGCCTGTTACTCCCAATGGAGCATAGGCCGCCGACCAGCATTCTCCAACCCACTCTGTCCTGGGCCTTCTTTTCTAGTTCCATCCAATTCTTGTTCATTTTTCTCATGTCTATTTCCATTTCTCGGCGTAATGTATTCTTTGGTCTTCCTCTTTTCCTTTGACCTTCAGGATTCCATGTGAGGGCTTGTCTTGTGACGCAGTTGGGTGTTTTCTTCAATGTGTGTCCTATCCACTTCCAGCGCTTCTTCCTAACTTCTTCCTCCGCTGGGATCTGGTTTGTTTTCTCCCACAGTGCGTTGTTGCTAATAGTGTCCGGCCAACGGATCTGAAGTATTTTGCGTAGACAACTGTTAATAAACACCTGTATTTTCTGGATGATGGCTTTCGTAGTTCTCCAGATTTCTGCCCCATACAGTAGAACTGTGTTGACATTTGTATTGAAAATCCTGATCTTGGTGTTGGTTGACAGTTGCTTTGAGTTCCAGATGTTCCTCCGCCTGGAGTCCCTCCGGGGGCTACTGCCGGTCCCAAGCCCGGGTAAAGGAGGAGGGTTGGGCATGGGGTTAGCGTCTTCATTCCGTAGAAAACTAACTCGCTAAAAAAACGCTAACTAGAAAAAAATATTCAAAAAAAATTATTATTCAAACTATGATAATAAACTAGTTTTATGACACGGGACATAAAATCAAAATTGTTGTAACGTGTGGGTGTGTGACTGCAGGTTTTAGATACGCAGCGTATTTATCGATCGCGATCTGTGACAGTGACACGGAAAACACGTACGGACGACCTAGTGCCCTGATTGACCCTGCTTCGCTGTCCGTCCTAGCCCAGTTGAGTGAAGAACACAAGTCACAGCCTCGGAGTTATGAATCATTGTATTTCAAACATACTCTATTTATATACCAAGCAAACAACCCACATCGTACCATAAAATAGGAAACAACATTTGTACAATATTTAACAAGTGAAATAAACATCGACCAATAAGAAATGTACATTTAAGGTTCAAGGACACCATTGAACTTAACATGGTAATTATTGGTCTCTTTTTTCCGACTATCCCAACAAAAATAAATGCTAACCTAGTCATTATTGAATTGAGTTACTCAAGAATAATTTGAGAGATCAGTATGAATGTGCACCTGATTAAGTTGTCATACTTTATGTTAGCACAATGAAAGAGGGGGATATCAAGATGACGAACAAAGGAGTTGAAATCAAAGTAACATCAATTATTGCAGGAACCAAATGTAGTAAATGTGTAGTTCTAAAAAGATGAATGAAATAAATGATGTCAAACCCAAGATGTAGTTGATCTCTATCTAATTCCCCCCAGGTGTCCAACCATATATTATAATTATTTCGCCAAACTGAACCAAAAATGCGGTACTTTCTAACACTCAATAATATATACATGTCCAAAATTGCAGAAAGTTGGTATCCTATCACCAGCATATTTACAATTTTTACGATATACCTATCGTTTAACTTGATCGTTACTAATCCGATTGAGTGAATGTTCACTGAGTAGATTGGTTACTTATTGGTTTTAATACTCGGGTTTTAGTTAGTAGATCACAGGTTTAAAAACTGCTATGCCATCGTCATTGTGCTGAACTAGTATATATATATATATATATATATATATATATATTGAATTGTACTGGGTAACTGAGGTAGTGAATCCTTGTTGACTGTGGTTGGGTCGTATGTTTTGCCCAGTCACCCCTTACCTATGAGGTGAATGTTGTCCCGTGTAAAAGTAGACTACAAGAAAGCTAGGGCTGGTTAAACCAAGACACGGTATCAACTAGTGATATCACTGATAACTGTACTGAGCCATGTAAGCATGTGTAGACTACCCGATTGGGGTTCACATGATTACCTTAACCATTGGTTGGAGACTTTATGTAACATGTCTCGGAAGCGTTCACAATAGCGCAGGTACACGGACTTTTTCTATTCCTATAGAAACTGAGTCTTGAAATGTCTTTTACTACTGATATCATAAGTACTCCTACTACTCTCGAATTTGTCCTGAAATAATTGTATCTCACTGTGTTAATGTAGTATGGTGACTTGAGCCGACGTACACGTGTGCCAGGTTCTATGTTGCACATGGCTGATTGGTGTTAGGGTAACAACTAACTCTTATCTAGGGTATATATATATGCTTAGTACTATCCACTATCATTGGCTCTGTTGCCTATTCTAGTCCTCTGGAATTGGTCTTATCAATTGAATCCCTCTGTCTTAATGCGATTTGACAACTTGAACGAGTGCAAACATACTTATGACTGACTAACTCTTAATTCTCATCTTATGAAGTTTCTCTTTCACTGACTTGTTGTGACACCTTAGACTGACACATATTTTTTTCTCTCAAGTTGTACGTTATTTAAATTTAGCCTACATGATGCTGTATATTATCCCTCTCTACGTATGTAATGTACCATGACAAAATAAACATTACCTTTGATCATTTGTTAAACATGTTGGTTGTTTTGTAATTTATTTTATTATCACCGAAATTTCCTCATGATTTTTCTTTAAAAAAAAGCGCGCTTGTAATAAAACTTCGGTACATTATTTTGTTCTCACTTGTTTTTCTTTTTGTAATAAACATACATTTTCCAAATACACTTGTTAATAAATTCAGTATTATCGAACCGTATACATCTAACTAAACTGTATTGCTATAATTACAAACTTTAAATATTAAAAAAAACCCTCGAAGTTCCACAAAATTTAATTTTTTTCATTGTAATCATCTACACTAAACAACGATTGAAAACCTAGAAGCACTGTATAGCCGTTTCATCCTAGTATGGGACTCCTCAGCAATGCGCATCCACGACCTTACAAATGGGAACCGAACCACTGAGCACGACATCCAACGGTTCTTAATATCTAACTTCAACCAATATTGTGCGATCATCCTTCATTAACTTCTATGAGTAAATACCTCAAACCTGACACAGATTAGCTCTGCTGATCACGGCTTAATTCTTTTTCTTTTAATTCATCATTATCAACCCCTCCAAATTAAACTAAAATATCACCGTTGATTTTTTGAATTATTGTGTCTTCACACTAATGTACCACTATAAGTTGGGGAATTATTGCAAACCATACAAAACAAGCTAAATAGCTGCTTTTTCCTAGTTTAGTGTCACTAAATAGTACATAATTTCAGTCCAGTGGAGCGGTAGCTCAATGGTTAAAAAGTTTGAATTTCAGGCACTAAGTTCCAGGAAACGTTACAAAATAACATATTAAAAGAGTCAACGAGCCAATGACATTTAAGGTCCTCCCAAGTGGGAAATGCGATCTAAAGGTAAAAATGAGCGCTTTTGGCACGAAAACAAGAAATTTAAATTTCCAGAATAAAATTACAAAAACAACACATTTACTAAGCGGATTCTGGGAATCTAACATCCCCAACAGGTTCAAACTTGGGACTTGGTGGCTAGAAGTCGAATATCCCAATCACAAAGCCAACTCTGAATAGTTCATTTACGGTTGTGTTTTTTTTAAATAGCTGATCTCAGAGAACACACCACCTGCCAAATTCTTTTCTTAAGCATAATAAAAAAATTTATAACTTTCATGTTATAACTCCCCGTTTTACTTTCAAACATATTTCCACTTTTTCATCTGTAGGAATGATTTTAGTCAACTTGTCGGTGAAGAATTTGCCAGTTTCTTTGATTTCACCAATCAACGTCTAGATGTTGCGTTAAGATCATTTTTGAACAGTTTTTCATTGACTGGTGAATCACAGGAACGTGAACGTATATTGTTACATTTTTCACGACGTTTTCACGCGTGTAATCCAACTAGTTATTCTTCTGAAGGTAAGTGGTCTTCAGAATTTTAAGATTTAGAGATTATTTTAAACATATATCTATTTTTTGTTGTTGAAATTATTACTATAAAGTCAGTTTATGACAACGTTTGTCGTGGTATACAGTAGAACTGTTGTAAATCTGATAATTAGTGTGTAATAGTTTGATCAGTCAGTCATAAAGTTAGACAGACATCAACATAGAACAGCAGCACGGGTGCGTGTTGACCCAAAGTTGCTATGCCACATTATCATGACGAAATAAAAATAACATTGGATAGCTATCTCGTCCTAATACGGGACTTTTCAAAAATTTATATTCATGGTCCCTACCACAACGAAGTGAATCGAGGACGTTCCCGTCTCACGCGAACACTTAGTCTCTAGTTCACTGAGCCACAATCTAATGATGCTAATATCTAGCTTCAATCAATTTACGACACTGCGCGGCTGTCTTTTGTTTTTATGGGATACCTGTCGCACACCCGATGTAGTTGAACTCCATTGTTCACAGCCTCTCACTAGATGTTCAATAGTCGGATCTTAAATTTCCATATAAATGCCAATTATAGTATGAATCCTTAGTCTTATTAAAATGCTCACTGATAGCTTCGTATGTGGGGAGATATTTATGATAACCGTCACTACAATTGTTACTTTCAATAATCACTCATAATTTTGTTATATTATTAAAATTATATTAATTATATCATACAAGCATTCAAACTAGTTTCTCAGATACTAACTGTACCGGTATATTTTACAGCCTTCTATTCAACTCCAAAATCAATCAGTTTTGCGTGGTCTAAAATTTTGTTTAACTTTATAACTCTTAAATAAATATCTATTAATATTTTTTTAGTATTAATTGTATAACATTTCGAAATTTATCAGTTAGAGATACACTAACAAATTAATTTATTTTGCACAAGATTAAATCACCTCTATTTCTCTCTCTTTTTCTCTCTTTCTCTCTTTTCTTATAGAACTTTCTTTTTGTGTTTCGGATTTCTTTGATATTTCATTCTCTTTATTTCCCTTTTTTCTTTCTCCATTTCCTTCTCTTTATATTGATCATCTATCATATTTGTATGTATGTATGTGCGTGTGTGTGTGTGTGTTTCAACCTGTTCCACAAGTTGTCCATACAATTTAAACAAAGTATGACTGACGACTACTGGTTAATAATAATAGTGATAATATAAACACTACTGGCACGTAGATCCATCACATTATTTGTGATTCACACTGATTAATTGATTGATTGATAGGTAGATAAATGGTTATTATTATTATTATTATTATTATTATTATTATTATTATTATTATTATTATTATTATTATTATCAGTACCTTATCAATAGAGTAAGATTGATTATTTATTTGCTGAGTTTTTTTTTCGCTCTCACCGGTTCATAATCGACATCAATGGCAGATGATTATTTTTCGGACAAATTATGAAAAAGAAGGTATAATCATCACTGATGAAATAGAATTTTGTTTAATTGTCTATTTTGTGTATGTGTGTGTGTCTATTCAATCCTCTTGATTGATGATGATGATGATGATGCTGTAATGAGCACTTGTTTGTTGATACACAGATACGCCCATACACATATAATAGTCTTCTGAATAAGTAAATAAATATGTACAGTTACTTTTTGCCACTAGTACATAGACGACGATGATGATGTTTTTGTGTAGTTTATACAATTATTCAGTATATTTATGTATATTTATAGTTCGTAATACATAAAATGTGTACTTCTCACTGACTATCTGTGCATAACTGAGCACTATGTTTGTTTGTATGTACTCAGAAATATTAACATAACTTTTTAATTTTTTTTACGCGTATTGATGTGAATCGCCACGTGCTTAGTTATGAATCACGTTCTTACCAGTACTAATAATAATAATTATAGCGATAATGTATTAATAATAGTTTCATTAAAATAATATGACATTGCTTTACTATGATAATCGGTCAGCACATTTAGCAACATTATATATATCACAATAAATAACCTAGTGAGATTGCTGAGTTCAGTGTACTAGGAAAAAATGAAAATTTGTTCGACAAGACAGAGAATCTTCACCGACCAACTTTTTTTAACACATAGATATTGGTACAAGGAGGTACCAGATACATATGCATCACACAAATCTCATTAGATTTGTGTGAGGGCTGTGATACTGCCCGGGTGCCCAAACTGAAGCAGGTGGTTTTCTTAGGGGGCCACACCCGGAGCCTTCGACTTAAAGGTCTGATCCACAAGGCAGTGGAGCAACGTCAGGAGATGCAGTCCCATGGTAGCCGATGACCAACAATTGGTTCATACGCCATTTGTTCCCTCAGGATACTGGAACCCATGTGCATCATTGGTTTGGAATCAGGGTTTTCCAACTCCCCTAGGTGGACTCTCCGTGTCCACCAATCACCGACTAAAGTGGTTGGAACATGTAATACGTATGTCCAACCACCGTCTTTTTCGAAGAATGATCCTTACTTCTGTAAGAATAGACTGGCAAATATCTAGGGATGGACAATTCGAAATATGGCATCATTCCATCAAGTCATTGATAGTCGAAGTGTACTGTGTTTGTTGGTTCAGACTATGTGGTTGAAGTTCATCCGATCACTATACCAATGACTTGAAGCTTGATTTATTCGACCCAGTATTCCTCGAACACTTTACTTCACTCGACTGGTACCCAAGTTAAAGATCATAGTTATATTCCAAAACAAAATGGTAAATTAAGTTCATACAGTAGGAAAAGTGGTGTTTTGCATCTAATTTTTACACTGGAAGATTCTAAAGTCTGCTGACTGATCAACTAAAAATGGGTCAGTTATCATGGTCCGACATAATTCTGTATAAAATATGGTTTAATTCAATATGTTTCCTTATAACACCTCCCCTTCGCATAGATTCATAGGATCTGTATTTAGGGTCTACTTGCATCGGATTAAACGGTCTGCACTTCCAACCTGCTTATCGTCTAAGCAACAAGAAAGGGGTACCACTCTTTGTCTAGTTAGTTAGTCCGTTGGTCAGACCTAACGTAGAAACTAGCACATATGTACATCAGTTCAAGTTACTACACCCCATTAGCACAGTGAGATGAAATTTTCAAAGAAAATTCCAGACTCGTAGAGATAGTAACAGTATTGATGGTAATAGAAAAGATTAGGCACCCAAGATAAAATTCGAGAAACTGTAAGTTAGATTTTAAAAAATACAAGCAATTTAGAAACCTAGGATCTGATCGAATTTAACGAATAAATGCACCTTCAGCATTGCAAACGATTCTGAGTCTTGTTCGAAGCCTCTAGTCACTGATCGCGGTTACTACACGAATCCTGGTCACATAGTTTGCAAGTACTAACATAACTTCCTCCAACAGTCAGTGTCTTCATGGACTGATACTATGTCTAAGTTTGACCACTCCTTATTTGCTTCTAACCTACTCCTAGTGGTGTCGGGTAAAATGACTTATAATTGGCTAAATGATTCAGATCCTTTTTTTACTACTACAGATTGTTATTGCTACTCTTGGATTTGTCGTAATAATTTCATCTCTTTCTGCTAATGTGGTAAGTCAACTTGAACCTATGTACATATGTGCCAGGTTCAACGTTGTATATGAATGACCGAGTGAAACTGCTTAGTTTTCGTTTAGTAGCTTTGATCATATGCAAGCGTCATTCAGAACTCGTCACTATTTTAAACTAGTCTGGACGTGTCAGTTTGAAATTTGTCAGTATCTACTGCCAGTCTAATGCTTACTTAAAACCTGTATTTTTTATAAATCTTTATCTGCTCATTAAAAAATTAAGTCACTTAGTCAAAACTAAATGCATCATATCGCTTGAAATCAGTTATTTTTTATGATTTCGCTGTCATATTTTTAACAGACATTGTTCTTTATTATAAATGGATGTGAGTAGTGGCTAGCAGTGAATTTAAGGACACGCGTTTCGTCCTATTTGAAATTCGTCAACTGAGGATATCTTCCACTATCCATCTCTGCTTATAAACTACCTGTAAATTAATGAGTCAATCCGCAGAAATACCGAAAAGAGATTGATCAATTTCATTCCTGAACATTGATGAGAAAATTCAAACAACCAATACAAATCCATTGTTTTTTATGGTTAACATGATTGAAATCTAATTCTGGAGATTCACTCTACATTTTAGTGATCACTTAGACAAAATATTTTTTTCTTGATAAATAACACATGTTATTTCTTAGATTTTCCCTACTGTAGTTGTATATCTCTTTGTCGTCTACTCACTGAAAACAAACTATTTCATCATTGAATAAAAGTAGAATTACATAACTATATGTAATGCAGTCGAAAAATTCCATATTTTTTAGTCTTTAATTTATTTTTTCCCAATTTCTCTTCATCTGGATACTGTCTATAGTTCAATTAATGGATATTATAGTTTATGTGCATATTCAGTTGTAAGTAAATTGTGAATTAATTGGCAGGTTTCAGTCAGTCAGTCATCTGCAACGTAGGAGCAGGCGCATATACGCATCGGTTCAAGTTGCCATATCTTATTAGCATAGCAAGATGAACACCAAATTTGTAGAAGCAGTTACTTCAATGGTAGTAATGTTAAAAAAAGATTGCATATACGGATATGATACAAGGAGAAAGAATTAGTTCGTAGAAAGAAAAGTATAGAGTAATTTTAGTCTCATGGTTTAAGGGAAAACAAAGAGTGTATACACCTACGCCATCGTGATCGATTTTTGATCCAGAGTCTCCAACCACCGGTTACAATAGTTGCTTTTTGTGTTCACTTCTACATATCTGAACGAAGTGTTGTTGTTCTGATTGTCTTATTATCACATTGTTATTGTAATTGAAATTCCCATTCTGGAATAATTTTTAAAAATGACGTTTTAAACCAAGTATGTTTCGAAATATCTTATAAATCATGTGTATATATATTCTTAATTGCATTGAACTGACAACTGACACAGATTTGATGTATTTTACCACAGTGGATTGTTTCTTCAACGTTATAATCTATTGTTAAATGTCCATTATGATCTACAAATGAAGTCTACAATGATTGTGTATACCCTAAGACACATTTTCAATTTCACACTAATGTCTATTGTTAAGCTGATAAAAGATACAGAACATTAAATGTCTGTTTCATCCTAGTTCCTAGTGTATCGAATGATAATCTCACATTGAATTGAACCAAGAATTTCCGCCTCTCACTATGACCATGATACCTAATGTTGGTTCATAATCACTTGTAGTTTTAAGGATCCAACTTTCAATCATTAGGTTTCATCATTATCACGCAGTCAACTTATTGATCAATGCATGAATGAACGCATATACTTTTAAGCCACTTATTTGTTCTATACATATCAATTCAACTCACATAGTTTTTTTTTCCTTTTTACGCTTATAGTTTAGTTTGTGCAAACACACTTCTCAGTTCTTCCAAAGAATTGTCTCAACACTTATTTCTTTCTATCATTTTAAATTTGAATGGTATTGAATTATGGCTTTGCTTTTTGTTTAAAATTAACAGACATTTACAAATTAAAGTTGTTTACACAATCGCGTATTAATTTAATCCTTTAACTTTTAATGGAATCATGATCGTAGATTATTGAGTACTTTTTTCCTTCGTCTTTACTAATGTTGCTGCTTCAATGAGCATTTGATTTGAAAGATAACAGCAAACAAACTAGTCAATATTAGTGACAATAACACGTAAATCCACCTATGATGTATTACAAGCTATTTTTGTGAATAAAAACAAGAGATAATTATTTCCAGACAGTTTCATAACATTCACTATCATCTACTTGCTTTGTCTCTCCCCCCCTCTGGCTATTTTTTTTACTCTCGATTCATTTCGTCTAACATTTATAATTGGCGAAATGTCTAGTTTAATGCAACATTCTGATATCTATTTCCATGAATTTCAACGCACGAACTGATCTTATTGATGGAGTTTTGTTCTCTGAGCTGGATGATTTGGTCGTGTGGTTGGATGAATCCACCAAATGTTTCAATATTCGTGAAATTTCTTTTGACAAATTGTATGTTTGCGTTCCGGGGAGTGCTACAATTGGACGTAGTGGGATGTTTGGTTTGTGTATTTTCGGTCTGCCGTAGAATCGAGGGATTACTGGTCCATTGGATTTCATTCTCCATTGGTCTTGTTTTGTTATTTCTCCTGCTTTTACTGGCTTGTTTAAAATCGTTGAGATTCGGCATTCTTCAAGCCAATACACACATTTTTTAAACTTTGTGCCTCTTCATTATAAGAGAAACTTAGTCAAATGTCTGGCAAATAGAGCTATTAAGATATGCTCAGTTGACACGATTGATATGGAATTAAAGCACATTCATAATATGTTGATTGAATTGGGATATCCACAGGGTTTCCTGAAGAAACATTTGCGTGTAGCAAGCAAGAAAATAGTGACACTAACGGCTAATAAAAAACCTCTTTCCTTGAAGCTGCACTTCAATGGTGATATATTACGTGATAGACTGACTAGAGCAGTAAAGAGAACGTTTAATGCCGCCAACCCCTGTCTATCGTATTCGACCCGATCTATGGTGATTTTCCAACTGAAGGATAAGTTACCTGGTTATCCCACTTCTATGTACATTTACGAATTCAGCTGCTCCTGTAGAGAAAGCTATATTGGGGGCACTACCAGGCAACTGAACCAAAGAGTTAGTGAACACCTCCCTTCGTGGTTAGGAAAAGGTTCCGTCAAAACAATACACAGCTCGGTTCTATCACACTTGATCGATAGCGGTCATGTAATGAACAGAAACAAGTCATTTAAAGTTATTTATTGTATTCCTACTAGTTTTCCTTATGGTGTTCGATCTCGTCTCTTACACATAGCAGAAGCTATAGGAATTCGAGCCAACAAACTAAGTCTTTGTGCTCAGAAGGAATTTGTAACTCCTTTATCTCTCCCTTGGCCTTAATAAATGAATTTATTTATTACTTTTTCAAACTTTCTCTTTGTTTATTATTTTTCTTCACCCCCTCTTACCATTTTATTTTGTTTTCTCTCAAATATAAGTTTCACGGTTCAATTATCTGAACACTTCTTATTACGTCATCTTATAGTTTTATAAATGTTATTTCACTGTCTATATTTTTCAAATCATTGACCTATTTCCGATTATGTAACATTGATTTGAACCTTTATTATTGCTTATCAAAACTAATGCACCTGTTGTCACACCATTAATTTGTACTTTTCATGTTTCACTTATTATGTAATCGTTTTCATTGTTACTCATTGACTTATAAACTACCTTGATTAGTTTAATAATTTCGTATATGCATATAAATATTAATGTATATTAGAAGTGAAGCCTGATGAGGGATCTAATCGAAAACAATATTGTTCGCTTATATATTTTGTATTCTTCATTGTTCATAATCACTATGGTGTGTCCTTTGTCCGCTGAAACTATGACAATATCCTTTCTAGTTCTGAGTTCCTTCAAAGATTTTTGTTCTTATGGGGTCAGTTGGTTATTTCCCTTCATCCGTTGAGTTAGCGGTACTATAATTTGCTTGCATAAATTGATAAAGTTCTGAATAAACATAGTAGATAATTGGCCATAACAGGTGACAGTAGTTAACAATATCAATTTTTTAAAGTTTATCATGATATACATTTAAAAAATAAACACAACAGCCATTAACGTGTTCTTCAAAAGATCATAATTTTATTAAATAATGGTTTTTAATTTTGTTTATCACACCTTAAATCTCACCATTAATTTTAAGATTTTTCTGCTAAATGTACGCCGTCTAACGAATACATTAATATGAGAAGGGGTTTGTGGAGATTTTTAGTAATTTCAATATTTGGGATCATGCGTCAATCGAAGCTAGACCACTTTGGAAAACCTGGAAGCAATGGACGGCCGTGGATTAGTTGAAGTTAGACATTAACACCATTGAATGCCGGCCACCTCAGTGGTCTAGTGATTAGGTGCTCGCGCGCGAGACCACTATGTCCTAGGTTCGAATCCTGTGAGTTAGGTTCGTGGATGCGCACTGCTGAGGAGTCCCACCATAGAACGAATCAGCCTTCCAGTGCTTCCAGGTTTTCCAAAGTGGTCTAGTTTCTATTGACTCATGATCTCAACTATTGAATACATTAATAATCAATTAAACAGAATTTTCGCCTGTATGTCTAGTGCTAGCGTCTATTTTTCACATGCATCGAATTGACCTTCATATTCACCATCATAATATAGATAAATTAACCAATTGTTCTGGATTTTACTGTATAAAAATTGATCCTGTCTATCAGATTGTTCTTCACTCTACGGCTTAAATTTTACTTGTTCTTGTTTTCAATATCGATTTACATATATTATACAGGTGATCACAAATATTATTTGGCTGGACACAAAACTTTCATACACCAGGTTTATAATTAGTTAAATCAAACAACAGGATACTATCTACTCAAATTTGTACACTATATGCATGAACGTACGTTTTTTCAATTATTCAACTGAGCTTCTTTTCGAAGAAAATTCTATCTTATCATTGTATTAGGGGTTTTTTGTCGAATTTTTAAGTACATATATGTCTATATATAGGTCTTTTTTGAATGATAATTAATTTTACACAATTCCCCATTATTTAATCCCTATGTCTTTTTATTATTACTTCACAATAGATACTTGTCATACTTTAGTCTGTGCACTTATGTTACTCAACACGGATCTACATAGTCAAGTAAGTGATGTTTTATCTGATAATTATTGTTAAAGACATTATTATAAGCTTGGTTTTATGGTCCTAGGTTTATTCATTGATTTCACTTAGTCGACAATATATAATTTGTGTCGAGTTGTGCTTTGACTGCGTAATGAGTGGTTTTGTTTTGTATGGTTGACATATATCTCCCATCATTGGTTAATTATCTGGTTAAATGACTCGTATGAACTAACTTCCATTGTTTAATTAACCTGTGAGTAGAGTTTCGGTATAAACGTGATTGGCTCAGTATGATATATATATATATATATATATATATATATATATATATATATATATATATATATATAATGTTTACGCAAAATGAATTTTGCTCCTTTTTCCATCGGGATATCCATAACTCATGTTGTTGCTACCTTGACGTGGTGGTCGGGCTTGCCTATCGTGATGAAGCAACCGAGCTATACTGGCTGGAACAACTGTTCCTCAAGGTCCTACCATGTCAGACAGGTCGGTTGAAGAGCGGTAAGACTAAAAGCAACAAACCCAAGGTCCGAAGGCGAAGTCGTACTGCTGACTGTACAGAGGTGTGACAGCAGTAAGGTGTTTCCTTCAGACAACCAGCATGACAGCGATGCTGCCTTCCCACAAGGAGGGGTGGGGTTAGAAAAGGTCGACCCTAAAAATGCACACCTCACCTTACCTCACGGATCTCCGTCTCCGGCGGTAAGGCCCTTTGAAGAACGGAGCTAACACGTCGAAAACCTTCCACGAAAAGGCCGTGCGCGACCGGCCTCAAGCAGTTGTCCCTTGGGCACTGCGGTCACGCTCTCAGGTCACTGAGACCACATCTAATCCAATTTCCTTTTCAGGTACCTCCAGAAGAACCCTTCCTCGGTGTGGGCAACCGGGAAGTGATAACCGCCCTCATACCTCTAACAGCACCCAAGATCACTGTATTCATAATCAACCTTCCTCTTCAATTCCTATTATTCCTCCTACATCGACTTTCAACCCTAAACTTCCTCCTTCGGCTTCCTCTTCAAGTGTCACCATAGCCAACGATTCTAGTGCTCAAAACTCTGTCCCAGGTCTACTGAAACCTCGCTCCAAACTACACATTGGAGCTTTCAACGTACGCACTCTATGTCAAATCGGTCAACAGGCTTCCTTGGCTAAAACCCTAGAGTCTCTTACCATTGATGTATGCTGTGTCTCTGAAACACGCATACAGGATCCCAGTGTGGTCATTCACTTGACCTCACCTCGGCAGAACGGAGAGCCAACGAGATACACCCTTCGTGTATCTGGTGACCCGATGGCCAGTTCTCGTGGACTGGCAGGTGTAGGCATAGCACTAAGCATGAGGGCCGAACAAGCACTGCTAGAGTGGATCCCCGTCAACAGTCGTCTATGTGCTGTTCGGCTGAACGGCTGCGTGAGAACTCGGAAGGATAGGGACACACGTCGTTGCCTTTTTGTCGTTTCTGTCTACGCTCCCACTGACTGCAGCTCAGATGAAGTGAAAGATGAATTTTACAGAAAGCTTTCTGAACTTCTTCAGAAAGCTAAACGCTCAGACATAGTACTCGTAGCAGGTGATTTTAATGCTCAGATAGGTAGCTTAAACCAAACAGAAAGGCATTTAGGTGGATATTTTAGTATTCCGACACAGCGAACAGATAATGGTGATCGTCTGCTGCAGCTATGCTCAGACAATCGTTTATTTTTAGCAAACACAAATTTTAAGCATAAGGAGAGACATCGTCTAACATGGCGACCCCCTACACCAAACCAACGATGGACTCAAATAGACCATATTGCCATCAGTCATCGTTGGAGAGGGTCGGTAGAAGATTGTCGCTCATTCTGGAGTACCTGCTTGGACTCCGACCATGCCCTAATACGGGCACGCATCTGCTTGCGCCTCACTGGACGCAAAAAAGCCACATTAAAAAGACCCGTTAGAACTGAGTTGAGTAACGAGAAAACCAAAAGTAGGTTCCAGGAACAACTGAGGTCACACTTAGGTAGTTGTGAAGACGAGGCTGACCCAGATGTTGCTTGGAAGGGCATACAATCAGCTGTGGAAACAGCAGTGACATCTATTAGTGACTTAAACCACAGAGTTGCAAGGAACCAGTGGATTTCTTCAAGGTCTGTCACACTGATGGATTCTCGCAAAGTCGTCCCATCAGGTTCTGAACATGATGAAGAGCGAAAACAAATCAGATCTAGGTTAAGAAAAAGTCTAAGGAACGACCGTGAGCAGTGGTGGGTAACGAAAGCAAAAGAGATGGAAAAGGCGGCGACTATAGGAAACACAAGACAGCTTTACAGACTAATAAAAGGAACTGGAATTAATAAGTCAAGTGTAAGTGAGATTATTTCGGAAAAAGATAATACTCTCATCTGCTCCCAGTCCAGACGTTTAGAACGATGGGCGGAACATTTTAGAGAACAGTTCAGCTGGCCTTCAGCTACTCTACAACTACCCTCCATTCCCAGACAATGTGAATGGAACATTGAAGTAGGTCCCCCAACTCTTGCTGAAGTTCAAAAGGCTATAGTTAATCTGAAACGAGGAAGGGCAGCTGGTCCAGATGGATTGGCTCCAGAGGTCTTTAAGGATGGTGGTCCAATTTTAGCGATTAGGTTGACTAATATTTTAGCTAAGATCTGGGAATTAGACTTTATCCCATCTGACTGGTCGCAATCACTTATCGTCCCAATATATAAGAAAGGGTCAAAATCATCCTGTGACAACCACAGAGGGATTAGTTTAACAAACATAGTATCTAAAATACTGGCCTCGATAATTATCAGACGTCTAACTAAGACTCGTGAACTACAAACTCGAGAGAACCAAGCTGGCTTTAGACCTGGTCGTGGCTGCATCGACCACATATTCACCATTCGTCAGGTTCTAGAACACAGGCATACCTATCGGCGTCCGACGATGGTGGTCTTTCTTGACTTAAAAGCAGCGTTTGACTCTGTAGACCGCGAGACTCTGTGGCAGTGTCTGTCATTGAAAGGCGTACCTCAGAAGTACATAAACCTTGTGAAGGCTCTTTACTCGAACACTACTAGTCGAGTCAGGGCTTATGGCGAACTGTCATCTACTTTTGCAACTTCAAGTGGTGTCCGTCAAGGCTGTCCACTTTCTCCATTTTTGTTTAACTTCATCATTGACCTATTGATGGAAATAACACTCTCGTCAACTGAATTCTCGGGTATTGATCTCCTTCCAGGAGGTCCACTTATCGACTTAGAATACGCAGATGACATAGTCCTGTTTGGTGAAGACGCTGACAAAATGCAGAGTCTTCTGGTAGCACTAAGCAACAATGCCAGAATGTTTGGGATGCGCTTCTCTCCCTCTAAATGCAAGTTGTTGCTTCAGGACTGGTCTGCATCAACACCTAAACTAAGGATAGGGAGTGAAGTAGTCGAACGCGTTGACAACTTCACTTATCTTGGAAGTCTGATCAGCCCTAATGGGTTGGTGTCTGACGAAATCTCAGCACGGATTCGAAAAGCTCGCTTGGCTTTTGCCAACTTACGTCACCTTTGGCGAAGGCGAGATATCCGTCTATCAATAAAAGGACGAGTATACTGCGCGGCAGTCCGTTCTGTCTTACTTTACGGCAGCGAAACATGGCAATTAAGAGTAGAAGACACCCGTAAGCTACAAGTATTTGACCACAGATGCCTTAGAAATATTGCTGGCATCTGCTGGGATCACCGGGTAAGTAATAGTGAGGTTAGACGCAGGGTATTAGGTAACGATGGTAAATCAGTTGATGAGGTTGTGAATCTTCATCGACTGAGATGGTTGGGCCACGTATTACGTATGCCTGAACACCGATTACCACGACGTGCAATGCTAACCGGTGTAGGGGATGGTTGGAAAAAAGTTAGGGGCGGTCAAACCAAAACGTGGCATCAGTGCTTGAAGTCGCTAACTTCTAGTCTTAGCCATGTTGGTAGATGCAGACTACTTGGTTGGGGTCCGCGTGACTTTCGTAACCAATGGTTGGAGACTCTTGGTGACATGGCTCAGAATCGATCACAATGGCGTCGGTGTATACACTCCCTGTCTTCCCTTAAACTAAGAGATTAAAATCACTTCATATCTTTCTTTCTACGAACTAATTCTTCCTTCCTATACTATATCCTTATTGCAACCTTTGACCTAACCACTCCTATGAATCCGGTGTTCATCTTGTTGTGCTAATGAGGTATGGCAACCTGGACCGATGCACATATGTGCCTGGTCCTACGTTGTAGCTGACTGACTGACTGACTGGTTTCATATGCCTAGCAGTGCCTTTATTTTGTTCTACCATTTACTGATATATTTGCATGATCAAATGAGAATTTGATAAAGAACTGAAATAAATACTTTATCCAAAATGAAGTCGTCTATTGGACTTAGTGGCTGAAAGCACTCGAACCACATACTATATCTTTGAGCAGCCGCTGACTAGAATTACTAGTCCTCAAACACACAATAGAAGCGTGCTTCAAACCTGAATGCTACAGTGTATTCATGGTGTTATTTTTTTTATTGTCTCTACATAATATAGAAATGGTGGAGCGATGCCTTAATGTTTAGAGTGTTCGACCTTCAGCCGCTTAGTCCCAGGTTCGAACCCCTCCACCTACTTCGGCTGGTATCATTAATTCTCATAACCAACTAGCTGATAATTAAGTTAATTATTGCTCTTTAATTATTACATGACGTATGTTACAGTAGTTTTTCCAGTATAGACCTTGAAAGTACCGATCTGCTGAAAATTCTTGGCCATATTTTTCTCAAACATTCATTTATAGTTATAAATTTCTCTAGTTTAGTAATGTTCTGATTCACTAATCATACTTAATAATGGCCTGTACTTTTGCGCCTTGTTTACGACTTTTCAAGGATGTAATTACTGAGAAAGTTAAGAAATACTACCACAGTTGTTTGTATATTTTCCTCGTCCTCTATCCTGAACGAGAGACGATAGTCAATTACCATGAAATTCGTGCATCAAATATATTATCCGACGAAAAGTATGACCTTTTGTAAATATTTTCGTATGAATTTAATTGACTGTTTACATATTTTCTTTCTAATATTCATAAGTTAAATGCTTGAAAGCTGGGAATTTTATTTCAATATTACATATTTTGTAATTCGACTTCTCTATGGTAATTGAAAATATCGTTTTTGATTAAAGTGATTATTTGTTGTTTCTTTTTACTACATACTACTTACAAGCAATTTCATTAAACATAAAACATTTTTTCATTTTGGTCAAATACCAACTGTAAAGAGATGAAATTTAAGTATACTTGCCAATTCCAACTTGAGACAAATCATTTTGGTCCACTTTTTGTTTTATATATATGTAAACTATAATTCTCTCTGTAGTTGATTTCAGACACTTGAGTTATTTATCAAATCGAATAGGAATCCACTTTGTGACGTCTTGTGTTTTTCTTCTTCTTCTCCTCAAAATTTATACAATCGTTTATACACGTATATATAATTAATGTAGTGATAAGTTTGCTTTTTTGTTAGGATATATGAGTTTTTAGTTGGAATGAAATGCATAGACTTTAGTTAGTTAGTAAACTAATGAATAAAATCAATTAATCAGTAGTGAATCATCAAATCGAATAGAAAAATATCACAAGTATAAAATACACTAGGAAACTGTAATATCATTGCGTGATGTGATTATGTTCAAGGAGGTAAATCATGATTATTTCAAGTTAGAATAGAAATTTGATTGAAGTTGACAAACGATTAGTAATAATCATAAAATGAATAAAGATTTAAGATTCAACCCATTGCACAAACTAGTGGCTATCTAGAATCAATGGATAAGTGGATAACACGATTGCGTTTGAAGCCAACGGTACTCGGTTTGATTCCTGGAGTAAACATTAACTCTGGGATGCATGTACATCCAACTGAAGAGTTCAAAATAGGATGAAATGCTCATCCTGGGTTCAGTTACTAGCCATTATCCATCTTTGTTTATTGATGACTTTATAGTTTTGCATTTTCCTTGACTATATGATCTTAAGATATATGACCTAACGTGACAAGTAATACTCTTCAATAAGTGGTCACCTATGCATGTTACTTCATTAGAGCTAACATACATATATATGTACAGTACCACTAATTCTCACTCAAGCACTGTAACCCAAACCCAAGTTCATAAAGCCTGTGCACTGTTAGTGAGCGATATTAACGAAGTCTAAAAGTCAGCTCTTATTTTAATGGCTAGTTGATATCATTCAGCTAGTTATGACTTCTAATTATGTCAATCTCCTGTCAATAATTTGTACATGTGAATCTTGCTCTATTGAATGAACTATTTTCCCAGCTATTGGTCTTGTCATTGTTGACAGTGCATTCGACTTGGTCTCATTATTATTTATCACTCTGGCACGTTATATCAAATCTGTCGGGATTCTGCTCACTCATAATAAAAACCTAAAACTCGTTCACTATTGATCATTATTCCTTGTTCATAAAAACCTTATAGGATATTTGTCTCTGTGACTCAGTAATAGTCTTTACAATATATATCACCCTTAAATTTATCATAATCATAATCAAGCCAGAGCTGGACGCATATTTGGTTTGCTAAGTTACCATATCATATTAGCATCATATTACCATCACATTAATAACGTCAATGACAAAAGTGATCGAAATCATATCATATATTAACTAGACTTAGGAATGTTGTTCGAAAACGTATACATCTGCTCCATTGTGACCGATTTTGGGCCTATATCATTCAACTTTTCTAACCACTAATCACGCTTAACACGCTTATCTCAATCAGGTAGTCTGCGTCTGCTAATATGACTCAAACCAACTCTTATTCGTTTTCTGATGTTTAAAATAATGGGTCCTTTACAATCTTATTAAGAACATCAATAATATACTAAAATACACGTATATCCTGCTGAGGTTTCCTGGACAACTGAGACATACACATTCTGTATTTGTCAGACATAACTAAATATAGTGATTTCCATCCGTCGTAAGTAGGTAGTTTCCAGCTCACCTCATTGATTTTATTCTATGCCAACTAATGTGAATCGTACCATATAACCCAAATCCGAGCTCACGAACCCGCATTTTAGTGATTCGTTTATGAATAAATTACTTCCTATCCAGTAATAACTATTACTATCCAGCGGTTATTTTTACAAAAAAGCCTCATCTACCATACAATCATTAGCACTAAAATTTATGAATATCTTGAATTTTGTCATACTAAGCTATGATATACAATTGTTAAATTAGGATGTAACAAAGATCCTTGATTATTTACCCTGTTTCTTTGTCTACTGTAAAATGTATCGAATTAATAATAAATGACCATCAGAAAATGTTTGATTCCAGTGTGGAAATAAACAATTAATTTTTTACTTCTCTCTCGCTCTACATATCTCTTTCTCTTTGTATTCTTTTTAATTCTCAACTCCCTCTTATTATCTAGTCCAAAGCTTTTAGCCACTCTTTCACAATTACTTTTCTTTTCTTCTTCCATAGTTATTAATGATTAACTTTACAAAAATTTCCCTATTTTCATTACTAGTACTACTCTTCATATTATTATCAGAAAAATAATTGGTTGGATCACATCATACATAATTAGCACGAGGGATTTGTAGTGGAGACTATTGATTATTGTAGCCTCCATTATGGACTGAGTTTATTTAAACAGTCTTTGAAAGCTAAAAAGCAAGTTAGTGGGTCTTCTAAACATTACATTGGGACCACTGAACGAGCAATTCTAAGTTTGCACCTAGGTTAGGTAAAAAAACGATAGATAATACTACAAATCTTCACTAATTAAGGTGCTTAAGATATGTAAAACCTATTTCCAACCACCACCTGCCACAATGGACTATGTTTGCTTTTGTAGAAGTAAACTAAAAGACGTCTAGGCACTGATAGTTCAAAAATTGATATCAGTCCTTCGAGTCACTAACAGTTGGAGTGTATTGTGTTAGTAGGTTCGAAATATTTGGTGGAATTTCGCTCCATTATCGTTAGACACGGGTGATATAGCGCAGAATCAGTCTCAATAACCCAGATGCATTCACAGTTCGTCCCACCTTAGATGTTGAGTTTCAAAGCGATCTTTTATTTCAATAGTTGAGATCATGAGTTAATTGAAGTGTTAGACCACCATAAAAAACTTTTTATTGTCGATTCTGAAAATTCGTTTTTTATCCTCAAATCATATTGTCTCGACCTAATGCTTTCCACTAATACTGTTACTAATTCTAATTCTATGCTCATGTAATGTAACTTTGATTGATGATATGTTCAACATATTCTACGTTACTTTTAACGGACTATCCATCTCATCTTAGCTTTTTTCGACTATGCAACTGTACTCACTGACAACACTATACGGAATAGATAGAATGAACGAACTATACATTTCTTATTTATTATTATTTTATCGTTTGCATTAAGCTAATTTTAAGACTTTTCTAAATCGAGCAAATATTTCATTACAAATAGCAATAAATTATTTCGAAACACCGTTTAATATTCAATAGATTTTGTCTCCTTTCAGCTAGTCATTTAAGGGCAATCTAAACTTCTCATACGTTTTTACAACTTTACGAATCATTTACATCTATCTTATCCGATAAGTTTTACTTTTAAATAGAATGATCGGTCATTATTATTATTATTATTATTATTATTATTATTATTATTATTATTATTATTATTATTATTATTATTATTATTAACTTGAGAAGTCGGATTATTTTTCTAAATGATTAAATATAACGATGAATCGTTTTTGATATTGTTTGTTAAATCGGTTTCCATTTTGTTTGTTCACTAGCTTAGTACATCTTCCCTCTTTAATTAATGTTCGATATGAAGTTGTATGTAATCTAGGTTATTTTACAGTATTGGTTCTCAATGAATTCACTATCAAGTTGTACATTCGTGTATGTGCTGAGAATTCTACAGTGCACCAAACATACACTATCGAATAAAGCCATCATACATATATTATATACATTCACAAGGTCTGTTAATCCAAGTTGTTGAAAAATAAAAACTTCCCAGTACATTTAAACAGAGTCTTCTTTTAAAAAATTTGAAGCAGTTAGTCCCTCTAATAAATTTAGATAGTGTAATACGAAGACGTGGATTATTAGAATTGTGTAATATATTTGCTCATTGCATTTCAAACAATCTGATCACACACATAATTGACCTTTTATTTTTATTATATAAATGTTCTTAACAAGTTTATGTGTGGTCTGATTGTTCTAAATGTACTGCGCTAACACATCACATAGTTCTGATAATCTTCGTCTTATTACACTATCTATATTTGAACAGATTCCATAAACAGTTTTAACGATCACCATATGTCACAGATTCACTGGAGTGATCCTAGTATTATAAACGTCCAAACATCACATTCCTAATCACTTTCTTTTTACTCTTGTAGAACCAAGCTGAAAAGTGTGTTCTCGTACATATTTGTTGAAAGTGAACACTAACTACGATGTTGTTTAGTCTATTATTTTGTCTTTTAACAGGGACTTTTCTCCAGGATAATTATCATATATTATTAGTATAGGAATTCGTGAAGATTTCCGATCGTTATTGAGATCAAGAGTGAACTTCACTTGGACAAACATTGAAGGCCAGAGAACACTGAACATTTGTTTCATCCTCTTATGGGAACTTCTCTTCCGCTGAGTATCGAACTTAGGACCTTCAGGTCTCTCGACGAGTGTTTATGATTTGTAATACTAAAGCAGAATTATATATATATATATATATATATATATATATATATATATATATACATAATATTAGTTACTTTCCGTCTTTTTAATTCACCTAGGACTAAATGTTATGATGTTCCATTGTGTTCCCCTCTTTTACCCCCAACCTTTTCACTTCTTTCTTATTCTCATCGGTCTATTAGGGTATAACAAAGAAAATGTCTTGTCAAGATTTTGTTAATAATCTAACTCAAATGAATTGTGGAGATAATTATTCTAAAGAAGATCTGAAAGTGTTATACAATGCTATTAAACAGGAACCAATACGCTGGCCTCAGTAAGTCAAACTGTTTGCCTTTTTTCTAAATCTTATAGTCCAGTTTCGTTTTTAACATTTTCACAATTACATCAATCTTACTTTGTTATGATACTGATGTCTAAATATGTCTCGTGGTCTTACCGAAGTTAGTGCATATTAATATTTTGTGAAGTAGTCCAAGTACTGAATTAAAAGTGATCTCCGAAGTGTAGCCGGCATCGGTACCTTGGTTTAATGGCCGGGTTTGTAAACCACAGTGACTCATCTGAGCCTTACTGGATGGAACAAACGTCCATACAGGTCGTATTATGTTACGTAGATTAGTAAATATAAAAACAGTGAACTCAAGGTACACAGGCATAGTCTTACTTGAGAAAATGCACAGGAATGTGCTAAAAGTAAAATGTTTCCTTCGGACACGTAGCATGTACGGCAATCCTATCTTCTTGTAACAAAAGAATGAGTTACAAAGGTTTGGCCGTAAAGATAATCACACCTCACCTTGCTCTCACGAATTTCCATCGCTAACGTTAATGTCTTAAAAGTATAGAGATAGCACGTGAAGAACTATCCATGAAAATGTCGTGTGTGACTAGCCTCAAGCTGTTGTCATTTGGTCTCTGTGGTCACACTCCCATATCGCCGACACCACTACTTACCCTATATCTTTTTCAGGCACCTGAAGAAGAAGTATCCTTCCATTTAGTGACCAACCGAGAAGTGACAATTGCCTTCATACTTCGAACAGCAACACTCAGAACTGACTAACTGATTGAGAGTCAGTGACTTTGTGTTTTCTGATTCGTCTACTGTACATTACGTTGTATATGAAAAGTTTCGTTCTTGAAATAAATTAGTTACCGTAACCTAACCTTACATTATCTTTTCTTTTTTCACTCTTCAGTTCTGATGCAAATATGATGGGTTTTGTTAATTTATATTATCCTGCACCACCAAATGCTCTTGGTCCACCAGTGGTAGGTCCTCCAGTAGGTGGATTTCTTACAGCAGCCAATTTTTATGCACCAAATCTTCCTCAAACACATTTTATGTTTAGTCCATTGCAAAATACTGCTTATCCTCCGATGATTTTCCCACATGTAACAACATCTCAACTAAATGATAATGCCACTATCACATCTAATTCCTTGTCGTCAGCGATATCTCCATTGACCACTTCTCAACTATCGTATTCATCACCCCACACTGGAATGTCACCACCTTTCTATTGGAACCCGAATAATTTCACTGCGCCATTGTATGATGATCAGTCGAATTCCGGTGTTGTATCATTTATGAATTCAAACCAGTTAAATGCCTCTGTGTTGCCAAATCTTTATACACAATCATCGTCTGAACAGCTTCAACAACAGGCATTACAGTTAACTCAAGCAAATCGTAAATTGAATGAATCTTCTGGGATAAGTCCTTATCTAGATGTAAGTCTCCATTATTGTAATCTTATAGTTGATTCTCTTATTGTTTACTTTAAAGACACTTACCTAATTAATGTTAGGGATTCATAGAAATTCCCGAATCGTATAGTCCACATTACGAACTGAATTTGCTTTAACAACCATTGGAAACCAGGATACACTAGACAACTGTTTCATCCTAGAATGAAACTTCCTAAGAATTAATTGAATTTGGGACATTCACGCCTGTGAATCACTGGATGCGGATTCAGTGGTATGAAGGCTAGGTGCTGTCGATGAAACCCATTTGATCCAAATTGCGATCACGATTGCCCACTTCTGAGCAGTCTGATACTAGGATGAAACTGCTGTCCATTACTTCTTGATTTTTTAAAATTCGTCTAATTGAGGTCAGTTTGTGATGTATATTATAAAACTACCTAGTCATCTAAACACTTTCTCTACTTGTTGTTTAAGTTGTCTGTTCATGTACAGCTTGAAATCTCCTGTGGTTTGTGTACTTTTTAAATAACTCGCTCTATGGTTCCCTTGTTAAAATTATTCTAACTTTTAACGTTTTATTGTGTACCTATTTGTAAATCATTATTCTTACATGAAGTTTAATTATATATATACGGCGATTTTTCTTTAAAGAAAAAAAAGTCCATTTTCCCCGACTTCGGGTCGATATTTTGGGAAATATTGCATTTTCTGATAGACAACCATTTAAATCACGGGAATAACGAACAGCTGTTTTTATTCACACTATTACAGTGTGCGATCGAATTGTTTTTATACAATTGATTACCCACACACACAGAGATATGCTACATTGCTTGAATCTACCTACTGTACACCGAATAAATGAATAAATAAATTGTCTTAAGTTTTCTTATGTGTAATGCATTACTAATTTTGTTGTATGGCTGTACACAACATATCATTGTACCTGCTGATATTTCAGTAATTAAAATTTTCACCAATAAATAATGAATAGAAAAACTCTGAACACTTTACTAACCTAATACTACTATTATAAGTAGTGTTTTGTTGTTGATTTCATTTGATGAAAACTAAACTCAGTGGTGAAATAACAGTTCCATAGTATTTAATCAGTTAGTTAGTTCGTTATGCTTATTTATCTGTTTCAATTGTAACCAAAAATGCAGGGTTTCAATAAAATCACCTACTGACACACACTGAGTTGTTCTAACTTCCTTTTTTTTCTTTTGTTGTTCAATTTACTTTCAGTTAACGGCAGAAATTAACGCCAAAGAATATATGCGGGGTTTATTAGCTCGTAAATGGGTCATGGAGTCATATAAAAAGAAAAGTATGATAGTTTCACTTTTCCCACTCTCTCTCTCTCATTGTCCCTTAATATCATCATTATTATGTGAATAAGTGTTTTTTCGTGTTTCGGTATTCTGTCATCATTTTGCTTTTCTGGGCAAGCGTGATTGTGAAGTATATTTCATAGTTTTTTAAAAAAAAATAGTCAACATTTAAATCGTAGACAGATATTATCCAACGCAGAAGACAAAGTATTTTAATGTTATTAGCTCAAAAACTCACAAGGTTATAAGTGTCTATTGTCAAAGGTATTTACTTAATGGTAACGAGTTTATACGCGATATTACTCAATGAAGTATGTGTTATAGAGATTATCTTAATAAATTGAAAATTACTGAAAATATTATGCATTTTTATCCGTAACACACTACTTTTACAGTGACCTCTATTTCTATCCTTTAATGTTCTTACTTAATTACTACTTGCATACACCTGTTACAGCTCGTGGAGGAGTATATGCCACCCACTAGGATTCTCCTTCTAACTCTGTCCAGGACAATTTGTTTCAATTTCTATACATTCTTTTGATGTCTGCTCCTAATTCCCGATGAATTATATTCTTTGGTCTTCCTCTTTTCATTTTACCTTGACGATTCCTGGTTAGGGCAAGCCTCGTGATGCAATTTGATTATGTCCTTACTTCATGGTAAATAATCTAGAAAAAGCATAACTATTGCTACCACTACCTCTACCAAAAACGAATCATTCCATTTGTTCTCAAGTGAATTTAAATCAGGTGATGACGGTGATGCTTCTGTGGATTACTAGCACACCGGTAACATGTGAGGTAGTTGTATACCATAGATATTCCAGTTAACTAGGTCATATTGTCTATACTTCTAGAAAACTTCTAAATAGATATACGAAGAAGATTAATAAATTGTTTATGAGTATAAGAATTGTTCTAGACGACTAATATCATACAGAGTATTTGTTAAGAATATGAATGAGTTTTTAACTTGAAGAATGATACTCATTCATGAGTTATAGACCTGTGTACTTGGTTTCGAGCTACACTGTAAGTATCCAACAATTTATTTATCTAACTTTTATCAATTAATTATATTGTCCAGCCACCTTTCAATCCATTCACTAGGTAACTGCATCAGATTAGAAGTTGTTAAGCTCTACTAATTGTGATTACCCACTAGAAATGTGAAAATTTACTGTCTTCGCGATAGCTGCAGATAAACTGTGTTTTATGCTCATACACTTGAGAATTTGAGAAAATCGCTCATGAATTCAACTATTGAAATCATTAAAACCTCTACAAACCCTCGTTACGATCATTTATTTACTTTTTATTTATTTAAATATATAAACATTGGTACAAGGAGGCACCAAATAGATATGCGCCACATAAATCATTCGATTTGCGTGAGGGTTGGGATACTCCCCGCACATCCAAACCGAAGCAGGTGATTTTCTTAGAGGGCCAAACCGGAGCCTTTGACCTAAAGGTCTGATCCACAAGATAGTGGAGCAACGCCAGGAGATGCAGTCCCATGGTAGCCGGTGACCAACGATTGGTTCATACACCATTTGTTCCTTCAGGACCCTGGAACCCGTGTGCACCGTCGGTTTGGAATCAGGGTTTCCGAACTCCCCTAGGTGGATACTAAAGGTCCACCAACCCGGGTAAAGAGCTGGACATTCGCTTTCCGTCCTCTCAGTTTCGTAAAAAACATCCCCGTCACGAGAAGGTAGTGATTAAGACTTCCCTGGAAGCGGTTGTATGCATATGGCCATGTGAGAGCATTTGGAGGGGAAGAGCGTACTCTTCCCACTCTCGGCCTTACCAGGGCATTTGGGGGCTATGATGATCATAATCATCATTTGCTCACTAGTGACTGGCTTCAAGATGAATTCCTTGGAGTTCATGTGAGAAGCCATGACTAGTTGAGTCCAATCCGTGTCGGCTAGAGACAGGTATCCACCTCAGACAATGAATGAATGGTTGCGCACGATCATGGATCCATGGAAGTTAGACATTAACACCGTTGGATGCCGGCTCAGTGGTCTAGAGGTTAGGCGTTCACTCACGCGACGTAAGGTCCTTAGTTCGAGTCCCACATACGGGTTCATGGATGTGCACTGCTGAGAAGTCCCATACTAGGACGAAACAGCCGTCCACCGCTTTCAGTCTCTCAATGGTGATCTGGCTTACATCGACTACTGCAATCTCCACAATCTTTATTCTGATCAAAATCATAAAAAACAACTATACAACTGAAGATCCTAACTTTCTTAAAGTTCTATGAATATTTTAGAACAGAGAGAAGTATAGTAGCCCCAATGAAGGAAGGAGTATTTTGAAGTGGATTAATATTCGCCTAGTTTTTTTTTGGAAAAAAACGGAAACAACAATAACATTTTCTTAGTTACAGTTTGTGTATAATACCTATCTACTAATATATTTACGCTTTCCACCCCCATTCCACCCACTATTCTCCTTTATATCTCTAACCCTCATCTTATTCAAGCTCCTGTTGGACGCCGTAGTTGGAAATTGTATTATGCAAGACTACGTGATCTTGTCTTATATTTATATAAAAATGTAAATATTGCAAATAATGCAACACATGCTGAAGAATTACACAATCTTTACTATCAGCAACAACAACAACACCAATACCAACAACAAAATTATCTCCAACAACTTTTTATTCAACAACAAAGACAACAACATTTTCTGTTACTTCAACAACAACAGCAGCAGCAGTACCAACACCTTCAACAGCAGCATCAACAGTATCTTCTACGTAAACACCAATCTCCTGATGATGATGAGGAAGAAGTGGATGAGGTAGAGGAGGAGGAGGGTGAGAGTCATGGGGACGATGAAGGTGTTGGTATTAATGCTAATTGCCATTCTGACGGTAAGAATAATTCTACTGTTGAACTCTCATCATCATCATCATGTATGAAGGACCATTCGTGTGTAGTAACTGATACTGTTGAAAATCAATCTGAGTAAGCATTTAACCATATGTATGTATGCATGTTTTTATATACATATATATATGTGCATGTACGCATGTGTGTATGGATGTAGATGATCACTTGTTGTGTTATTAATGAAATATTTCAAGTTATATGTTGATTTTTCCCACTAATCTTGTTTATTTCATTAAAGATTAATGTGTTTGTGAAAATATTAAACATTGTACTAGTCACAGTTAATGTTGAATATTAGTCAACTCTCTAAGATGAACTGTTTATTTAGTTCATGATTTGGCTACTGAATGTATCGGTACTATATTGGTTCATTGTTATCCAGTCGACTGTTGAATTAATGCATTTTGAGATGGTGAAGAAGATTTGTAGTTCAGCTAGAGGACAACAATAACTAATCAAGATTGAGGTCTACAGGACAAGCTCTGAGTCATATGTGGAGAAATTCGAACATATCACTTCTACTTGAAGTTTGTGGTGATGATGTTGTTCAGAAGAACAATAAAAGATCCACGACCAAACCATTCAGCTCAGAGAACAAAACTCCACTTAAACTAATGCATTATTCACCTTGTTGTGTATTCAATAGATGTATTTTATTATTGTAATTACATTTGTATTTAAATTCAAAATATGTGTATGAAACACATCATACTCAAATACATGAGAGCTAAGTTTTTCTTCAGTTCAGAACTGAAGTAAGATGTGATAGGTCGAGCTCTTCTGATTTCCAATGTTTTTAGTATTTTAAACAGAATACATTAATAAACCATTGGAAGGATTTACATGAACACCATAAATGTTGAATTATGGACACATGTTTCATTGTGTTTGAGGCTGGTTACCTAGTGTTAATGTTCACAGCGAAACTCCAACCAAATGCCTATCACTTCAAATATATAATATTTACAAAACAACTATTTAGTGCATTCTGGTTTATAACAGTTACTTAAAATATTTTATAGGTTACCGAGTTTTAATCTCAGTTTGAATATTATCAATATTTTCATATAGACACATCTAGTTGATAATTTCCAAATAGGATGAAATACACACGTATGTCCTGGATTCCACTGCTAACCACAATCCAGCATTTTTTTTTCAACTTTTGACTAAATAGTAAAATAATAACAATCCACTTAAGATATACATAACACAATATACCATGATTAATTACGGTCCTTTAAATTGATAACAGGAAAATACAGATAAAGTGTGGTATTTGAACGACAAATATTGGACTATTAACTTATTATTATTATTTATTATTCTCCAGAATTGGAAATATGAACGAGAATGGACTCAGTGTTTTGTCTGTCAGTAATGATGATGATGATAATCTTGATGATTCACCCACATCCAAACAATTAACCACTTCCATAGAAAGTCAACAATCGTTTAACACTTCCGAATATACTGTTGAAACTGTAGAGAATTCATCAAAAGAACATATGAATATGAATGATGATTTAGCTACAACAAATACATTACAAATTTCATTAACAACAGTTCCACAAAGCTCAATTGTAACATCAAACAATTCTACTAACACTATGACATCGTCTTTTTCTACATTTAATCCAATATTTTCTACTCCTTACATTACAACACAACATCAACAACTGTCATCAATTCAACCAATTCCAATGAATACTACAACTACTACACCACCGTCATTTGTTCCACCGCCAATTCCACCACCTGAAACAATTATTCGTCTAGCCCATGCTTATGCATGTAGAGCTACAGATTATGTGAAAAAATCCAATGTATTCCGTTTACGTACAAAAGAAGGTGGTGAATTTTTGTTCGAAGTCAAGTAAGCTTCTTAGTTCTTTGGTTTCTTTCTTCATTATTCATACTAGATAATAATTTTCTACTGGGTCGGTTTTTTCAACTTGTTCATAATAAATTACTTTGTTGCAATAGTAAAAACGAGATTTTATTGAAATCACGAACTGTGATCTATGTTAGACAACTAGGGAAAAACTGGAAACGCTGAATAGCTGTTTCATTCTAGTATAGTTTTTAATGGTTGTTCAAAATTGACCGGTTCATTAGTTCAGTAAAACTCAGTAATCTCCATAACCCTATATTGATTAGTGAAATTATTAATGAGTATTGATGAGAGTGTATGGTATGGTTTAATAACAATTATTTATTTAACGATATGAACAGACTAAACAAAATTGATAACTATAATTGATCTTTCTACAACTAGACTAACTGACTGACTGACTCTGTGATGATTGTAAAAATTTCAAATTTTTCTTTCCATTAAAATAACAGTCCTTACCGATCTTTTATTTAGTAGTAGAATTAATTGTACTTCTCCATATGGGACTCTTCGGCAATGCATAACCTTGACCCCACATCCAAGGGTCAAATCGAGGATAAAGTAGATGTCGTGTTCTGTATGATACCCAGTTGTACCCCGAAAGAAATTAATCAGTGACGAATACTATCTAATTCGTTAGTTGTAGCGACTTTGCAACTTTTTCTTTCCATTAAAACAATAGTCCTTACCCATCTTTCATTTATTAGTAGAATTAATTGTACTTCTTCATATTCACTGGCTAACACTTTTTGTCGGAAATCCTATATGAAAATTATTGATAGGTGTTTTCTGTTATTTGAATATAGTCGAAACTTTATCTATCCTGAAATTTTTGTGCCTCATACTTAATTACTTACATCTGTTGCACCTCATGAATTATAGGCCATCGACCAGGATTCTTAAACCAACTCTGTTATTGACTTTCTTTTCTAGTTGTTGCAAAGTTCTGTTCATTCTTTTGATGTTTACCTCCAGTTCTCAGTTAAATGTATCCTATGGTCTGCTTACTAAGTATTTTATGTTAAAGTGTTTTCGAGAATGACTCAGTGGTCAACCGGATAGTCATATCAACAACCTTCATACACTTAAAATGTAACTGGAAACCAAGTACTAATCATTGAGTTCATAAATAGAATATTATGATACTTTATATTATTCATAAAATCAATTATCTTAATTGGTATTGTTTTATAAATTCATTTTTAGTGATGCAAAAGAAGTAGATATTTGGATTGATCGAATTAATTTTGTTGCAGCTCTTCTATCTGCACCATCTTTAGCATCAGCTGTTAGTTCAGAGCGAAATTTTCATCGACCTCATTTACCTGCAACATATACTAAATTAAATATGGTAAGTAGTATATATATATAATGAAGTCAGATGTGTAAATGATCCGTATCTGGTTTAAATGACTTCTGACAAGCTTTTTTTACAAGATTGGGTCGCGAACCTCATTTCAAACTCTACTTTTACCCCTCGAGTTGGGGGCTGGCAGTAACCTTAAGATTGGTTCAGGCACACTTCTTTGTTTTAATTCTTATTAATTTATATTGGTTGAAATAAAATATTTATTTCGTTTTATCATTAGTGATTAAAAGACTATCTCACTTTCACTTAGTACCGCTATTACCGGGTCGCCGATTCTAAAGACATGCTCCACATACTGATCCGATTATCCAGATAGCGTCACACAAAATGTGACTGTTAGTGCCCCCCTCCCTTCAACATTTCATGATATCCATACTTGGTTCCAGCCACTGTGATATCTATCCTGTATAACGTACATTTCCATGCTTCTATTTAATCCATTCGCTTCTGTCGATACCTTACTAGCCTTCAAATTTATATGATAATATTAGGTGTTTACACACATACGTGTAATTTCATTTACTGAGTTTTATCAAAACTAATTGTAAATGGAAATATTACTTTATGGTTATAAATATGTATACCGTTTGCAGGCAGAAAAACGAATCCAATAAATCATGAACATTACATTGTGTTTATCGATATTTTGTCGTAATCTGTAGGATTCTAAATAGATGATAAAGAACCACAAACACACAGAGTAGTACATCTTCCCAGCATATGGAAGTTAGGGTAATCAAAATACCTGCCTCGGTGTCCACTCGTCCCCTCTCTTTTAGAAATCCCCGTTTGGAGGTGTTGTCAATACGTTCCCCCTGTCCTTTTGATTAAGAATGATAGGCTTGAAAGCGTAGGTTCATTATTCAATTTATAATATAGAGGTGCTTGAATGACCTCGAGATGAATTGTGAGCTACTATTAGTCAAAAGTCTCTCCATCAGTAGCACACATAGCGTATAGCTACAAACGTTAGGTGGTAGCCTAAAATCTTTTACTCAAACAGATGCACATTGTTATCCGCTCAAACGCCGATGTCTGGTTGGAATCCGTGTGATAATCGAAATCAGTGGTTAAATACTTTTCTTAGTCTAGGTCCATTTTTTGTCCTATTCTTGACTCGCTCTTTCAATTTTAACTTCATACGTTTTATCACTATTTCATTTCTTCTCTATCTTTTGTCTTTTTCATAATTATTCAAACTGTATTCCCAAGTGATCTTGATAATTTCACCTCGCTATGCTATCATGTTGTGTTAATTTGGCCTAATGTTCACATTTATGGCCATGTCTTCTATATTGACCATGACTTATGACTACTACTGTCTGGTTTAGTTTTCTGATAGCTATAAAACTTCGATTGTTTGATTTATTTTTCATTATCTTATGTAAATAGTTCTACTAAACTAAGGAAAATTATTTTATTTTATTTTACTTTATAATATCGTGATTTTACTGTGTTTTGTCCTTTCTTTCTCTTTTTTTTACTCTTTAAAAAAGCGTGAACAACTTGAGGAACATCAAAAACGTTTGTTAGAGTTGGATCAGGAATTGAGTGATTTACGTTCTCGTCTACTTACCACCTCTGTTAGTAGTAGTGGTAGTAGTAGTAATAAAAATCGTAAGATTTCTTCAAATGCACAATCATCATCTCTTGATGAAACTGTGAAATCATCATTATCTAATGAAGATAATATATTAACTTTGGAAACTGTTATTACCACCACTCCTACTTCTACTACTAATGTTAATAATGTAAACACTGACGTGTTATCCACAGTTGCTGATAATTTGACCAATATTACTACGACAATAACGACTACTACTGCTACTCCGTCTGCCTCAGTAACATCTCAATCACAGTTGAACTCATTAAAATCCACTGAGACAATCAATACTAGTGCTTCATCGACATCTATTCCATTCTCATCTAGTTCATTCATGTCCGTCTTTTCAACAGGTAGTCTAGGCAGACGTAGGAAAGGTAGTAGTGGTTCGTTAAATTCCAACAGTAACACAACACATGGATCTGATGGTAGTAGTGGTGGTCTTATAATCAGTGCTAAACAACGCGCGGAATATGAAGAACGTATACAATTCATGGAATCTGAGGTAAGTGTGTGTGTGTGAAGGTTGTTCCTACAAAATTTTAATATCATTTCTTATTGGAACGTTTTCCATAGTTTATTGTTGTTATTACTGACACTGAAGTATACAACCGTCATCCGCAACTGTGTTGACTCACCACAACGCAAAAATGGAGTCAGAAAAGGCCGACACTGAAATTTTTACACTTCAGATTTTTCGAGTTTTCGTCACCGGCCATAACGCGTTGAGAGTACTGGGCCAACACAACCAACCATCTGTTGACAGGCCTCAAGCAGTTGTCCCTTGAGTATTGCGGTCACACTCTTAGGTCATCAATACCATCTCCAACCCAGTCTCCTTTCCTAGGCACATCATGGTCAATTATGTGCAACCTGGAAGTGACACAGCTACCCCATAACACCGCTCAAGAATCTTCATTTATAAAATTACACATTGAAACACAGTTATCCATATCATAAATAACATGTCGGTGAAATTATTAGAGTGGAATTATCTTATCGGCATTTCTTGCAACATAAAAATAGGATAGTAATAAATATAATTTTGTTTTATGTCAATGAGTAAGAAAATTGTACTTCTGACGTTTCATAACTTAATGTAAACCACTTTACTCTGAAGAAGTGGTTTACATTAAGTTACAAAACTTCGGAAGTAAATTTTTTTTTACTCCTTAGCATATAACAAAAATATATTTGTTATTAACTCTCTACCCAATGTCCAGTTTCTTTGAAAATATCAAATCCCAACCCTGATATTGATACCTAAAAATACGATAGGTTTGGATTCAACATCAATGTGAATTTACACTATGCTTATAATGTTAGAATTAATTCTAAAAGTTCACTATTTTATTCTCTACTAACCAAATGTTTTTCATAAACTCTAACAAAACTTCAAAGTAGTTGAAATTAAACTGTTACCATAATAAATACCATTGATTAATTGAAGTATGTTCTGGACATTGGCTCCAATATGCTCTAATAATAATAACAACAACAACAAATTAATTCAGTCCAATCTGTCTCCCGTTTTTATTCGTAGAATAGACACTGTTGACGAATGATAATCCGTCCGTTGAAATATACATGTTAAAAGGATAATTATTTATTAAATAAATCGTGTTCTAGTGTAACGCTATCATAATTATCTGAATAATTTTACTTACCTAACGTATATGAATCATTGAATGAATTCATCAGATCACTGATAATAACTGAAAGAATAACATGTGCATTTGGACTAACAGTGTTTATATACCCCCACTGTGAGTGGTGTTACAGCCTATCGAGGAAACTAACTGACGAGTAGTTTAGGTTTTAAGTGGATCCTATTGTTGTTGTTAACCCATTATGCGGTTACAGTAGTTTCTTTATTCAACATACAAAGTAAATGTATATACGCTATTTTGTTATGCATGCATACATACCCAATGTACATTTGTCCCTTGACGATTTAATCGTATGCACACATGTATTTTGCGTATTACATATAATAGCAGACAAATATGTGTGCTTGGTATTCAGTTACTTTTGCTAGTATTCAAATTAATCATCACACTTACACCTTAACTATAAGAAATTAATATACATTATATTGTAATGTATATATGCACGTTCTTTCCATCTAATGTTAGTACTTGTGGATACTTTGACTCCATTTTTGTATATGAATGATTCTCTCATTCATACATACACACAATTACATATTCACCAGTAGGGAAAGTTTCCTTTGGTACAAAATCTTGATGTGTTATTTTTCACCCCCTTTGATGTTGAGTCACACGTGTGTGTACACACAATACTACCTCTTATTCAGAGAATTTCAATACAAAAACAAAGTGTGAAACTGAAATGCAAAAATCAATATTATCAGGGAGAAATAAAGTAAACTACTTCCAGCGGATAATCAATTTGTCATGCATTTTTTCTCTCTTTTCCAATTTTTGACTGTACAACTGTATGTTTCCTTCATGGAATTTTTTGGGAGGGATTTCACAGTGAAATTTCATCAACATTTGATGAAAAACGCATTATGTAAGGATTTTACCCATAGCAATATTAACTGGTTAATTGTGTTAGCGTTAGAGATTGATTTAGTCACCTACTCTACTGTGTTGTAATTAACGAACCCATTGATCTTTTGAAGGCATTCATAATCAGATTTAGGCCTGTTAAAGAAATCAAAACAAATTGACGAGAAAAGTTCTTTTGTCGCTGAGAAAATATTTTTACGCTATCCTTTTTATCAACTCATTCACTAGATACAGATTCGTGTACTTATTTGGCCAAGTATTTTCGTACATTCCCAAATAAAAACACGATTCGGATAGGATGTAAATATAGTCCAAAGCAGAAAATAGCAACTTAAGCTACAAAATCCCACTGTATTTATACATAAACTTTACACAGGAATATTCCAGAGTCCTTTTAGCTCATTTAACAGAGCTAGTTAGTTAAAAATGGACCTATTAGCGCACTTCAGTTTTATCCCATTCAAAACATTTTTTGATCAAATCTCTATACTGCCAACAACTTCACCTGGATTCGAGTCTGAGGTCGAGTGAATGAGTGATACTACCTGGTTGCCCAGATTCGAAGTAGGTGGAGTGGGGTTTGAACCTATCAGTTAATTGATGTGAATTGAACAACGTACTACTACTAATGCACTACTCCACATTTGTATACTATCCTACTCTCTGATAATCTTCAAGAGATAACATTACAAGGAAAGTGAGGGATAGTAGTCGCTTTAAAACAACAAATGTACGTGGTTACAAAACAGCGCAATTCGACGTTTAATTCCTGTTCAATGTATACATCAAAATGTCTTTTTCTCTTGTATACTCTTTGTAACCCCTTCATATAACAAAATCAATTGTTGCAAATGCTATGCTTAAATTTACTGAAGCTTTTTTTCTTAAAATGTTTTCCAACCACCAAGTTCACACTACTCTTTACATAAATGGTAGACAAAAGCTTTTTTTTATAATTTCAATGAAGAAAATATATCTGATCCTGTTCTTGTATATCCATTTATTTATCTACACTACAGAGTTTTTAAGGGGTTGGTTTGTGTTTTTATTTGTTCTCTTTTCTATCGCTGATACTTTAGTCTTCTTAGTAATTGTGTTTGCTAACAACAAAGAAAAACAAACTTGTTTGATCAGACTTGCGAATGAATATTTTATCACTTTTTTCCGCTTGCTTATGTATTGTTTATTCTATACACTTTTTTTAGTCATAGACATGTCTTTAATTTACAATTATCAGATCTGCCATCGTTACTTTCTTACTTACCTAACTAATCATTAATCTTAGATGGTGATTGGAGATAATTGACAGGAAACACTGGATCCAATGATCAATCAATTGTAATCATTTATCTTTCTGCTTATCTTTACACATGACGCAATAAAACACCATGGTAGAGTTGAATGGAAGTTAGCAATGAAATGCAGGATCCGCGTTTCGTTCTATCCAAGATTCATTAGTTAGATGTACCTGCACTTGTGTTAATGTTCATCCCGTGACTCAGACTAAATCGCTTTCACTTTATTACAGTCCCTTACATCAGTAACTGAGTAACTAAAACAACCTTTACAGATGAATTATTGTGTGTCAGTCTAAACAATTGTTTCATTGGATAAGATCCTGATATTTTACTACTAATATATAAATTAAATTCAATCGACGTTGTTGAGTTATCAAGTACTGGCTGATGTGCTTGGTTTTGAGACACACTTCATGTGTGTGTGTGTTCGGGAGCCTAATGATAATATCTGGCAACGTAAAATGAAATAGATAAAACTAGGTTTCAACCTCCTATCCATTGATTGAAAACTAAGTGCCTTAACCGCTGAACCACTTGAAGATTTTGAAAATGGTATACGACTTGATGTTATTTGGTCGGAAGTAACCTACAGGGAAACTCTGAACCTAGGTTTGTGCTAGCTCACACTCATCAGCAATCTGTATCTGTAATATTGAAGAAATCAATGCTCTCTATTATGGATTCAAGTCATGATTACCCAATTTCACAGTCTCCAAGGTTACCTTTGTGTTATTTAGTTTTAATTGACCTTCAGCGGGACTAAAATATATTAATTAATCACTCACCGAGTAGTAGACAATGTCATATTTGTTTAATTTTTTTTAATGCTGATCAAATTCTGTCGACTTATCTGATATAAATAAAGGAACTGTTATAGTTATTTCATTTCTTTTGCTTTTCTTCGCCATTGAATGAGCGTTAAATAATGAATTCGTTAGTGTGAGATATTCTAAATAATATTCTTTACCTGGATTGTGACAACCAACTCTACTGTCTATTTACTGTTTCAACATATTTCGATTTTTGTTTGCTGTTGATTATTTTGCTACTTGTTTCTTCGCCTTTCCCGCGCTAAACGTTATTTTTTCTGTTTTGGAAATATTTTAGATTCAACGGTATAAAACTTACGCTCGTCTCTTAGAAACAGAGCTGTTCCGCATACAACAGTCTTCATCAGTCGCTGCTTTAGCTGCAAGTAATCCTTTTGTTCCATATGTAGGTGGGGGTTATCCTAATGCTATGTGTACTAATCCCACAGTTGGTGGACCAATTCAATACAGTACTATTAATAATGCAATACGAACAAATATGAACTTTCCTATTATTGGTACATCGCCAGCTCCACCACCTCCACCAATGTATTTTGTTCCTACTGGATATCGTGATCGAAATACTAGTGCCTCCACGGTTGCTACTAGTCGTGGTACGTCAGTTATGACACATTTAGCCGTATTAGGTCCTCAGAATCCATTGAATGAAGAAGTTGTACAAACGACAACAGGTTCTATCGCGTCCGTTTCGACTACCACTATTACTACTTCTACTAACACTACTGTAACACTATCGTCTAATAATAGTAATTCATCGGATGAATTGAATTCTATCGATAATAATATTATTAGTCCAGGTGTCAACATCACTACTTCATTAGCTTATCCAGTGCAATCTCAATTATTTCCAATAAATAGTACTAGATATAAAACATTTATATCACCGTATTTCACATCACAGATACCATCGATCAATCCATATTCACCGTCTGTCAGTGGACGATTTTATCAACAACAACAACACCAGTCTAGACGATTACGTTATTCTTCACCATTGAATAATCTATATCATCATCAACAACCACAGAATGTTATTATCAATGGCACGATTAGTACTACTACTAATAATAATAGTAATAATGGTCGTTTTAATGGTCTAGTTAATGGATTTCAGTTAACTGAAGAAGATTCATTCAACGATAAACTCCTCATTACTACTAATACTTCCCCATCAAATAATAATTTGATCATGAATACAATCACAGATGATATGTCGTCCACGTGTAAAATTGCAAATGACTGTAGTAATAATTGTAATAATAATAATAAACTTATACAAAATTCCCAATCAGTTTGTTCAACAAATGGTCTATTTTACGAGATTGTATAATCGGTGTTATTGTCATTAACGCTATTGTCATTATGTTGTTTCATTCTCTTTATTATTGTAATACTCTCTCTAAAATCTTTATCTCCTATCTTTAGTTATTGTTAAGTTCTGTCAAAATGTTCCATTCTGGTTTCAAGTTTTCTCTTGTTATTATTGTTTTTTGCGTATATAGCGCAAATGCGAAACGTAACAGTCAGTCACGATTACTATTGTAATGTAATGTAATGTTTTGTTTCACTAGTGTTAATTTAGCTTTGAATGTGCATCGTATGCAACAATTATGTGGAGTTAGTGTGGTGCTCAAACGGTTGTGTTTATTTTGTCTCATTTCGTCCATTACTTAATGTACTTATGTGTGATACATATTGCCATATGCATTACCAAACTGTTTAATGTGTTTATTCATTCGGTGTATTCTCGACTTCTCTTCCTCTTAAGCTTATTGATTTAATATGTCTCTTTTGATAGGTGAGCTTGCATGTGTAAGCATGTGCCACATTCATCATTTTCTAAACCCTCTGTTTATTATCTATTAGTCTTTTATTATCTGTTACATCATCGTATTCATATCTTATCTCTTTTCTGTACTCAGGTGTATGTATGTTACTGTATAGTCAACTCTTTTTTGAAATAGTCATCACCTTCTTCTTACACCAAATAAGATATCTATACACAAGATGAGCATTTTTTTTCTCTGCACAGGAAGTTAAACTAGAAATATATATTTAGTAGGAATTTGTTGTTGTTGTTGTTGTTGCTAGTTGAAACACTGTAAAATTCAATCATCTTCCCTCTTTTCTTTTTCTCGTCTTTCTATTCTCGTATGTACAATGTTTATTTGTTTGTTTACATAGTCATCATCTAGTCAATGTGAATTCCTTGAATTTCTTATAGGTTTCTAGTTTCAATATTCAATTGATCTCTTTTAGCAACATTATCACAACTGATTCTTCACTCTTCATATTTTTTCCGACACTTATTATGGAATTATGATGAAGAACATTGTTCAATGTCAAACTATGAATATTATACACATTATCATCATTATTATCATGTTCTTTTTCACACTGTTCTCCCTTCTGTATACCAGTACTATTAATGATTCCATAATTCATTGAATTTCTTTTTATAATTATTGGATTATGCAAAGAAAGAAATTTATTTTTGCTTGTTATTCACATACTACTATTATTATTACTACTACTACTTTAAACCTCCATATTTATTTCATTAATGAATGAATATAATCACTGAAATGCCACTAATAATGACAATATGATTATTATTAATTTATTGTAAAGTTGTAAATGTTTCTTTTTGTGTTCTCTATTCTTCTGCTTTTTTTGTTTGTTCAATGTTACAGTTAAAAGAAGAAGAGGAAAAAAAAATCCAAATTTTCTAATTGTGTATAACTTCAATTCCGAATTCATTAATATCCCTCGGTCTCTTTATCTGTCGCTCGCTCGCTCGCTCAGTCGCTATGTATCGCTATTATTATCATCATTACAAAGAACACATACATATACAAACAAACAAATTAACAATTAGTTACTATCTCGTAAATGAACACTTTATTCATTTGATTAATAACAAGTAAAGAGTAGGACAATTGCTTAAATCTATTGATTATTGTTTTTTATAGTTATTATTATTATTATTATTACCAGTGAAATGGACAAATTAGAGACAATGTTGTTGCTGTAGTGGTTGTTTAAAGAACAACCTCATCTCATTGACCAACTGTTTTGTTTTTTATGTTTGTTTATTTCTCTAGTCTAATATTCTATAAAAACAATACAATTTATACTACTTACTACCTTGATTTATTATTATTATTATTATTCTCTTGTTTTAATGAATAATCAAATCCCTTTGTTTTGTTTTGTCAATTTTTTTTTAAAAATTATCAAAAATGATAACATACTACTAATAATTCTACTTTATGTGAGACATTGAATCATAACAATAATCTGATGATTGTTTTGTTTTAATTCAATAGGAATTTCACTTTTAAACTATTCACATTACTATCCGGTTTTGTTTTGTTTTTTCTCTCGAACTATCCATGTTCATGTTTTGGTCACATACACATTAATCCTTACTACTGCTACTACTACTACTACTACTACCACCCTCTCTCTCTCTCTCTCGGTTTCTATTCTATGCTATTTCTACAATATGAATTTATCTTTTAATTTTATTTTATTATCTACATTGAACAATGGCGCGCACATTAATTATTTTAAAATAAATAGTCTTTCTTTAAAATTAAAGACTAAATAAACTATTTATATCAATATGAAACTAAGACAAGAAATAAAATTTTCTTACCTCATTCAATAATAATGATAATGATCACAAATACTTTTGGCATGAATAATGTTTATTGAATTTTTAATTCAAAGTGCCTGACAATCATTTAGGTGTTCAATATCCCTATTTGTTTGTTTGTTTGTTTGTTTGTTTTAAATGGAGAACTTAGTGTTTATTTACAGTTGATTGATATTTTCAATTGTTGTTGGTGTTCATAGGTTCTTTTCCCCCTCCCCCTCTTTCTCTCTCAATGTCTCTCTCGAAATTCATTACAACATTATGCCAGTGATTGAATAAAATATATTTGTATACAGTACAACAATATTACTTACAATCTCTATTTCTCTTGTTTGTTTTTATCAGAATGAAATTGGCATGAATTTTATCAATAACAATATCTATACAACTATGTAAGTGTACGTGTTTTGTACTTATTATTGATTTCTCTATTCTTTATACTCTTCTTTCTATATTGGTCTTTTTATATCTTTCTCTCTTTTTTTTGGTAAGATATCCTGGTGACGTTTTCTTTGATTTTTTTCACATCACCCTCTTCTAGTTCTCTTTTACACTGTGTTGTTGTTTTTTTCAATCCCATTACACGTTTACAGCACTTCATATTGCCGTTACATTTAAAGTTTGTTTTTTTTCTAACTGTATATTGCGTAATGCAAATTTATGTGAATATATAAATAAACTTATATATCTATCTATAGAATACTTTTCTTGTCTTTTGTGAATTTGGTTTCTATGTTGTAATGTATTAAGGAAATGAAATTGCTCTTTGTATCGATTTAGGTGTGTACCTTTACCTAAAAAAATATGTGAACATTTTAAACTGATTCGCTGACGTATAGTTGTATCATTGACTTATTTTATTTTCATGTGAATTGACAGAAAGCAAATCGTCAGTTGGTTATATAGTTAAGTAGTTGAAATTGTGTTTCAGTCTCGAAAATAACGAGTTTTTACTACTTCAAACATGAAATGGGCAGATTAAGTGATTAGTACTTACTTACACCAGTTACTCCTTGTAAAGGAGCATAGGTCGCTCACCAGCATTCTCCATCCAACCCTGTCCTGGGCAATCCTTTCTAGCTCCTTCCAGTTGTTATTCATCCTTTTCATATCTACTTCGATTTCCCGACGTAATGTGTTCTTTGACCTTCCTCTTTTCTGTTTCCCTTCACAATTCCAAGTTAAGGCTTGCCTCGTGATGCAGTTTGATAATTTGCTTGATGTATATCCTATCCAATTCCATTGTCTTTTCCTAATTTTCTCTTCAGCTGGAAGCTTGTTTGTTCTCTCCCACAGAAGGCTTTTGCTGATGGTATCCGGCCAATGGATGTTGAGTATCTGGCGTAGACAACCATTTATAAATACTTGTACCTTCTGGATGATGGTTGTAGTAGTAGTTCTCCAAGTTTCAGCTCCGTACAGTAAAACTGACTGTCTTGACGTTGGTATTGAAGATTCTCACTTTGATATTGGTTGAAAGTTGTTTTGAGTTCCATAACTCCGCCTGTTGCACTTCTAGAGTTACTGCCGGTCCCAAGCCCGTGTTAAAGAGAAAGGTTGGACATGGGGTTAGCGGCCCCATCACGTAAAAAACTAACTCGCTAGAAAAAACGCTAACCAGAAAAAATAATTCAAACCATTTAAGTGCTTAGTTCTCATCTGTTATTATTCTTTTTGACTGGTAAATTCAAGCTTCATTTCAACTACTTCGGTTTGACTAGCTGGTTGAGTATCTCTAGCTCGCATACAAATATGTGTGGATTCAGACTAAGTACAAACGAGTTTCTAACTAGCTGATACAGTTCAGTAAATAACACTATACAAAATTCTACCGTTGGTAAATATTCATGGAATTTTCCACTAAGTCGCAGTTTTGAACTACACATACTTAGATCTCGGTAGTAGTAGTAGTAGTAGCCCTTATATATACGCAAAATGTTTAACTTGAAGAGTAACAATATGAACTTGTACGTAGTTAATAAGCTACAATAGGAACAAAATAGTGACCGCTTAATTATGTATAAATATAGACTGAGAAAAACTGAACTATACCAACAATATTGAATGACTTATTAGCCAATCAGAGAATAATGTTTAATTATAAACTAATTAATATCAGATAGGTTTTGTGGATATTATAATAATTTCAATGGTTAAGATCATGAGTCAATTGAAGCTAGACCACCATGGAAAACCTGGAAGCACTGAACGGCCGTTTCGTCCTATTGTAGGACTCCTCAGCAGTGCGCATCCACGACCTTAATCAAAAGTAATTTAATTACTATGGATAAATAGTTTTGACATGATTAGTAGCCAATTATATTTATGATAAACGAAAAACAGATATCCTTAACTATATTGTCAATCACATCAAGTACTGTCAGACATAATCCACTTTGTTACCATGTTTTTTATTTATACTTCAGGTTATATACCGTGTCATTTGCACTATGTAGTTGCACCAAAAAGATATTTTTATGGATTCTAGACATTTTGTGAACTAGATTTTGACAATATTTTATTTAATTCTTAATAATATTAGTGCTATATTTTACTGTACTTTGGATTTCGTGGAATAATCTTAGGGGTGCTATCTTAAAGTGCCTACAGTTTATTTTTTTCTCATAGATTAAAATTAAGGGTGAGACTAGTTTATAGACGAGCTAATCGGAAGCGTTTTAAAGATCTCAAGGTTACGACTCCAATTTCACTGCTTAATGCTAATGTAGGATCGGTTCATAGAGAATTCTGTACAAAACGTGATAATTGAGCGGCTATAACAAATAAAACGGCGAAACTATAATTTGTGAACGAATGAATCAGGTATAAGATAATAGACCTCAGATTTAATACGAAAGCCTTTCATCCATTTGGCTAAATAGATTTCTGGCTTCATAACTGATGTCAGTTCGTGATGGAAACCCCATATATAATTCCTAACTAAGGTAAATTATTACAATTATCGCGAAGTGAATAATAAAAGCACCAGTAATACTGGCTGCAGCCAGGTGCTATAATGTATACGGATGTTTGCAGAGCGTACAGACTCCTACATAAGCTTCGTTATGTGCATCGTGTTGTTATCCACAAGTGGCATTTTGTGTACTCAACAACTGGAGTACACATAAACAATATTGTAACTATGTGGTCGAGGCTGAAAGTTTCTGAGACTATCATGGTCCCAGAGGTTGACTATTCTGTAGCCGTATGGATGATTTGCTCTACTGCATGCATTAGGATTTTGGAACCTCTGAACCTCTTTCTAACCTTGACAAGTTTTTGAACCAAGTTCAAGAATTGTATAATATATTTTTACTCTATACTTACTGCTTACTGAGTGGCCAATATTTCTTAAGGTCACTTAAGATTCGTTCAAAGGTCGTCCATAAATTAGTCTCACCATTTCAGTTTATTTTATTTATTAATCTGAAACTACTTTGGTTGCATCTTGTCTACATAAATGACACTTGATTTGTTCACTATAACTTTGTTAATCAATAGTTCAATTCATTGTTAAATCCTACCATCCTCGATAGAAACGAAGATCTTATTATCCATCCAACTTGGACCATCTATTCAAGCTGTCATATTTGTTTCCACTCACCTCTCATACTATTATCATATATAAAAATGTAACTCTATCTTTTCTTATTACAAATCCCACATTTCTCACTCATTAACACACACACACGCATAAATACATATAAATCATCAGTTTGAGGGTTGTGGAAATTGTTAAGCTTTTAATTGAGACCATGAAATGATGGATGTTAGACCACCATTGAAAACCTGGAAGCACTGGACGACCGATTTGTCCTATTGTGGGACTCCTCAGCGGTGCGTAACCACGATCCCGCTCACGGGATTCGAACCCAGGGCCTTAACATACTGGACCACTGAGCCGGCATCCAGTGGTGTTAATGTCTAACATCAACCAATTCACGAAGTTGCGCGACCATCTTTCATTGTACTGAGGTAGACACCTGTTTCTATCCGACACGGATTAGCTAACAGTAGGACTCGTCAGCTAGATTTCTAAATAAAGACGAAACGTGTGTCCTGAATTCCACTTTTAGCTACCATCCATAATATTTAAATAATTTGAAATTAAACACCATTTTATTTTGTTACATATTTGTTTGTTTCTTTCTTTCTTTCCTCTTAAATCGATAATGAGAATTTTAAAGGGACAATTTTATTTTGTATAGTCCGAAAATGTGTTTATTCAACCGAAACAAATGGGAACAATTAAATGAATTAATAACTAAATTAAGCTGAAATGGATCTTTTTATGATTTTAAAAAAAAATATTTTATAACCAGAAGGGATCAATAATTTCTCCTACTATGTATAGAAATATCTTCCCCCAAATGCCCTAGTACGGCTGAGGGTGGGGAGAGTCAGCTCTCCTTCTAGAAATACTCTCACATGGCCACGCGTATACAGCCACTGTCAGAGAAGTTGTACTCACTGCCTTCTCGCAGCGGGGGTATTGTTTACGAAATTGAGAGGATGAAAAGCGAATGTCCGGTGCTTTAACCGGGTCGGTAGATATGGAGGATCAACCTAGAGTAGTTGGAAAACCCTAATTCCAAATCAATAGTGTACATGGGCTCCAGGATTCTAAAGAAACCAATGGTGTAGGAACCAATTGTTGGTCACTGGCTACCATGGGACTCAATCCCCTGACGTCGCCCACCGCCTTATGGATTAGACCTTTAGGTCAAAGGCTCTAGGTGTGATCCCCTAAGAAAACCCCCTGCTTCAGTCTAGGCATCCGGATAGTATCACAGCCCTCACGCAAATCAAGTGATTTGTCTGGCACATATGTATTCGGTGCTCCTTTGTACCAATATTGATCTGTTCAAATAAAATCTACTCATGATTGCATATTCATGTTTGTGATGGACTACTAACTAGATTAAGTCATATTCCCCTGACTTCCTTTTAAAAACATTCAACCACTGAACAAAGATTTTGGTAAAAAAAGAATTTTGGATCTAGGTAACAGTTATGCATTTTATGATCATCAAGTTAACACTAGAACGCTTGAAGAAATTACATATAACCTTTGACCCTGAAATTCAATATTATGTTATTTTCTCCCATTCAGTTACTACTCACTTTCCTAACGTCTGATTAACCCCACTTGTACAAAGAGATGATTAACATTGTACGAGAAGCTTTATTGCCAAGAAAACAAATAACAATAATGCACACAGTTCCTGGGTACATATTTGTCCATGAACTGATTAGACAGGGGCATGTGGGCTATGACCTTAGTTAATAAAACGACTGTGCTTGCATTGCACATTTACCATGAAGCCTTACAACAAATCATAGTCCTCTTGAGGTTATTAGAGATGTTAGTTGACAAACTTGAAGAATTGACCATTCTGAGACTTTATTTTGTAAAAACATCCTATCCCTAATATATGTAACCTACATCATTTATAATAAAATCTACATGAGCCTAGCGTACATCATAGTTTATTATAACATTTTGGATTGTAAGTAACGAGTACATTAATGAGGAAATCATTTAAAAGTTCAAATGCTAAATGGTTGGAAATATTCGACAAAAGGATGTGGACCTGCATTTCGTGCTATTCGGCACTCATCATCAAAGTATTTCTATAATATTCAGGGACCTGATTTTCCCTTTCCCATAACACTCGACTTTAAAGTCAGAGATGT